ATGATGGCGACAAAAGGTCCCAAAGACAAGGACACTTACTTGGCCTTGGCAGCGCTCTTCGTCACCTTACCGCCCTTAGCAGCAGCGGCCGTGGTTGACTTCACGACACCAACAGCAACGGTCTGTCGCATGTCACGGACGGCGAAGCGTCCGAGAGGGGGGTAGGTGGAGAAGGACTCGACGCACATGGGCTTGGTGGGGATCATCTTGACGAGAGCAGCGTCACCAGACTTGATGAACTTGGGGTTGTTCTCGATGGACTTGCCGGTACGGCGGTCGATCTTCTCGGTGATGTCGGCGAACTTGCAGGCAATGTGGGCGGTGTGGCAGTCGAGGACGGGAGCGTAACCGTTGCCGATCTGACCGGGGTGGTTCATGACGATGACCTGGGCGACGAAGGACTCGGTCTCCTGAGCGGGGTCGTTCTTGGAGTCGGAGCAGACGTTACCACGGCGGATGTCCTTGACCGAAACGTTCTTGACGTTGAAGCCGACGTTGTCACCGGGGAGACCCTCAGAGAGAGTCTCGTGGTGCATCTCGACGGACTTGACCTCGGTGGTGACGTTGGAGGGAGCGAAGGTGACAACCATACCGCCCTTGATGACACCGGTCTCGACACGGCCGACGGGCACAGTGCCGATACCACCGATCTTGTAGACATCCTGGAGGGGAAGACGGAGGGGCTTGTCGGTGGGGCGCGAGGGGGGCTCGATGGCGTCAATGGCGTCAAGGAGGGTCTTACCGGTCGACTTGCCGGACTTGGTCTCCTTCTCCCATCCCTTGTACCAGGGCATCTCGGTGGTGGGCTCGATCATGTTGTCACCGTGCCAGCCCGAGATGGGGACGAAGGCGACGGTCTTGGGGTTGTAGCCGACCTTCTTGATGAAGTTGGAGGTCTCCTTGACGATCTCGTTGAAACGGGACTCGGAGTACTTGGTGGTGTCCATCTTGTTGACGGCGACGATGAGCTGACGCACACCAAGGGTGAAGGCGAGGAGAGCGTGCTCACGGGTCTGACCGTCCTTGGAGATACCAGCCTCAAACTCACCGGTACCACCGGCGATGATGAGGATGGCGCAGTCGGCCTGCGAGGTACCGGTGATCATGTTCTTGATGAAGTCACGGTGACCAGGGGCGTCGATGACGGTGACCATGTACTTGGGGGTCTCGAACTTCCAGAGGGCGATGTCGATGGTGATACCACGCTCGCGCTCGGCCTTGAGCTTGTCAAGAACCCAAGCGTACTTGAAGGAACCCTTGCCCAGCTCGGCAGCCTCCTTCTCGAACTTCTCGACGGTACGCTTGTCGATACCACCGCACTTGTAGATCAAGTGACCGGTGGTGGTCGACTTACCGGAGTCGACGTGTCCGATGACGACGACGTTAACCTATTGAGTGAGATGGATGCAGAAGCAGATGGAAAAGCGAGAATGTCAGCAACTGTTGCTTTCGTGTGATTGAGAGGGCCTAAACCTCTGCTGGATCAACGCCCGCCACCGTGTCTCCAAGGTTGTGATGACGACAACGATGGCTGATGTCGATCTGCAGAAGGTTGTTGGCAATGATGAGGTTGCTGCTGGTGTCTGATACATACGTGAGCTTTCTCTTTACCCATTTTGGATGATGTTGTGTGTGTATGATATGATACGATGTATGAGGGAAGAGGTGAAGATAGCGACGGCAGCCAACGCCATTTATTGGATTCCTCTCGGTGGCCCACAGACAGACACACACTGGCCAACGCTCTGTCCTTCTCGCTCTGTGCGAAGAAAGGCGGGCGAATCAACCACTCTGCCGCGCACAAGCAAAGAAAAATTTTCTTCTGGCCAACTTCCAACTTCCTCTGCTCTTGCGCCTCATTGGCTAGAGTTCTTGAGCCGTCTCCAAGCTTTGAGTGAATTCAGAAGAAGCGCATAGACCAGCAGCTGGAACACTCCCACCACGCACCATTTCAAATATTCGAGTGCATACAACCAGAAACCAGCCGTTGAATACAATTGACCAGAAGCCTGACGTCCACAAATACAAATCTGGGTTTTCACTACAAAGTTTCGAATGAGCTCAGCCACCTGCGCCCTTCACTGTTCGCCGTGGAGTGGCTGGCAGGGCACCTCAGCTCAATCAACCCACGGCAGCCCGCTGTTCTGTTGAAGGCTGAGCCGTCTGGACCGCGCTGCTGCGCCAAGTATGTCTAGAGCTGCTCAAAAACACCCGTTGGCTACGGAGGAAGAGCGCAGGACACGTTCATGTCTACGAACGCCCGCCCGTGATCGACGCTGTCACACGCCAATCGCCCTGTGCACCTTTGACTCTTGCGCAATGAGATGGATCGTCGATCTGTCGGGCTGTTACGTTGCGGTGAACGCTCGTGTTGGAATCTCCTTTGCTGAACTCGTCGACGAACAGCGAGCGAGATTGACAGCGAAAGAGTGCACGGCCTATTTTTGTCCGTCTCCGAAATTGCTGCGGCAATGGATCTGGCTGCTCCTGACTAGGCGAATCTGCCGTCAGGCTGCAGTTCGGTGAGACCTCGTTGAGGAGCGTAAGCGAGAATTCGAAAATCGCCCCTGATGGCAGCCCGAAATTCAGGCTCTGACTGTGAGATTCCGACAAGCACTCTTCGAAATGCGGAGAAGGCGTCGGATGTGACGGCTTGACTCTCTGACAGAGGTGGGCCAGAGCTCTCGGGTTGGCTAACACTGATTCAAGAGACTCGCTATCCAAAGTTCCGCATTCATGAGCCGTTCAGACCTCGTCTGGAATCCGTGAAACACAATCGAGTCCTTGTTGATGCTGTGTTGGTGATACAAATACATGCTACGATGGCGGAGGATGATCTAGCCTAGCTCGCGACGGCTTCAGGAATCGCTGACATCTTCTTCATCCTCGTCCTCCCAGAGGTTGCTGTCATCCGGGTCAGCTTGGTTTTTCTGCGCGGACCCTGATGATGAGATGGGGGGCCTCGCAGCGGGCGTGGATGGTTGCGAAAGATTTCGGCTCGCCGGCAAAGCGGGCGGCGGCATGCCTCGGTGCTGTGTTGTACTGCTGGGAGCGTCGTTCTCGACGATGTTGGCTGCTCCGCTGGTGGAGACGCCTGCCGTGCTGCCGGAATGCGGGCGCTCGTCTGCGAGATCATCGCCAAGCCGCGCTGCGTCTTCCGTATCGTCGAGATTGGACACGGCCGCAGCTTGTTCTGCTGCCTCGGCCGCCGCTTGGTTGGCTTCTTTGCGCTCCTTTCGTGTCTGCTTGAGGTCCGCCAGCTGGTTGCGCTTCATGTCGCGCTCTGTGGTGAGCTTGCGGAGTGCCTGCTGATGGCGATTCTTGATGATAAGGTTCATCGTGCCATCCACATCGGACTGCTTCCTTCGCACCAGCGTCTCGAGCTCTCGGCACTCGGCCTCCAACTGAGCTTCGCGAACACGCTGCTCCTTCTCTTCGTCGTTCTCATCCTCTTCGTCATCGTCCTCTTCATCGCCGTCATCCGCGTCATCATCGTCGTCATCATCCCAAAGGTCTTCCTGGTCGCTGGTTCGGCTCTGAGCTTCGCTGCCAGCGCCTCGTGTCGACTCATCATCATCGTCCTCCTCCTCTTCGAGGGCGGCATCGAGCTCAGCTGCCAGGTCCTCGTCAACATCGTCGTCAAGGTCCTCGTCGTAGCCACCTTCGCCGCCATCGAAAGTGTCAGTACGACGACGACGTGCTTGGTCATCGTCATCGTCGTCGCCGTCGTCTCCGTCCTCGTCTTGCGACCCGCCATCCGAGCCGTCAGGCATAGGCGTCTCTGCTTGAGAGCCACCGGGCGATGTTGCTCCTCTTCTGGATGGACCGCCCTGCTGGTCATCGTCGTCTTCGGACACACCTTCTTCCGCTGCATCAATCATCTCGTACTCGACGTCGTCCGCCTTCTTATCAGCTTTCAGCAATCGCTCCACCTCCTTCTCCACCGTCTCGATGGCTCGACGCGCAGCACGCTTGCGGAAGCGTCGTTTCCTCGCCCACTGCATCGGAGGCGTGATGCCGTGAGGGTAGATGAAGTCTTCGATGTTGAAGCCCTTGCCGCCACCGGCGGCACTGGAGGATGCTTGTGATTCGTCCGCGATCTTGCTCTCGACCACCAGCATTTGCGCGATATCGGCCACCTTGAAGAATTGCCGATTGTCCAGCGTCTTGTGCGCCTCCGTGATGGTAGGCAGATCGACTAGCTTAGCTGAGAACAGCGAGTCGCCAACGTGGACAATGGCACGTCTCGAATCTTTGAACTTGAACCAGACATCGTCGCCGAGTTGTCGTTTCTGGATGCTGTCTCTGAGTTTGTCGCATTCGGGACCTTCTGGCATGCGAAAGATGAGCTGCTCCTCGAATGCAAGTCCCTGACCCGTCTCGTCATCTTCCGAGTCGAGCTCGCGATCGTAGCTCTGCATGTACGCCTGCGTTTTGAGCCCTTGACCTGATCCTGCTGCAGTACCGCCACCTGATGCCTTCATCTTGAGCTTGATCTGTGGACGAGCCCCGGAGGCGGTGCGAATGGGCCGCAATGGCTGCGACCTCCTGGATCCGCCATGTTCCCATCCGTCAGGCGACTGCTCTCTCGCCTGTAGTGCTTTGGCGGTGGGACGAACAGCGCGCTTGGGTCTTGTGCCTCCCGGGCCAAGCTCTGCAGCGGAGCTGCCGGGCGCTGGCGACGCGGACCCACTTGCTTCGCTCATGGTTGGTGGCCTGCGGGTATCCGCACTCGTCGTGACGCTTGTAGCTGCGTGCTTATGACATGGACCGCACGATCTCTTGTGGCCTGGCTCCAGTCGAGACCTGCGCGGTAGGATAGCCTTCAATCGTCCTGGTGCGCCTATTCAGATGCTCGAAGGCAGTCCTATGATTGACGAGGATGCGAACAGGTCATCTCGGCGGAAGATGTGTTTGGTGGATGAGTTGAGACCCTGATTCGCACCAAGCTCGCGTTTGTCGTTCTACAGTAGGCACGCGCTCAGCTCCACACAGTGCTCCAGCCGGCTTCCGAGCCTCCTGACAGTGATCTAACAAATGCAGAAAAGTCGCTAGCCGCAGAGAAGAGGCGGATGAGCTGCGGCGATACTACTGAATAGTCTCCTGATCATGCCTCATCGGATAGCTCATCCTTGGTCGCATGCAACTCATTTTACATGTTCAACATCGCTCGTGCGCAGATCTCAATGACATGCGACAGGTCAGGGGCAGCGGTGTGCGCTGTCTCAAATGGTTGCCAGAAGTAGAGATCGTGTTTGCGCGCATCAAACCCTGGGTCAGTGGTCTGACTGAACGCTAGGAGACCTAGGGCATCGGTGTCCCTGTCAAAATCACGGCAAACATGCAATGTCGAACGCAGATGACAATACGCGGTGACGACTGCACCGCGTGACGGCAGAAAGAGCCGGTAAAAGATGTTTTGGAACGTGCCCACGGTAGGAGCGATTGATATTTTGCCTGAAGATCAACTATGACCTGCAGAGGTGTGGTGTGTGTATGACGCGGTGATGATGGTACACGGTGATGCGAGAAAGGTGTGTGACAAAATGTTTGTGCACACAGATGCGAATGGATGCTGGATGTCGGCGTCACAAAGTAGACGAGCTGAGGTCTTTGTGTGATGCAATGTGAATTGGGATCCAGTGTGTGAAACGAAGAGGTTGGGTGTCGATGTCATTGGGAGATTTATGCCTCCTGAGCACGAACGCGAGCGTTGGCGTTGGTGACCTTGACACCGAGGGCCTTGGCCTTCTCGAGGATGTCGATGCGCTTCTTGGACGAAACGTTGTGGGCGATCTCGGCAGCGTAAACGCCGTTGTGCATAAGGAGGAGCTCGACGTCACGGGTGTTGGAGACCACAAGGCGGCGGAAGCCGTTGGGCATGAGGTGGCGGGTCTTCTTGTTGGAACCGTAACCAATCTTGGGCATGCGAACGACGCTGCGGAAACGACGACGAACAGCACTGTCGATACCCTTGGGCTTGCGCCACGACTCGCCGACACGGTGGTATCGGTCCGAGTGGTGGCGCTTGAAAGCCTTGGTGCGCTTCTTGACGATGGGGATGGAAGTGGCGGCCATCTTGACGGTGTAGAAATGGGGGGTGACAAGGTGGTGTGAGGGAACAGGGACTAGATGATGGCGACCAAGCTGTTTCGTCGAGATGGCAAAGCTGTGATCTGGAGTCGAAACATCTAACATCTGGAAAAAAATAAAAGCCAATTTTCGCCTGTTTGATGTCCTCTGCTCAAGTGCCGGTACCAACCTCGGCCGACATCACATGATCTAGTCTCAAGCAGCCTTGCAGGCCAGTTCTCTAGTGGGCTGCAGCCAGGATTCAATGTTAGCCGTGGCACGCTGCTGAGAATCTCTGTGAGTTGAGTTGATGAGTCGAGCGTCTCAATCTTGAAGCAGCTGGGCTACTGTAATTCGAGATTCGCTGCTCATCACCTTCGACACCACCACACCCGTCAAGAAACATATTGTCAAGGTTAGTATCCGCATCACGCATTCACCGCTGCCCAACCACATCGACCCAGTCGACTGTCCGACATCCATCTACACCAGCATTTCCAACGGTATGGATCACATAGCAGCTGGAATCGAGGCGTATCATTTGCAGACCGATGTAGAGAATGGCCGGAACAGCACGGGCAGGTATCGGCAGGATCAGCATCATTGCATATACGTGGGCCAACAACTAGCCCAGGCAGGAACAGCGGACAGAACGCAGGCGGCTGGTTCCCGGCCAGGATGAAGCTGAGTCGAGCTCAGTGTCACGATGGACATGTGGCACAGTTTGGGACAACCTTGTCGAGCCGTTCAAGGTACAGACAAGGATTTGGAGGCAACATCATTGTCAGCATCGGCGCAAACACGAAGGAGTCTTGCAGGCAGTCGCAACGGTTGTCGATGCAGCCCTGCGCTCCACCAGGTCTATAAGGCTCGATCATCGATGATTTTTACCGTGTTGCCGGGCATCCAACGAGCGCTGATTGTACGGCAAACACCATCGACATTTACGCAGATGAACGACACGAAGCATCTCAGGCGCAGGAACGAGTTCTTGTTGGATTGTCGATTATTTGGCGCAGCTGGTCCTTGTCACTTCTTTCAGCACATAGAGCACAGGAACTGACTCTTTTCCCACCATCCTCCTACCCTCGCACCACAGATGTCCCTCCAGCAGGCAAACCCATACATTGTTGACGGCAAGGGACACCTCCTCGGTCGTCTCGCCGCCACCCTGGCCAAGGAGCTCCTCTCCGGCCAGAAGGTTGTCGTTGTGCGCTCCGAGCTCATCAACGTCTCCGGCTCGTTCTTCCGCAACAAGTTGAAGTACCACGCCTACCTGCACAAGCGCCACATGGTCAACCCCAAGAAGTCCGGTCCCTTCCACCACCGTGCTCCTTCGCGCATCCTTTACAAGACCATCCGCGGAATGCTTCCCCACAAGACCGCTCGTGGTGCCGCCGCCCTGCAGCGATTGAAGATCTACGAGGGTGTCCCTCCCCCGTACGACCGCAAGAAGCTCATGGTCATCCCCGCCGCTCTCCGTGTCCTCCGTCTCAAGCCCGGCCGCAAGTTCGCTACCATCAAGCGTATCTCGCACGAGGTCGGCTGGAACCACATGGAGACCGTCGACAAGCTCGAGGCCAAGCGCAAGGTCAAGGCGCAGGCTTACCGCGAGCGACAGGTCGCCGCTACCAAGAAGCGCGCTGCCGCCACCACCGCCACCGAGAGCAAGCTCAAGGACGTCAACGCCCAGCTCGCTTCGTACGGCTACTAAGCGTCTCTATCTTCTTTCCATCAAGATGCAGCATGCCAGTCGCTATAGCTTCGAACGTTCACTGCTTTGCTGTGATGCGACCAGCACGTTGCATCTCTCCGACCACACCACCAGGATCACATTCACTCAACTTTGGAGCACGAGGTTGTAGGACGTTTTCTTGGTCCCCTCTCTTTGCACGACCCGACACGGATCGTGTGATCAAAAGCTGCACGCACACGTTCTCGACTCTGTGGGCATGCGTGACAGTCCGTCACCCTCACCTCACCTTACAACCCCGGACATTCCAGTCTTGCGGTTCCGCCTCACTGTGTACCACCATATCACCCTCACACATAGTCCTCCATATAGCATCAGGACTAAAAAAGCCCCACACTGCAAGCATCAGATTCAAACGAACCTCGCGCACCTGGTGTCAAACTTTGAGCATTCTGGGTTGAGTCATTGGGATGGGTTCGAGGTTGCGATGCGAGCAAGCGAGGGTGACTGAGATTAGGCAAATGGGCAAAGGGTCCAAGGTAGAGAAGTGAGAAGGCGAATCGTGAAGCGAAGGGGAGGACAGATCTGGTCTCGAGGTGTGACTACAAAAGTGTGACACCGAGGATCACGTCCGTGACTGAGTTGAGTTGGGCGGAACGAAATTCGGGACAGAAAGGGTATGCAATGGAAAAGTCCATCAGAGGCGTTCGTTGGACGTCTTGTGACTGCGAGCGTGGACGCCGCTCCTCGTCAACGCATCATCGTGGTGCGAGAGGTGTCGCTCCTCCACGACCTCCCTCTCCTCCTCCACGTCTCTTCTGCCGTTAGTGGCGGGCAGCTGGGTCTCTGCGCCCACAGGCTGGGTTCCAATCTGTCCGTTGCCCACCATGACCATCTTCCCCTGACTCGGCACGCCGTCCACCACGACGAATGCCAACGCGGGGCCGGGGGCGAAGAGGTTCGGATTAGGTGGAAGCTGTGCGACGCTCAATCGACTGCCTTGACGCGAGGACTTGAGCTCGATCATGCGCTGACCCATGTTCATCGCGTGGGTCGAGAAGCCGGTTCGGACAAGGACGACTTTGGCCTTGGCCGCCTGGGCCGCTGAGGGGAGGTTGATGGTGAAGCCTGGACCGCCGTACGAGAAGGAGCGGGGGAGACCGGCGTTCGACGGTCGTGGGGCATCGTAGAATTCAGGGTACCATCGTTCGACACGGTACTCGGTCTTCCACTTGACGTTCATGTTGACGTCCGAGTTGGGGTTGGAGCCTGAGACGAGGATCGAGGAGTCCGGGAGGAGAGTGGCGGTGGAATGGTAGAGACGACCGATGTTGGTCGATCCGACGCGCTTCCAGCGGTTGCCCATCGACGCCTTGGGGTTGTACACGAGCGGCTGGTAGGACGGGTTGTCGCCGTAGGACTGACCGACGGGACGACCGACGTCATTGGGATTGGTCGTATAGCCAGCGACACCCGTGGTGACGCCGTTGCCGAACCAGAGCGTTCCGTCGGGGAGCTGAATGAACTGGCCCATCGACCGACCTTGAGGCAGCGCATCGACCGCCTGCCACCCGCCACCCGCAATAGGGCTGATCTGCTCACACGACGTCGACGCTGGCTTTTGCGTGATGGCCATGCCGACACCACCCTCGTTGCCCCAATTGGACGTCTTACCCACGCTCATGCCACCGCAGATGAGAATCGTCTCGCGGTAGTTGTTGTCAGGTGTCAAGGGAAGGAGAGCGGAACCACCGGATGCCGGGTAGACACGGGGGGGACCGGGAATGTTGGGCAGACCGCGCTCGCTTTGCTTCGCGTAGTTCCACAGCGTCGCCTCTTTGCCGGCTTGGACAAAGACTTCGCCGGACGACATGAGGTAGGCGATGGGGAAGAGCGACATGGGCACGGTGCGCTGGAGGATGCCCATCGGTCGACTGCCGCCGTTGTGCTTGGGCGGGTAGAACTCGTATGTTGGGTTGTTCGATCCTTGACTGGGCACAAAGCCGCCATCGCGCATACCGCCGAGGATAATGTTGGATCCATCGCGGAGCGGCTCCACCGTGGGGTACCATCGTTCGGTGTTGAGCGCGTTGCTCGCCTGATCGTTCCATTGACATGATCCGTTGTCGCACGGACTGAGGAAGCGGAGCGACTTGCCGCCATTGTACGATCCGTATCCCTTGCCCGGCTGTGCCGTAGCACCGTTGGTGGTGGTCGCCTTGTTGCCGCCCGTAACCAGCCAGCGTCCGTCCCCGAGCGTCATGCCGCCAGCACAAAAGGTGTTGGAACGCACGTCCATGGTGCGGTAGCGATTCGTGTTGATGTCGTACTCGACGGCCCACGCGGGATGGCCGTTGACCTTGATGGGGTTGTTCTCGGTCTTGTCGAGGATGTAGACTTTGTTTTCCGTGCCGAGGAACATCATTTGTGCGGAGACGCCTGAATTGCCGACGACTTCCATGGTGCCTGCTTTGCCTGCAGAGACACCGCTCCCGGCGCTGGCGAGCAGCAAAGCACCGAGGACGGCGCCCTTGAGCAGCGTCATCTGTGTTGAGAAGAGCATCGTGTGGCCGCTTGAGAGGCGGATTTGGACGAGGAGGCGAAGCTCGATGATTTGTCTTGCTGCCTCTTCAGCGAGATGGACTGCAGCGGCTAGAGGGTGGTCTTGTAGGAGAGGAGGAGCTTTCTTCTTCAGAGAGCGTTTGACTTTGCTGTGTCGTTGACAGGACAACGGGGTATCGAGAGCGGAGAGCGGTCAGAAGCAAGGCAGGAGGGGTCTCAACGGGACACAGGGGAAAAAGCGGGAGGTGTCGACGATGAGGTTATAAGCGTTTCTGACACATTCAAGGGCATCCACTGCACACACACAATGACGAGGGCCGGAAGGCACGTCGCCAAGCGCGGGAGGCGATCCTAGCTCTTGGTGCAGCCCACAAGCCTTGTGGCGTCAGTGGAAGCTCATAATAGGATGCGAATCATCTGGGCGTTCGCCCACAGCTCACATACTCAGAGGCGGCGTCGACAATGGCCGGTTCTTGTGCGCAGAGTGACGAGCACGGTTCGACGAATGCGAACGGCATTCGTGGTGGCCGCCATCGCTTGCGGGAGGCAGGGTGGCTTGGACCCTTTCGGGATGTGCATTGCATGCAGGGGCTGATCCGCGCTGTGCACGGCTGGGCTAAAGTGCGTGAGGAGGCCGGGAAGCTTTGAGAGATGGACGACGAGCGAGCTATAGCCGGCCAGCTATCGGTTGCCGAGACATGGAAGGGGTGGGGGGCCCAGGTTGAGCGCTCAGCTGCTGGGATCGACGAGATCGACGGAGGATGCGCGCAGACACGCGCGTGGGTCCTGGTAGGAACGGAAGGCACGGCGAAACAACGGAACGCGGCTAGGCCAGGCACACAAACAGCTGCGGTGCGAGACAAGACAATGGATCTTGGATCGACCAGGTGCATGGCAGAAAAGGGTTCGACCTCCCAAGCCACTTTGCGGGCATGTCGGCTGGCGGCACGGGTATGCAGACCATATCTTTGCCTGGCGTTGAGGAATGCTTCTCCTTTGCTCAGCGCGCGGAACATGACGTCGCGTGACTCAAACTGAAGGCGTTGCTACGGGATCTTCGATTGTGAGCGAGATGGTAACAAATATTAGTGCAGTGAAACTGCATGACGACTACGGACCGAAACTCCGCCCTTTTGCTTGCTTCCACTGAATTTCGCCCAGCGCAGCTCAGATGCAATCTCGACGCCCTGCGCTCCTACGGCCCGTCGATGTGACAGGTCGGAGTCGAAATCGTCGAGCGAATTTCACGATCCGCCTGTTCCTGGCCTCGCAGCATCGCAACCTATTCTTAGGCAAGGCAGCGCAGGTGCAGCGGTAGGCTCGTCCATTGCGCTATTTCAGTGTGGCTTGCGTGGGAATCCTTGCGATTCCCTTTGTTCACCGGCCCTTGTTTGTGCTGCCCCTTCGCCCGCGTCAAACCGTGTGCCTGAACAAACAAATCTTTTTGTCCCTCCATTTTACCCATCGTCCGCTCGCTGTCTTGCAATATCCATAGAAACAAACGCCGTCGTCACTCGAGGTTTCACCGCAGCCAGCGGATGTCGAATATACCTCCGTCATTCGGCGCGGTCAAGTACGAGCGAACGCAAATGCAGAACGTCTGCGGACTAGCCAACCCACCCTGGCGCACATCCGTTGGCGTTGGTGGGCGGGAACCAGCTTGCTGGCAACAATGCCACACGGGAACGAATGTCGTTTGATATAGTCCCACCTTTCAGCCTCATGGGAAGGGCTGGGGAGGCTTGCAGCGTGGATCTGAAGAAGACGCAATCTGAGACATGCCCGGCTCGGCTCTTGTGGCGCGATGGGCATTGGACAAGAAGATTTGGCTGGCTGGAGATGAAGGTTGGGAAAGCGGACAACCGGGGACGACTGAGACATGCGTGTGTACGGAGGGCCAACAATGCGATCGCGCATGGCCGGTGCCGATGAGACCGTCTTGTGAGTCTACAAATCCGAAGCGCACAGCTGGACAGTCGGCGCTAACAATCCGCCACAGCCGCTGGAGCGAGTATCGCTCGAGCTTGTGACCTGTCTTCGATCCTCGCACGCAACTCCACATCGCTAGCATCGCGGTAGCGGCGGACAGCTTGTAAGAGACAAACATTTGCAAGACGCGCAGCAGGACGAAGAATAAAGGTTGGTACGAGGATCGACCCTGGCGCGTGTGCAGGGTGCATTCCTGGTGGACCCTGCTTCTCCTCGCCTATTTCCCCGTCTAGGCTCCAACGACTCTCTCGCTGCACCACATGCACTTTCCCTAGGGACACCTATTCAGGCTCCTTTGTTCTCGTCGCGGGCCGCTTGACATCTGGGAACGTTCTTGGAATCGACCAAGCGCCTAGAATGCACCCCAGGGTCCTTTCACAAGTTCGCAGGCTATCACGACGAGGGCTATTGGAGATGGAATGCATTGTCAGAGCACCGCTTGCCAACAGTATGCCGCTTGGACCCAGGTCAATCGTCCAGCGCTCCGCACCGAGCGAGGATAGCACCGAGCTTGTCAGCATCGTTGACCTCGAAGTGGCTCGAGATGATGTCGGAAACGTTGATGTTCTCCAGGCCTGGAACGTCGTCGATCGCACGACTCCCCGCGACCCTCGGCAGCTTGCCCGCTCGCAGTTCCTCCACCGATACGCCCGATCCTAGCCAGGCCGCGATCCCGCAGACCATGTCCTTGGACGAAAAGACGTTGACAAAGCGTCGCTGCACGATCGTTCTGACTTTCCGCAGGGTCGCGTTCGACGGTGTGATCGGCGCCGAGATGAGGAAGACCGAGTCCACCAGGTGCGAGGTGTTCTCCGGATCCTTGGCGAGCTCGGTGAGGGCGGTAAGAATGGTCGCAGCTCCCAGGGAGATTCCGATGAGGATGACGGGGCGATGACCTTGGACTTCGTTGCGTAGTGTCTCTGCGAGAATCAGCCCGGCCTTGTGCGCCTTTGTCTTTGCCCGTACAAACACGCCGTCGAGTGTCGCCGACGCTGCGTTGAAGACGCTCATCGGCAGCGTGATGGCGGCGATGCCTGCAAGTGCCGTCTTCTTAATAACCTCCTCGGCTGCTTTAGTGCCTCCGGTGCGGATGAGGTTATCCAGCATGTAGGAGCGTAGGCCCTGTCCAGCCTCCTTCATCATGTCCGCCTCGCACTCGATGGCAAAGGCATCGCGGCCGTCCCTGGCACCCTCAAAGATTTGCGACCACGCCGCGATTTGCTGGTCGGTCTCGAGCAGGAGACCGCTGCAGCAAATGGTGGCGTGCAGGCTGGGGATTGTCACCCCAGCCCTGCGAGCTTCGTTGGCAAGCTCCGCGAAGGAAAAGTCGGCGATACCACGGAGGCGTCGTTCGACGCGGTAACCTGCGAGCCCACCGCCGCCGAGTCCGAAGAGCGTTCCGAGCATGATGATGCCGCCAGAGGTGGCCAGGAAAGAGGCTCCCGTCAGGCCGACCAGGGCAGGTGCGATCAGCGGCGCTGCCAGACCACCAGTCAGCCCGATGACCAGTCCACCAGCGATGAATCCGCCTCCCATCGCAGCCCACTTGCCCCACGTCACCTTCTCACGCTCGCGCTGGACCACCGAACCCGTGTGTTGGTTCATGTATTCCGATCGTTGAGACGCTTGCGTGATGGATCCTGTCCGTGCATCGAGCGAAGCACCAGCGGGCAGCTGTTCGACGATCCCCTTGCCGTTCTTGGATGCCGACGCCCGATCGCCCTCGCTCATAATGAAAAAGATGGTCTGCGCCATGACCTTTTCGGCCATCCAGATCTGGCACGCTGCAATGCCCATGGCTGTGACTGCGACAAAGATCAGCGACCGCGCTCGGGCATCGTAGTGGCAGACCTCATTCGGCTTGACGGGCTGCTTGGCGTCTTTGCTGGTCGACTTGGCTGAAGGAGAGGGGGTGCTGGCCTGCGATTGCGAGCCGACGAGCTCCTTGCTGGCGGACGACAGCTTGCTCCAGCCCGTGAGAGTGCCTGTTTTGAGCGAGGTGAAGGCGCTCATGGATGCGTCGCCAAGCATGCGCCCAGTATCGGTGACGGTTTTCATCGCATCGTCTGTTGCGCTCCCACGGCCCGGTGCTGACGTTGCGTTCGCATTTTGCGGACCCTCCCCGCTCTGACCTGGTCTTCGAGGAAGTGGCGGTGGCGGATGGGCGAGTTCAGGCTGCTCGATGTGGGCCTCGGTCTTCGGCAGATCGAGCTGCGTCTCGCCAAAGAGAAAGTCTTGTTCGAACAGCGTCGATGATCCGTCCTGAGCGCGGTACTGGCCCAAGCCTAGCGCGATCAACAGCAGCTCGTGCGCAACTTCGATCTCCTGGCCGGAATCGCGATCGAGTGCGCCCTGCATGCGTTTTGGTGTCGTCAAAGCCAAAGTGTCCTGCGAGAAAATTCGCGCTCGCTTCTCGCGGCTGAGTTCTGCACTGATGGTCTGCGAAGAGGTGGCATCTGACATGCTGTGGAAGAAGTCGGGAAGCTCTTGGGCGTCTTGATCGTAGTGAAAGCCCTCACTTCCGACATCAGAGTGCGGAGAATGGGGTGATGGCGATGTGCTGAGATGCAAGTCCCCGAATGCAACCGAGGGGTCCCCGAGCTTCTCTTCATCGCCACCAGCGGAAGATTGCGCTGCCTTTTCTGCGTTGAGTCCATCTGTAGGTTCGCCCTTCTTGGCATCGTCCACGCCCTTGATGGGAAGGTCGAGGTTCGGGAAGCGGCGAGCATGATCCGAACCGGATTCGTAGGTCGGCTCGTTCTGACAGATGGGGTCGCGCGTGTCTGCATGCTCCAGGCGACCTTGGGCTGCTGAAAGCACATCCTCGAGGCTGATCGGGTGAGGGGGCAGCGAGTTCTCCGGCACGCCGAGATGCTGACATGTCGCCGTGAGGAACTTTTGGCCGTAATCGGACCACTCTTGCGAGATGGAGGATGTGGAGGCACCGAAGGGGCCCGACTTGCTTGCCAGATGGGTCGCGCGCTCTACATGACGGTGCACAGCATACTTGATCGAGATGCACGTTGCGAGACGGAGATGCGGCGACCACGTTGGAGAGTAGGACTGTAAGGAGGACAGGTCGAGCGACGAGGAGCCTTGCTGGCTGCGTCCTTTCTTCGAGAACATGGCGAGTGACGATGCCCTCTATAGCGCTTCTCACAGCACTATGAAGCTGAAGTCGAGTCGTGTGTGGTGGTCCAAGATAAGGAGTCAGCAGCTCAGCTTTCGAGGTCTAAGCCTAAAGGCCCGAGCACCTGAAACCTTAAGACAGCCCTGCATGCAGGCACCTCAGAACAGCGCCTCCACCAGCCTTAAGCGGAAAGGAGTGCCGAAAAATGGAGATTTGTTAGAGTAGCATCGTCTGCCCGCCAAAAATCTCGCTTTCCCTTTTGCAGAGAGCGAGATCCGAGTTCTTTCTTTTCGAGGATTGACCCTTTCTTCTGACCTGCTCTCATCTCCTGGTCGACATCTCACAAGACCCACGCTGAACAGCGTATCAGAACGATCAAGATGCTGGCAAGATCGATCAGAGCCATCTCGGCCTCTGCAGTTGCTTCGTCATCACGAACGCTCACCACTACCACAGCACCAGCAGCAACGACTTCGGCGACGAAGCTCATCCCAAAGCCAGATGGTACGTTGTCCTTGTAACTCGACAGTCCCCTTGAAGCAGCTCACTGATGTACCTCCATCTTCGTATTCTATCTAGGCGCCATCTCAGATCCTGCGACCTTCCTGACCTCCATCTCCGGCCCGCGTCGCGATCTTGCGTCCAACTCGTCGCTCACGTCGGCGCTCGGCGACAAGTGGGCCAAGATCTTCACCATCGAATCGGCACAGCTCAAGGAGGCGGGAGTGACCGTCAAGGACAGGAGATACTTCTTGTGGGCAAGGGAGAAGTTCAGGCAGGGCGCAGATCCGGAGAAGTTTGTGATCGATGCCAAGCCCAAGAAGAAGGTGCGTGGGTGGGGGCCCAGGGTTCAGACGGCAGAGAGGATCCGGGTGAGGGGTGTCAGGAGGCCTGGCGAGAAGTGAGGGCAAGGCAAATCGGAGAACCTCGCTCGACATCTCAACTGTACAATACATACGCCATCCCGAACACAAGCATTCGCACGCATGAACTGTCGCAGTCCTTCAAAGCCCGCTCGGATCGCAGATGCATGCTATTTCTCTATGAAAGTCTAGGCAAAAGGTGCCTTGCGAAGGCTTCTAGCGCGGCTGCTGGAGAAGCCGCTGCTTGTTTTTCGCCCTCAGGGCTTCGGAGCGGCGATCAAAGACAGCGAGGACCGAGTTCTGGATCAGGGTATAGATACCTGATGAGAGCCAGTAGATGACGAGCACCTGCGGGCCGGAAAGCGGAAATTGAGGAAGAGCGTCGTCAGTTTGTGCACCACTTTGACTGATCTGTAGCGGCGAAGCAACTCACTCCTGGTGCTTGACACGCAATCGGAATGAAGGCGATGGCCATAATCCGCAACGCATTGGTGATGATTCTCGCTCTTGCGGGCTCTTCCGGCTCGTCCTGCTTTGCTCCCTTTGGTTGTTCTGCCAGCAATTTTCCTGCTGTTCTTGCCGCTGCATCCGACCTGTCCGAGGTGACAGCTCTCAATTTGGCGATGCTTCTCCTACTCCAGCTGTTGAGCTCTGTGTTTGCCAATGTGAGCATGCCAAAGCTGAGCGGCCCGATCATGGTGGAATCCTTGTCTACAAGTGTGGGTCCGCCCATGGTGCCCCTCAACTTGGCGATCGCGGCCTCGTCGAATCCTCGATCCGCCAAGATAGCCGTACTCGCCTTGAACTGCTGCGCAAGCTCTGGCGAAGGCGACCACCAAGGCAGCACCTCCGTACTCAGTGGCGAACTTGGATCCAGGGCACACTGGCGCAGCAGCGCAGTCATGAGCAGGAACACAGGAATGGTCACCAACGCAGGTCCGAGGAATGCCGGCAATGGCGAAGCATTGTGCTTGCGCAACAGCTCGGCGAGCTTAGCCTTAAGCTCCTTCTGCGCCTCCTTCTCGAACGCCTCGTACGACAGACCTGCTCTCCTGCTCCTCACCCGCACCTGCAACGGAATCTGCTCCTTCAGGATCTCCCACTCGGGCAGCACCTTTTCGGTCAGCTTTCGCGTCTTGCCGCGTTGCCACAGTGTGACGGGCAGCGTGACGACGGTTCGGACAGCAAAGGCGAGGATGAAGATAGAGAGTGCGTGCGGATAGGGCCCGCTGAGATGCATCGTGTCGGCGAGGTTGTTGATGACGGGCACCCATGGTTGGAGGAACTCGAATCCGCCTTGCACTACTTCGGACTCAGCGAGAGCTTGCGTGGCTGTGCTAGTGGCATCTGTTGCGCCTGATGCCTGCGAGGGAAGCGCCGTGGGTGTTTGTGTGGATGTAGGAGCTGCCAGTAGTCCTGCTGATGATGATGCAAAGCCTCGATGGCTGGGTGTGGTCGCTCGGTGAGGTAACGCGATGCGGGGGAAGGCTCCAGCTGGCGGAAGCAGGCTCGCTCGTGCACGAACGCTTGCTACAGCGATACGAAAGACACCTCGACTCGCCATGACTGCTTCAACTGCTTGCGCTCGACAATGCTTGTCGATGTCGTTGGCTGGAAAGGATGGGTCGAAGCTGGTCAATGGACCTTTCAAAGGGAAGCTGGTGTTGGTCAAGCAGCTGTGAGCCTTGTCCGACTCCACTTTTCTTCCGAGCTCTATCGGCGATACCGCTGTACAGCCCACTGGAATCTCCCGATGCAGAGCGACCATTTTACGCGACTGCAGAGCGCGTCTTGTTAATTTGAGTGTGTGAGCGGCGTGCGTGCGTGGAGGTGTTGGTCTCGTTTGTCGTTCCGATGCTGAGTTTGCTTGCAACGCCACCAGGTACCACAGGTATCGGAAGGCTACCGAGTAACGCTCGACTCAGCCATTCCCTTCACCCGCAGGCAGCACAGCTCAAGAGCCTATGATCAGCACACTAAGCTCAGTCAAGTTTCCGGCTCAGCTTCAAATCTTCCTTTCTATGATCACACAGCACGGCAGACCACTCGGATCATCACATCGAAACCTTGAGAGGAGCATACTCGGTCCACTTGGCACCATCACACGTCTTCCTTGACGATCGCGCGGCAACACATCGCCCTTTCATCTCAGGCCTCGAACCTTGTTCGCCTCGTCGGTCCGCGCTCAGCTTCCGCACTCTGCATAAGAAGCGGTTGCGGAAACAAACATGTCTTGTTCTCCTTCCACCACCACCGCCAACTCCTTCCGCACCTCCTTGCTCTACTCGTAGTTGGCTCCATAACATACACATAGCATATCGCTGGCCTCCATCATCCAGCATAGTGCTGCACAGCACGTACCGCCGCCATCATGGCAAACGCGGCAGACGAGTTTGACGATATCGACGACTTTGACGAGTTCGATGACTCGGCGCTCTTGCAGCTCGATCAGATCGAGAACACGCTAGTCAAAGATGCTCCCGCTCCGAGCACGTCCGCGTTTCACCAGCCATCCCGCATCCAGACATTGTCTTCCATCAGCAAAGCCGGTGCTTCGAGAGCTGGTCCGCAGCTTCCGCATTCGACGTCGAACGGCTCTTCAGCATGGGCCAACAAGGCAGGCCCGTCGGCGGTAGCTTCCACATCCGCAAAGCCGATACAGAGGGTGTCTTCGATCGGCTCGAATGGATCGATCCAGCCCGCATCCTCGGGAGTTGCTCGGCAAATGACGCTCTTTGGCAAGCCCGCGACGCCCAGCCAGGTGGTCTCCTCCAGTCCCGGCCACATCACCATCTCCTCGCAGTCCGCACTTCACAACGAGTCGCCGAACAACAACGCTGCCTCGTCCAGCTGTCGCCCCCTCTGGCTGAACAAAGTCGGGAAAAAGACGTGGGATAGGGAGGCCTACCTTCACCGCGAGAACGCAAAGAACCGCGAGAAGGACGAATTTGGTACGCCGATCGACGTAGACGAGCTCAGCTTTGACGAGGACGCCGTGGACACGGGCGACGCAAAAGGCAAGGCGAAACGTGACTGGGATGCCGGCAGCAAGTACGAAAACGTGGTCCCACCCGCACCCGCAGATCCCCGCCGCAACCTCCCTCCTCCGCAGCCGCAGAAGTGCCAAATCGACCTCGAGGCTGCCAAAACCTGGATCTACCCTACCAACATGGAAAGGCGAGACTACCAGTACAACATCGTCCAAAAGGCGCTCTTCAACAATGTCCTCGCTGCACTCCCCACTGGTCTCGGCAAGACCTTCATCGCCGCGGTCGTCATTCTCAACTTCTTTCGGTGGTTTCCTGAGGGCAAGATCCTCTTCCTCGCCCCCTCTCGTCCCCTTGTCGACCAGCAGAAGATCGCATGTCACAAGATCTGCGGCCTGCCCTGGGACTGTGCCATCGACTTGACCGGCAATACGGCAAGCACTCGCCGAGTCGGCCTTTGGCAGAGCAAGCGCATCTTCTATATGACTCCGCAAACACTCGAGAACGATATCCGCAAGGGAAGCTGCGATCCGCGCGACGTCGTTTGCGTCGTCGTCGACGAGGCGCACAAGGCTCGCGGTCGCTATGCGTACGGCAACATCATGGGCATGCTCATGGAGGTCAACCCGCACTTTCGCGTGCTCGCTTTATCCGCCACGCCCGGCAAGGACTCGGACAGTGTCCAGCAGGTCGTCGATCAACTTCACATCAACCACATCGAGATCCGCACCGAAGAAGCGATCGACGTGCAACGCTACATGCACCGCAAGCACGAAGAGATCGTCAACGTGACGCTCGGCAAAGACCTCAACTTGGTCAAGGAGAACTGGGCCAAGCTCATGCAGACGCAGATGGATCCGCTTATGAAAGCCGGTCTTCTCCGCAATCAAGATCCCGTCTTTCTGCATCCCTTCGCCGTCAACGCCATCGCCAAAGACCGCAGTCGCGCAGGCATCCTGGCCGGCAAGCCCTGGCTGCGATCCAACCTTTCCGAGCTCGCCCACATGGCATTGTCCATGCAGTATCTTATGGAGCAATCCATCATGATGTTCTACAATCGTCTCAAGGAGCGCTCCATGGGCTTCAACCCGAGTGGCAAAAAGACGGCCTCCGCCAAGCAGCAGATGTACGCCAACAAGAACACGACCTTCGCCGAGATCATCCGCGAGCTCGAGCTGATGCAGGATCCTAAAGGCCGCATCCTTCATCCGAAGATGCTCAAGCTGCGCAATGTGCTGAGCGACCACTTTGACAGGTTCGCGGCCGAGCAGGTGCACAACGTGGAAGCTTTTGCCGAGAGCGGACACGATGTGCTTGGCAACACGCCTACTTCAGGTCAGCTGGCCAGCTTTGGTGATTCATCTCAGGCGGAGACGCGAGCGATGGTCTTCTGCTCGTACCGCGAGTGTTGTGACGAGATCGTTGGCTTTCTCAACGATTCTGGCTTCAAGGCGACCGAATTTGTCGGCCAGAGCAAGTCCAAGACCGGCAAGAAGGGCATGTCGCAAAAGGATCAGGAGCGCGTCATTGCCGAGTTCAAGGCGGGCAAGTACAACGTGCTGGTCGCCACCTCGATTGGCGAGGAGGGTCTCGATATTGGATCGGTGGATCTCACCGTCTGCTACGAAGCGGTCAAGGACTCGATCCGCATGCTGCAGCGCATCGGTCGAACGGGTCGAAAGCGCGAGGGCAAGATCGCCGTGCTCGTGTCCGAGGGGCGGGAGCAACACAACTGGCAGCACTCGAAGGACAACTACAAAGCGGTGCAAAAGGAGGTCGATTCAAAAGCGCACGTCGAACTCTTCGAAGATGTCGACCGCATGGTGCCTAACAACATCAGTCCCCAGGTCGTCTTGAAGGAGGTGGAGCAGCCCGAGTTCGATCCGTCGATGGTGTCCGAGGGCACCAAAGCGACCAAGCCGGTGCGGGCCAAGAAAGAGCCGAAGCCAAAAAAGGATCCCAAGCGCAACATGCCCGAAGGCGGCGACATCATGGCGGGCTTCCGCAAGGCATCGACGTTGACCAAGCGCAAGCGTACGGCCAGCAGCGACAGCGACGCGGCTCCCGAGGTACCCGAAACGCACAGCCAAAAGATGCAGCGCCTTCTCAAGGTATCCAGTGCCGATCTGAAATCTCAGTTCGACGACGATCTGGACGAGCTGGACCTGCGACCTCCGCAGCGGAAGACTCGTGGAAAGCGAGCCATTGCTTCACGCTCGAGTTCACCGCCGTCCTCACCTCCGCAGCTCTTCGGAAGATCGAATGGAAGCCTGTCCTTCCCCACGCCGCTCGCGCTATCGGACGGTATCGAGACACCGCCGCTCCCGAGCTCATCGTCGTCCTCGCGACCACTGGCAGCAATTGGTGCGACCACGCGAGGCAAAACGCTCGGCACGGGACTCAGGAGCTCCGGTCGCAGCGCACAGAGCTCAGGCACGCTGGCACTGCGGAAGAGTGGCGATGCTGGTGAAGCGACCACCAACGGGAAGAACGGCAGCCAGCCGAAACCGTCGCTCGAAGCCAAATCTCCACGTAACAGAGGCATCGCCATCCCGATCGACGACGACGATGACGACGAGTTTGGCGTCGACTTCACGGTGGACTTGTCGATCGAGAACGAGATTCAACGGGTCGAGAAGGAAGCTGCAGCCTTGCTCTCTTGGGAGGCCGGCAAGGAGAAGATTCCGACTTCGTCCTGGAAGCGAGCCGGCACCAGCAAGCGTGACAGCAAAGCCATGGAAGAGGATTCGTCGTCGTCCTCGGTGCCAACCAAAGCAGCGCCCCTGAGGTTCGAGCCACACCCGATCATGGCTGCCTTGATGGCTCAAGACGAAAAAGCCAAGCAGAAGGAAGCCACCCTTTCCGCCCAATCCGTCCTAGATTCGCCTGCGAAGAGCTCGATGGGACCTCCGGACTCGGTCCCTCGCCGCGCAGGCACCAGTCGCACCAAACGCGTCCTCATCGAGTCACCCGACGCTTCCTCGTCTGCGCAACCAATGGAGGTGGATGCGGAGCAAGACGCAGCCTCATCGTCGCCCATCAAAGCGCCTGCCAAACGAGGACGGCGTCTGCAGAAAGCCTCGTCCTCCACCACGCGCGTCGAGGCCGACACGAGTCCTACTGCCGCCAAAACACGCGGTCGTCGCCCCACCAAGGCGCGCATTCCCGACGACACCGATACCGACTCGAGTCCGCAGAAAGCCAAGGGGAAAAGCAAGTCGGACGCGCCGTTGGAGGGTAAGAAAGGTAAGAAAGGCTCTTCGAGTCGGATGGCAGGCGTGGTGGGGAAGAAGAAGCGCAAGATCACCAACTCACCCACGTCTCGTGCGTTGTTTCAGTACGAAGCGGAGCGGTCTACGGACGAGGAGGTGCACGGTGAGCGCGACGAAAATGATTCTGGGCTCGGCAGTTCTGCGGAAGACGACTCGGATCGGGAAGCTGTGGGCGATTTTATGCCGACGCAGGCTCCGCGTGGGTATCACCAGCAGAGCGTGTATATGCAGAGCATGATGAGCCAGCGGGCGCCAGAGGAGTTTCAGAGGGTGAGGCACGGACCGTTCCCAGGAGTAGGAGGCAAGTTCGGCGAGCCCGTGACACCAAGGAGGCGGATGGCGGAGGTGAGGAGGAGAGGCCAGATGTCGAGCGAGCCCAGGGCGGGAGGCAGAGGGTTGGGGTCCGAGGATATGTACTCGGAGGACTCGTTCGTGGTCAATGACGAGGAGGAGATCGTCTACGATTCCGACTCGGATGCGTTGCCAGACAGCAGCCAGTTCTAGCGAGCGAAGAGAGGGCTATCCGCCCGTCAAAAGCATTCACCCACAGCATTTCATCAGAATCGGCCTCACGGTATACGAAGACCATGACGAAACCAAAGCGCGGGCTGCAGACCTTGAAGCGAAGAAGACGATGACCAGAGTTGCGAGAACACCAGAGAAGCGATACAAGTACAGAGAGGTTTTGTTGTTGGTCGGACCACTTTGACAAAGGGCGAAGCTGGCAAAGAGGGCGGTAGTCTAGCTACCAACGGGTCAGCATCCGAAGGACCTCGAGAGGTTGCGACGACGCGGAGACCCAGGCGAGTGGAAGGGACGTCTAGGAATCGTCCATCATGATCTGGACGAATTCGTTCTCGTTGATCTCTCCGTCCTGATCCAGGTCGAATTCATCGATCATGGCCTGCAGCTCGTCATCGTCGAGTGTCTCGCCGAGCTCCTTTGCGACCCGCTTGAGATTCCTCAACGAGATCTTGCCGGTAGCGTCGTCGTCGAATAGCGCAAACGCCTTGCGGATCTCCTCCATGGGGTCTCTTGATGCGATCTTTTCCGACACTGTCGTTGGCAACGGTTCACAACAAGTAAAGTTTCAGGCATCAAGGTCAGTATGCCTGCATCTTTAGGCTTGGTTCGTGCTGGTCAGCGAGACTTACTGATGCGGTTGAAGTCCTCCCACTCGAGCAGCCCCGAGTTTGTCTTATCGTTCTCCCTCAACAGCTTCAACACCTCCGCCTTCTTCAGATCGAATCCCAATGCTCGCATAGCCACCTTCAACTCGTGATAGTCCACCGCACCGTCCTTGTCCGTGTCGAACAGCTCGAAGGCCTCCTTGATCTCCTGACGCTGTTCGTCTGTGAGTGCGGCCTCGATGTGATGGTGCGAATTGGCCATTCTGCTGGACGAAGAGGTGAGGTGGTTCGGCGTGGAGGTGTGATTGCTGGTGGAGGCGCCGAGGTTGGCCGCTCGCCGCTTGGCTGCTTTGGAAGACGGCGTGTAGAGCGACATGCTTGGATGTTGGTGGTCAAGAAGAGACGAGTGGGGCTGCGCACGGATGAGGAGGTCGATGGCACTTCATTGACGGAGCGCAGCCTGCGCTTGAGCTAAAAATGCGGAACTCAAGGTCGAAGACCAACACTTTGGCAAATGAGGCGCGAAGGCCAGCTTCTCTGATGAAGCTCTTTACGCGCGAATCCTTGCACTTGACGCGTCCGAAATTTGCGAAGGTGTCGAATCACCGAAAGTGTTGCACCAACGAAAAGAGTTGCTTCTGATCGGCGACTTTTCGGAAGGGTTGCTTTGTGCTGACTTGACCCTTTCGCAGCTCCACCTGAAGTGGCGTTTCACAAAGATGCAAAGAGCTGCACGTTGGCTGAGTTCACAGCGCTCGGTTCAAGACGGCTGAGTCGAGACGAGACGCATTCACAAACGTCCGACCTTTCGTACATCACACCTCCTCACAATCACACCTGAGCTTCATTTCGTTGGAGCCGAACAGCATTAAGCTCGACGCACGCGCACGGTCGAACGGCGAAGGAACGCGAGCGAAGTAGGAGTCGAGTAGATCCTCACCAACACGATAAGCTCAACACTCCGCTATCACACGGAATCTCATCAAGGGTCTCACAACACAGTCTGGCGGTAGAATGGGCAAGAAGGGCAACGGCAGCCGGGGCGGTCCACCAAATCGAGGCAGAGGCGGTGGCCGTGGTCGCGGTCGAGGCAGAGGAGGCGGCGGTGGCTTCCAGCCTTTTGGCGGTCAAGGCCACGTCCTCGGCGGAGCATCTGGATCTGCCTCTCCGTCCGGATACAACTCTCCTCGTGGTGGCGCAGCGAATGGAAGGCCGTTCCGAGGTCGTGGACGAGGCGGCCACCTCTCCGTCTCCGGTCAGAACCGCGCCGGCTTTGACTATGGCTCTTTCTCGCGCGGCAATCGTCGCGACTACGATGATGACGACGAGGACGACGAGGATGAGGATGAAGAGGATGATGAGGAAGACGCTGCCGACTTTGCGATAGAACCTCCGAAAGGGTACAAGCATAAGGTCAAGCCACACCTCGAATCGGACGTGGTCTCGGATCCCGAGGACAACTCTGCAAAGCCGCAAGCGCCACATCAACTAAACATCCCATCAGGCAGCACCACGCCACAGCGTGTCTTCAACGCTTCCTCCATTGTAGCGAGCGCAGTCAAGCCGCGCTTCACTCCTCGCTCCACCGCGCCCACCAACTTTCCCGAGTTCTTCACCAGCAGAGGCGCTGCCGGCGGAGGCAAGTACCGCCCGCCAGAAGAGACCGAAGATTCCAGGTACCTTGCCGGCGTGCCTGGTCTTCGCAGACCCGAGCGCAAACAGCGTAATGCTCCACGCTTTGGCGACCCAGCCGATTCGGCACAGAGCCCCTTCCGAGTGCCTGTCGCCTTTGTCAAGGCTACAGGCGAGTTCGGCGATCCTCTCAAGGGCAACTTGCCGCCTACAGATCCCAACGACGCATCCATAGATCCAGCTGCTCCCATGCAGCAACTGACAGAGGCGCAGCAGCAGCAGCCGCCTCCTGGCGATCAGTCTGCTCCTCGTCATGCCGGTCTTGGCTTCTCTAATCGCTCCAATGTAAAGCCTGCTGTACCGGGATCCGCCGACGCGGCGGCTCAGAAGGCAGCACAGCAAACGGCGACGCCATATCAGCCCTCTCGTGCGGCACCCGTCTTCCCTGACACGACGGTGAACGCATTCAACTTCGACGGTCTGGATGCGATCGACGGCGAGAACGATGACGAGGTGAACGCGTTGCTCGCCGCCTTCCCGGGGTCGAAAGAGCTGGCACCAGGAGAGTCGATGATCGAAGATGACGCTTCTTTGACATGGTCCATGCCGGCCTTCCAGCCCGAAGCAAGGGCTGTACCATCCAACCTCGCAGAAGCGCCAAAGAATGGGTCGTCCAACGGCTACAATCTGCAAGATCAGAAGGCCGCGCCCTCCACACAGTACGCGACGGCCAAGCCTGCATCTCGAAGCTCGATCTCCTCCTCCTCGGACGACGAAGAGATCATCCTAGTGCCCTCGCAGTCGCAGACGCATACAGAGCATGCTTCGATCAAAGAGCAGGTCACTGTGGTGGAGAACGTTCGGCAGCCCGCACTCGACTCAGTTGCTGAGATGGAGGTCGAAAGTAAGGTTGAGGTGACGGAAGAGACCGACTTCGGCTTTGTGATCGACCTCGAAGGCGAGGATCCAGACGCTGCTGCAGAACGTACAAATGCCGGTGCGCCCACCACATCCTCGCATCGTATGGCTCTTGGCGACGCCGTCGCAACCAGCTCGAAAGCGCCACGCAAGAAGCAATCCGCCAAGCGAGGCAAGCCGGCTCGCATCCCGCGAGAGGGCGATTCCGACCTGGATTGGGGCAGTGATGGCCCGCCAGGCGATTCTGGCGACGACGACGACGTTGTCGAGGCTGACAATCTCGCAGCTGCCACCGCTGGCATCCATATCACGCGCAGCAATAACGATGAAACCATCACTGATCCCATTCTGCTGAAAGCGATCCGCGCTGATCGTCACGAGTGGGAGTCGGAGGACGACGGCGACATTGTCATGGAGGCCGCCAAGAACAAGCGTCGCGGCGGGCAGCGGGCCAAACGCTCGCTTGCCAACCGCAATGCCACCTCGCGCAACAATGCGCGCAGTCGCAAAGCCGACCAGGAGGCGATTGTCGCTGATTACATGCAGAACATTCTCGACCAGGGTGCCGACACGTCTGACGAAGATGCAGCCAAGGATGATCTGTTTTCGACCGACGACATGGTTGTGGAGACGGTCGACGGTGGGTTGCCCTCAGAGGCTGCCGGAAAGGGCAAGGCTGCAGCTCGCCGCTTGTCAAACAAGCTCGATGACAAGACGGACATGGACGCCATGATTCGTTTCATGAACGGCATGGATCCTCAGAAGGGCGGCCGTCAGCTCGGGTTCGGCGACATCGAGGATGAGATCCATATGGATGAGGTCAAGGAGTGGCTCACCGAGAGCGAGGACGACAGTGACGAGGATGGAGACGGCGACGGCGTTCAAGTGGTCGACGTTAACGCCGAAGCGGCCGCATCAAAGAAGTCCGCCAAGCCTGAAGCTGCCGGAGACGACGAAGAGGACGAAGACCTGGCCGAGCAGCTCCGCATCATTCTCGAGGCCGATGACGATGACGAGAGCAGCGAGGTCTTCAGCGAAGACTCCGAGTCTTCCGAGGAAGAGGATGATGATGATGATGATGAGGATGTTAGCGACAGCGACGATGATGATGATGACGAAGGCATGTTCCGCGGCAAGTATTCGTGGGCTGACGAGGACGAAGACTTCATCCGGGCACTGTCATCCCAAGTGGGCGGTGCCGGCATCGGCAGCCGTTCCGGCTCCGCTCCCTCGTCGAAACGCGCGCAGAAGAAGCTCTTCCACGCCATCTCGAACGGCGACTTTTCCGACCTGATGGATCTCGCTGCCGACGAGAATGAGATCGACTCGGACGACCCAGCCTACGGTATGGGCTCAATTCCGACGGCTCGCAATGGCAAGCGCAAAGGGCGCAAGTTCACGTCGGACGACCTCTGGGCCGAAGAGCTGCAACAGCAATGGGACAAGGACCGCGCCGGCAAAGCCTCCAAAAAGCAACAGCGTCTCGCCGAGCGTCAGGCTGCGGCGCTCAATCCGTTCCCCAACACGCATGGCGCTGCGGGCAGTGCCGGAAAGACCAAATCCACCAAGAAGCAGCTCAAGCTCGCGCGCAAGGCCGAGAAGCGTGAGGCGCGCGCAAGCCTCAAGGCGCACTCGAACAACGTGGTCTCTGCGATCAAGGCGGCGGGCTCGCTGGATGCGGTCGACGCGTCGGTGCTCACGTTCGGCGGTCAGAGTGCGTCGGGCGACATCACCTCGTTGGGCCTCGACAAGCGGTTCGCGTTCAATATGGACGAGCTGAACCAGCAGATCCAGCACTTCCTCTCGGAGCGCGGAAGGAACACGATGCGCTGCCAGCCGATGGACAAGTTTGCCCGCGCCGAGGTGCACGCTCTGGCAGCGGCATACAATTTGCAGTCCAAGAGCAAGGGCAAGGGGCGGGATAGGTTCCCGACGCTGATCAAGACGAGCAAGAGCGGGTTGAACGTGGATTACCGGAAGGTCAAGCGGATTGTGTACTCGAATGCGGGCGCTACGTTTGGCAACGATGCGGGCAGGAGCGATTTCAAGGACAAGGGCAGGAACAAGAAGGGCAAAGGTGGCGGTCAGGCTGGTGGCATGTATGGTGTGGGCGGCGGAACGGTGCCGAAAAACAGGGAGGGTGAAGAGGTCGGATTTGGAGCGGACAAGATCGGAGCGGACAACATCGGACACAAGCTGCTCGCGGCGATGGGATGGACGGAAGGAAAAGGTATTGGAAGCTCGCAGGGTATGGCCAATCCTGTCTCGGCGACGGTCAAGACGTCGCGTGGCGGTCTTGGTTTCTAGAAGAGACCATCTTGTGGTGCCAGCTGTGGTTCATGAGGTCAATGACATAGATGACCACGCTCGCATCGTTGTGCCTGTGCAAAAGGCGCTGCTCTGAATGGCTGATTCTGCAAGCGAATGAATGCCTCTCTAGCTGATGAGACAATCTGCGATAGATCCTTTGGACATTGCAATCTAGCGTCATATCAATACAGTCTCTACCTGTCTAGAGCTCGACCTTCCCCGCGCTACCCATCATCTGCTTGACCTTGTTCAAGTTGCTAATCAACCTATCCACCACTTCCGGCTTTCCTCTCTCCTCCTCGCCCAGACTCGCCCACAGCTGATTGCTATTCTCGATGAGCCTTTCCATCAATCCCTCTCCTGCTGTTGCTGTAGCCTCGGCGACCTTACTTGTAACGTTGCTTGCCTTCTGTGCGACGCCGCTGGCGAGGTTCTCCGAGGGAGCTGTGCCATAGACATAATACGCCACGCGGTTGGCGACCTCGCTCGCGTGCCTCGGCAGGTAGTGCACCACCGTGTAGCACAGCAGGAGTGTGAGGGTGATGAAGACGCAGATGACGAGAAACACCTCCCATGCTTCGAGCATCGAGAGGACAAAGGTGCCCTCGATGTTCCAGTAGGTGCGGAAGAGGTTGCGTTCGATGAGGCGGATCGGGTTCCACGTCCACGCGTTGGCGGTTTCGTAGGCGTTGGGTTCGCGTGGCGTCTTGAGCGGAAGGTGCGTGGCGTGGTTGGTCAGTGTCGAGGAGGAGGATGAGGAGGAGCCAGTGCCGGCAGAGGTAGGAGGTGCAGCCTTGGCGGTGGCCGCTGAGGAAGGATGCAGATGCTCCGAAGAGCCGTTTGCTTTCGAGGAGGCCTTTTTCATCTTTGCTGGCATCTTCGAAGAGTCTGATAAGACAACCAGGACGACGAGAGAGGTGGAAGGAAGATGAGATGGTGTTGGTCGACGATGAAGGTCATCCACTGCTTTGCCGAGGCAAAATTTCCGACACGCCCAACACTCATGAACGGCACGCATACACACGCTGCCGCCTTGTTCAAGTGACGTTTCCGGCTCTTCAAGTCCGCGACTCCGCCGTGACACTGAAGCGCGCCTCACAGGCTGTCAGCCTCGAGGGAGCATTTTCCACAGTGTTAGACCCTGAGGCAAGCTGTCAAAGTCGAGGGCGCAGCAGGAAGATGTGGAGTCGCGCTCAGGTCAACTCTCGAAAGTGTTGCTCAGCCTTACCCACATTCGCCATCTTCATCTCTCAGCGTCACAAGCTCTTTCACCTACCCCACGAGACTCTGAAGCCAGTGGTTGAGATACACGTCGCACTTCAAGATGGCGATCACGAACCTGACCGGCATCGAGGACACACTCGCACTCATCCTCGAGTGCGCAGGTGATCTCGCCCGTATCGAATCAACACTACTTCCAGCTCTCCGCAAGCTCTGCGACCACGCTCCTTCCAACGGCGAGTCGTCCTCACGCAGCGGCCCCAGTTCGAGCCGATCACAAGCTCCTGCTGTCTCGGATGCGGTACTCTGTCAGCCTGTCCAAGGCAATGTCGACCCGCTCTCCGTCCTCGACCCGGCCGTGCACTCGATCGGCATGCTCTACATCCTCGTCGCTCGAGCAACGCACTCTGCAGGCTCGGTCGAGAACGGTACGCTACTCCTTCCTCACATCACAGCTTTCGTTCAGCGTTTCAGCCCGCCTCAGGTCCACCTCGCGGGAGACAAAGTCGCGCAGCTGGCGGCAACCTTCTCGGCGCTCGGCGACCAAGTCACAAATCCAGAATCAGCGTTGCAGCTCCTGCAAGCGTTGGCGTCGAGATTCTTGACCAGGTCAGAGAGCATAACAGCACTGCATCCGATGCTAGCATATCAGTACCTCAAGACGGCTCGCTACGCAGAGGCGGCTACCATGCTCATCGATCTGCCGCTCATCGATGCGGATACTTCCATCACGCCGCTAGTCCATTCGGATATCTTGCAGTACTTCTACTACGCGGCACTCATCTATATCAAGCTCGACAGGCTGCACGATGCCATTGATGCTCTCGAGACCGTAAGCTCACCGCCCATCATGCACACATTTCGCAAGAGAAGAAGGCTGAGCAACACCGAATATCTTAACTTTTCTACTCCACAGTGCATCTCGAGCCCGGCCGTAGCTGTCAGCGCCATCCACATGGACGCATACAAAAAGCTCGTCCTCGTACAGCTCCTTGCAGACGGCAAAGTCTCCCCTGTGCCGCAGTACACTCCGCAGGTCATCACAAGGGCCTGGAAGCAGATGGGATCACCAGGGCAAACCCCATACAACACATTTGCTTCCGCGTACGCCCGGGGAGACGACAAGGGGCTCGATGCCGCACGTCGCATCGCTGAGGAGCGGAAGGACGTCTTCGAGAAGGATAGGAACATGGGTCTCGTCAGACGATGCTTGGCGTTGCTCACACAGAGGAGGGTCCAGAAGCTGGGCGAGGTATACAGTGCTCTGTCGCTCAATCAGATCGCGCAAAAGATCGGGGCACAGGGAGACGATGTGGTTCAGGGCGTGTATGCTGATGTGCAGGATATCGTAAGTGCAAGACCGCCCATTCTTTCACGGCTCAGATTGCTGAGTTTGTTGACTGACTAAGTCTTCTGACTGACGACACCCACAGGTCCGCAAAGGGTGGATCTACGCCACACTTTCCCCTCCCCGCGGTGCTTCGGGCGCTGTTAACGGCGACTGGGTGGTCCACTTTGACTCGTTCGGTGGCGACAGCTTTACCTCGACCTCATCCATTTCGCTGCTCGAAGACAAGATCCGGACCGCCAAACAGTGGCAGGCGCTGTTGCAGGAGAGGGACAGGCAGATCCAAAAGAGCCCTGCTTATCTGACCAGGGTGAGTCTTCCTTCATGAGCCGTTGTCTCCTAGCGTAGATGTAGCTGTGATACTGACCGTGATATTCTTGCCTCCCTCGTGATGCTGATTGCTCGTCTGCAGGGTCTCAAGATCCGGGATGCGAGGACGGCAGGCGCAGACGCATATGCGGAAGGGGACGAGTTCCACGCGTTTGATGATGCTGACTACTGAGAGGCTTTCACCGTGCAGTGTCAATCTGATCTAGCTTTGCAACTACTTCTCGTTGCATCAGCAGCATCTTTACTTTGTGTACGTGCGAGATATGCTTGTTGAGCGGTGAGGCCTGCCATGCTCTTGAGCAAGCTCCCACCGAATGTGTCTGCTGAGCGCTAAGGGGCGTTTTTCGGCCGTATAATTTTCGATCCGCACACTTGAGCAGCTGCATTCAAAAGTCACACGCGACCCTGCGTCTCCGCACTCCCTCTCCCACGATCATCTCCAACAAACAGCATCACATCCGCCCCTCAACGTTTTGACAAGATGGTGAAGCGGTCCGCGCAGTGCAAGTTCCCCGTGGCTCGGATCAAGAAGATCATGCAGGCCGACGAGGATGTGGGCAAAGTGGCGCAGGCGACGCCGGTGTTGATCTGTGAGTGACCACCGAAGATCTCCCTCCAGAGGGGATAGGGCAAGCGCAGAAGAGACGCATAGATACTGATCTCCGACTGCTTGGATCTCAAATGCAACAGCGAAAGCTCTGGAGTTGTTCATGGCAAGCATTGTCGAAGAGACGGTCAAGGAGACAAGAAGTCGCGGCGCCAAGAAGATGACTCCGTACCATGTGTAAGTGCATCCCTTCGCCCTCCTTTTTGACCCGTATGACGACTCGCACTGACGTCTCTTCTTCTCGCCTATCAACGCCCCTTCTCCTCTGTTGTTGCGACGACGACAGCAAACGCACCGTTCACACCAACGAGACCTTCGACTTTCTCAAAGACATCGTCGCCAAGGTACCGGACCCGGTCGAGACCGAGAGCAGCACAGCAGCAGCGGGAGACAACCGTGGCGGCAAACGCAGAAAGACGGCCAAGAACGAGGACGATTCGGATTGATGCTGGATGCATTGTCTTTCTGCTCCGTCGCAATGTCCCCTTGTTCTTGCATATACCATCACGCGCTTCCAGTTCCGATCTCTCTGCAATGCATTGTACTTCTACGTCATCCGCATCTCTGATAGCCCATCCGTCCGTGGACCAATTGAGAGCCTGTGCAAGTCATCAAGAAGCACATGCAGAACCAACTTGATGAGCTTACGGCGTCGAGCATCCTAGCCAAAAATCCAACATTGTTAGAGCGAGATTCCCCAGCCGGATTCGCCGCGAAAAGGCCAAGCAAACGTGGGCCAAATTTAGGCCAGCATCCCAGCAGCCGACTGTAATCTTTGGGTGAGCTGCTGAGCTTTGGCCCCTTTGGCCGTGTGTGTGTCTCGCCGTGTGCTGCGCCACAATTTCTGCCGCCTGGTCCCGCGCACTCACGCTCGGCAGGCAGCCTCTCTCTCTCCACACACTTGCCTGCAGCTCAGTGTCGAATTCACACCTTTGTACGCTGCCATCGGCCTTCGAGCTACCATCACCTACTGCCATTCCTCATAAGCTTCCATTCCTCATAAACTTTCGACCAACGTAATCTGCACAGCTCTGCTCAAGGCTATTAGATACGTACGTCGGCGAGCACATCACGCAGACAGGCAGCTCAGCCGTTCAATCGCCTGATCACGCTCTCAAACCTCCGATAACGACACCACACCGCGCATATCGCCTGGACACTTGGAGACGATCGAGACTTCCGACGTCTACACATCGCCTGCTCGACACTTTCCTGCCACCTCAATACAATGTCCGCTGCTCCAACGACCAACGCTGCCGCTGGCGAGGCTCCCGCCGCCGCTGCGCCCCAAAAGCCGTTCCAGACCAAGCTCGTTCTGCTCGGCGAAGCCGCCGTTGGCAAATCGTCCGTGGTCCTGCGTTTCGTCCAGAACGACTTCCAGGAGAACAAGGAGCCTACGATCGGAGCTGCCTTCCTGACCCAAAAGTGTCGTCTCGAGGACCGATTGATCAAGTTCGAGATCTGGGACACGGCGGGGCAGGAGCGCTTCCACTCGCTCGCACCCATGTACTACCGCAACGCCCAGGCTTCCGCCGTCATCTACGATGTGACGAAAGCAAGCTCGTTCGAGAAGGCCAAGTCCTGGGTCAAGGAGCTGCAGCGTCAGGCCAATCCCAACATCGTGATCGCGTTGGTGGGCAACAAGATCGATCTGCTCAACGAAACGACTGCCGAGGCGGGTGAGGAGGAGGAGGACGAGACAGCAACAGCAAACGAATCGACACCAAGTGGAGATTCGGCAAGGGCTGTGCCCAAGGACGAAGCCGAGGCGTACGCCAAGGAGGGTGGGCTGTTGTTCTTCGAGACCTCTGCAAAGACCGGCGAGGGCGTGGTGGAGGTGTTCACCGAGATTGCGAAGAAGATCCCGATCGATCTTCATCTGGCTAAGAATGCGGCGGCTGGTCCCGCGAGTGGTGCCAGACAGGCAAGTGGTGGGCAGGCCGCTGGCGTCGATCTGCAGAACAACCAGCAGGGGGCGAGGAAGGACGCTTGCAACTGTTAGATGCAGTACGTTGCTCGCTTTGCTGCGCTGCGCTGCTCTCTAGTGCCATTCTTCGCTTCATGCTGAGTAACATAGGCCGGCTTGATGCTGGCAGCACGGCTAGAGCGTGCTTCCATCGACTCCATTGCTAAGGATTCGCTCTTGTATATATATAACCCTTTTTTGGCTTGACGCTCCCGTATCCCGTTGTATGCCGTGGCTCTTTGCAATCGTTCTTTCGCACTTCAAGGACGCTTCTGTGCCCGTCTGTGAGATGATTGAGTCGGTCGACTCGCGATGCTCGCCTCTTCTTGGCCTGAGGGGTAGCCTCTTGCTGCTGATGGGGGCCGGCCAGAATCCCAAGTATGTTATGTCGACGCCGTGACGGTGATTCTGTGAAATTCGGCAACCTCGCACGAAGCAGTCGCTGCATCTCAAAGTGGACACGTAGCCACGCTCAATTTCCACGCTCAAGACTCGTTCCACTCATTTCTTCTAGAAGACCAACACCATCAGCGACGTGTCGCTTTCCGCATCTCTCACCACCATCCACGCGCCCTTCAAACGCCTTCCTTGTCGAACGAGGAGGAGTGGCTAATACGGAAAGGAATCCCGCAGCTCGTCAAGCGGACGTCAAGCAAGCAAGGACCGCTCTAGCTCCGACTTTCTATCCCCGCACGCTCTTGATCCAAAGCCGCACCGGAGCACAGCAGAGCGGAAAGGCGCCCACCATGCGCTTCACAACAGGTCGCACCGCCGGTCGCCACAGCACAGCTTTCAGCATGCTCGTCGTGCTTGCATTGCTGGCCTTCACACTGCTCTCGGCACCAGCGTCAGCGATGGGCGTGGTCGCCTTCGACTACGGAACAGAGTGGATGAAGGTCTCGCTCGTCAAGCCCGGTCTGCCTTTCGACGTGGTGCTCGATCGCGACTCGAAACGCAAGATCCAGTCCGCAGTTTCGTTCAAAAAGTGGGGTCTCGATGAGGAGATCCTCTTCGGTACCAACGCGTACAACCATGCTACCCGCGAGCCGAAGCAATCCTTCTATGGCCTCAAGACCCTCCTCGGCCGCTCAACGTCCGACGAGGACAAGCCGTACGTCGACCTGTACTCATCCATCTTTGGCAACGACGTCGTCAGCTCCGACCGCGGCACATGCTCTCTCAAACGACCGTACGAGGCCGATTCGAAAGTGGCCTCGCTGCCAGTATTGACGGTGGAAGAGCTGGTCGGAATGCAGCTGGAATACGCCAAGAAGCTCGCGGAGGAGACGGCAGGAGAGCGCGTCAACCCTTCCGTGGCCAGCGGCCTCAGTGTCGGTGTGTTCGGCGGCCTGGACGCTGTCGTGATCGTGCCAGCCTTCTTCAACGCTCAGGAGCGACAATCGATCGTCGACGCTGCAAGCCTCGCCGGCTTCCGTCCTAGACTCGTTTCCGACGGTGCGGCGGCAGCTGTCAACTACGCGCAGACGCGCACGTTTGCCAAGTCCGAGAAGCACCTTTTCTTCGATGTCGGTTCCGGATCGGTGCGAGCTACGGTGGTCGAGTTTAGCACCAAGCCCGTCGTGATCGACTCGGTCCTGTCGGTGGGCACGGCGCAGAAGGAGGCTACCGTTGTCGACGTCAAGGGCGTCGGCTGGGAGCGCAACGTTGGCGGGCTGCGATTCGACCTCATTCTCAGGGACAAGCTCGCAGCTGAATTCGACGCCAAGCATGGCCAACAGCTCGGCGGCTCGATCCGAAGCAACCACCGCGCCATGGCTCGTCTGCTCAAGGAAGCTAACCGCGTCAAGCACATTCTCAGCGCCAACGATGCCGCTTCGAGCCGCGTCGAGAGCCTGGTCGACGACATCGACTTCCAGACCATGCTGCAGCGCCAGGACTTCGAAGACGCCGTTACGGCTGCTGGTCTGGTGCCCAAGTTCACCTCGCCCATCGACCAGGCACTCGCCAACGCCGGCTTGAAGCTGAGCGACATCAACAGCATCGTGCTGGTCGGTGGAAGCACGCGTGTGCCTCTGGTCCAGAATGCGCTGCGCGAGGCAGGAATCCCCGACTCGAAGCTGGCCCAGAACGTCAACGCCGACGAGGCGGCCGTCATGGGCGCCGCTTTCTACGGTGCCAGTTTCAACCCCCAGTTCCGCATGAAGGAGATCCGCGCCTACGACCTCATCCCGTACGCGGTCAACCTCAAGGAAGCCGACGGCAAGGAGGAGATCATCTTCCCTGCCGCTTCGTACCAGACCGATCAGGTGTCCCGCCAGTACGACAATGCCAAGGAGGACTTCATCTTTGAGCTTGAGTACGACGCGGCTTCGCAAAAGGCGCTGGGTGACGGCAAGGATCGCTCGATCACGATGGTCGAGATCCAGGACATCGATGACGCGCTCAAGGACCTCAAGGCGAGCGGCCAGCTGGATCAGGTGGACACCTACGTCAATCTGACCATCTCCAGCCGACCTTTGGGCACTTACGCCGTGGAGAACATTGTGCTGGTGATCAAGCCCAAAGCGGGTGGTGGAATCGCTGGCGCGCTCAAGTCGTTCTTCGGCGTGTCTACTCCCAAGAAGGCTACCACCAACGCCACTGCTACGAACGGCACCGCTTCGGCGGGCAAGAACGAGACTACAACCGGCGACGACGCCGACATGGAGGGCGAAGTCGAAGAAGCGCTCTCCGCCGTTCCAGCCAAGGACAAGGTTGTCCGCCTCACCGCACGAAACATCCCGCAGAACGACGCAGGCCGACCGCTGTCGGGCGACGAGATCAAGCGCAGCAAGGACAAGCTGTGGACCATGTCGCAAGCGGCGGTTCGCAAAGCTGCTCGCGAGGAGGCGCGCAATGCGATCGAATCGTACCTCTACCGCGTACGCGATCTGGTGGATGACCCGACGTACTCGTCCGTCTCCAAGGCGGCCGAGCGCGATTCGATCACGACCAAGACGGAGGAGCTGTCGGCGTGGATCTCCGATGAAGGCGAGACGGCGGATACGTCGACGCTCAAGCTCAAACGTGCTTCGTTGGAGTCGCTGATCAAGCCGCTCGAGACAAGGCTTTCGCAGTCCAAGCTTCGTGCGGGTTCGTTCGGCGAGTTTGAGAGCTCCCTCGCCGACGCCAGGGCCTTTGTTGCCGAGGCACGCAAAAATTTGACCGCAGCAATCGACGCCAACCTCGCAAGCAAGTACAGCGTCGCCGAGCTCGACTCGCTGAACGCCACGATCGAAAAGGACGCAGAGTGGTTCGAGAAGGGCAAGAAGCTGCAGGAGAAGCGTGGGCCGAGTGACGATCCCGTGCTGCTGACGGGCGAGGTGGATACGAGGAGGAGGAAGGTCAATGAGCAGATTGGGAAGATCAAGCGGAGGAAGATTGCCAAGACCAGGCCGAAGAAGAGTGCGAAGAAGGAGGAGGCCAAGAAGGAGGAGGCCAGGAAAGAGGAGCCAAAGAAAGAGGAGCCAAAGAAGGACGAGCCAAAGAAGGACGAGGAGACGCCTCGACACGAGGAGCTTTAAACGCTATTCCTGTGGCTCGGAGCCAATCTGCTATCATGCGAATCGATCTAGATTCAGCGCTATGGATCCCCGTGACTGCAAGTGTGACTTTGGGAAACGTGAATGTGCCTTCAGAGCTGCTCTGAAGTGTTCGGCCTTGACAGGAGCACTATGAGCGTCCGCTCATTCGACCGTTTGAGGATGGACCATGCGCGAGTCTCGAACGATAGCTTAGAATTTCACGGCAGCAGACAGCGGACAGACAAAAGAAGGGTCCGGACTGGCCGGCTAAGCAGGCGAGAGGCAGCAGCAGATTTCATTTCAGCCTGCAAGTGGAGTTCGACTTCGATGCCGGAAGAAGTGCGAGTCGAGAACAACACCTTCCGCACACGACCACATCCTCACGCCTCTCTCGGATACGCTAATCTCACCCACATCGTGGACCGCCCTCAGCAACGTCAACTCGACTGCGTCGCTGATCTCCTCTAGATTGTTTTTCGCTCACTCGCTGGTACAGCCGGACCCTAAGGCTCTGCACAATCGGCAGCGCGAGCGGCGTGGAGCGAGGCACTCAAAGGCATCGCGATATCGTTCACCATCATCCCGCATTTCGACTCGCTCACACAGCTCCTGACGCGACAATCAATATGCCATCATCCACAATCGCCTCATCTCCCTCGCCAACAAAGCTCGGCGGCCCGTCTTCACAGCGTTCCAATCCCGGCGGGTCCGTTTCTCCGACCAAACCATCTTCCGCAGCTGCTTCGCGAGCTGGCACGCCCCGCTCAGCATCTCCGTCCAAGCACGGAAGCTCTGCTGCACCCATCCGACATATTCCCCCAGGCTGCCAGCATCTCAGCTCGCTCCTACAGCTCGATGGCACGGCCTCGTCGAAAAAGGCTTCTGCTGCAACGAAAATCAAATCCGAGGATGGAGACGACGCAAATGCAAGCAGCTTCGACTCGCTTCCGGCAATAACCAAGTCGTATCTGAAGCGCTACATCGCTGGCCTCCGATGGGGTGCGCAGATCAGGACTGGATACGTCAAAATGATGGACGATGACGAGAAGGAGTCTGAGCTGGCAAAATACAACGAAGAGATGGCCAAGGCCGCCAAGCTTGGCAAGCAGACCAAGAAGCGTAGGAAGCTCGACTACCCACAATGTCACACCTGCCAAGCGGACATGCTGAGGCCCTTCATCTGCCTCGAGTGCGCTTTCACAGCGTGTTTCTCGCCGCCGGTGGACGATGATCCGACGTCAGTAACACGCACCGCAGCCGATAGCCACATGATCCAGCACCTTCGATCCAAGAAGCACACGCTCGCCTTCGACCTCCTCTACGGCCACGTCTACTGTGCCGACTGCAAGGACTTTGTCCACGATCCCGTACTCGAAGCGATCCAGCGGCACGAGACCTGCCGCGTCAACAGCAACGTCGTCGGCCAGCAGTTCGGACCTGTCAAGAAGACGGTCGAGGCGCTCTTCCCACCCTCCTCCTCCTCCTCGGATGTAATGGCCAAATTCTACGAGACCGACACTTCGAGCATCACCTGTCGCGTGCCGCGGGGGCTGCGCAACATGGGCGCGACGTGCTACATGAACGTTATCATCCAGGCCTTCCTGCACAACCCGCTGCTGCGCAATTACTTTCTCTCGGACCGGCACAACCCTTCGCTCTGCAACGGCGCCAAGACGTGCTTGGCTTGCGAGATGGACAAGATATTTTCCGAGTTCTACTCGTCCGATCCTGGTGCGACTGTTTCTGCGTCATCTGCGAGTACAGCTCCGGGAGCGATTGTGGGAACGGGCAACGGTCATGCGGCTGGGACCGAGAACGGCACAAACGGTCTGACAGCGAAAGGCCCGCATGGTCCGACCTCTTTCCTCTACTGCGTCTGGGTTGACCAGGCGAGCAGCGAGCTCGGCCAGGCGGGTCAGCATGATGCCCACGAACTCTTCATCTCGGCACTCAACGCCATCCACACCTCACTCACCAGTCGAGCGCTCGAGCGGTCGTCTCTGCCCTCGTTCGCTTATGAACACCATGACGCGCTCAGTCTGCTGTACGACCACTACGAGGGCGTCGGCAGTTCGGGTCACCAGTCCGAGGACGAAGGGATGGGTGGGCACGGTACGCCGGTGGGCCAGAGCGCTACTAACGGCGGCGTATCAGGTTGCCCCTGCGTAGTGCACCGCACTTTCGCCGGCCAACTCCAATCGGACGTCACCTGTCAGCGCTGTGGCAAGGTCAACACCACCCGCGATCCCATGTTGGACCTCAGCCTGGATGTTCGTCCCGAATCTCTGCGTCGCAAAGACACCGCGCTCAACGGCAAGCCCAAACCTCCCTCTTCCAAGCCCGTCCCTACACCCCCCAACGGCGAAGGAGAAGAAGAACAGCACCTGACCATCTGCCTCCAGCGCTACTGCTCCGAAGAGAAACTCGGGAACAACGACTACACGTGCACATCCTGCGGTGGCTCCGCCGCAGCAACCAAGCAGTTGAGTCTCTTCCGTCTTCCACCCGTGCTGTGCATCCAACTGAAACGGTTCGAACACACCTCGTCGGCGAGTAAGATCGATACCAAGGTGCGCTTCCCGCTCGTGCTGGATGTGCGACAGTTCTCCACGGCCGAGATCCGCACGAACCAAGGAGGAACAAATCCAGACCCAGAGGCGTATCTGTACGATCTGTTCACGGTGGTGGTGCATGAAGGCAGCATGAACACGGGGCATTATACGAACTTTTGCAAGTGGAGAGGCAGTTGGTATAGGTTTGATGATGATAAGGTTCAAGCTACTGGAGAGGCGGTGGTGCTGGCGGCGAGGGCGTATCAGTTGTGTTATCGGAGGAGGCTGCTGAAGAATGTCGTGACGAGGTCGGGATAGATTCACTTCAATGCGGTAGAGAGCTTGCCGTCTGCAATTTCGTAGACATACTGAACCTCATGCTCGTTCGACTCTGCGACGGCTCGTGCGTGATATGAGCAAACCACGCACGAAGCTCCCCGGACGGCACTTCATTCTGAGATAGGGCTGAGGGTTGACGGTGCGAGCGTGAGTGGCTCGTATGAAGGATGCTCGCCGTACTCGCACCATAAAAATATAAATTAGGAAAATCGGCCTTTTTTAATTCTTATTTTTGTGTTTTCTCCACCATGGGCTTGTTAGGCAAGATGACGCCAACGTGCCTTTGCCCCGCAGGTGGGACCAGCTTTTTGGTTGCAACGCAGGGTGCAACCAGCCCCTTTCCCTCGCTTGGCACCGACGTCAACGCTTTGGCACATCACATGCTTGGCAATCGGCCCGAAGTGAGCTTTTGGCTAAGCCTCGAGAAGCTTCGAAAGCATCTGATCTTGACATCACCCCACCACGGGCCGATCATCATCTCCACTGTCATTTCGGGACATCTGCTCGCTAGTGGTCAGCTTCCGGCCGGTCAGCACCACACCACATCGAGCATCAGCTCATCTGCTTTGTTTGGACGCATAGAGCTCGAAGAGGTCGACCAGAAAACACATATGCACACTTCTAGGCTCGACGGTGGCTCCACAGACCTCTGCACCAGTACGCATCGGACTCTCTCAGCTCTACAGCATTCTTCAATCACGGTTGCGGACACTGGCATAGACGAACTGCTTTATATGCACCTACCTACAACAGCATAGACACGATGGAGCAAGAACGTCCACGCGCATCATCTTCGCGGAGTCACGACGACCCTGCGCTGCTTGCCTCGCATGCGATTCCTCACTCGGCGTCGGAGCCTGCGCGCCCCTCTTCCATCTCGAGCGGCATCAACGGTGCAGACTCCGTCCATTCTCCGCCAGCCATCCCCGAAGCGGACGCGCAAGCCTTCTCCTCCCTGAAGCCGACCGGTTCATCAGAAACCCCCGCGTACACCGCAGCAGCCGCAGCCCGAGGCCGCAGCACAGACGACACGGGCGCCTTCTCCGACTTTGACCCCAACCGACGCCCTTCCATCCCATCCCCCGCGACAGTGATCAAGAGCCTCCCTGAGGTAGCAGGTGCCCCCGCCCGCACGGTGGAAGCGATCAAGTCCAAGCTCAAGTCCCCGAGCACGGGCCGGAAGAGCAAGAGCGAGATCTCTGATTCCATCGGTCAGCTCGAGCGGGATTTGCGACACAATGGAGATGCGCCAGGGAATCTGGACGCGAAAAGGGGGTCGAGCGATGGCAGGTCAGGGTCGTTCAGCTCGTTGTTCGGGAGGAAGAAGAAAGGCGGTGCGGCGTCGAAGCTGATGCAGCGCGGACCGGCTCCGGAGCCGCATATCGAGGAAGAGCAGCAAGACACAGGTCGCAGGTCCGAAGAGGAGGAGGAAGACGATGAGACTGTTCAGCAGCGGATTCGGGAGCAGCAGAAGAGGCTCGAGGACCTGGACGAGGCGCAGACGGAGGGGCTGTTGCGAACGCAACAGGAAGCAGGAATCGAGCCGATCAAGTCGCCCGAGACGCACACCAAGCCGTCTCGGCTCGTGGGGTTGCCGCTGTTCGGCTCGGGTCACGGCAAGGATGGGCACAAGGACGGAGAAGCGTCGTCGAGGAGGAGCAGCTTCCACCGGAGCCAAGGTGATGCAGAGACGGACGAGGGTCGCGGCCGCAGTGAAGGCGTACGTCGGACCAAATCGGAGAAGCACTCCTCCGGCAAAGCCTCCGATCGCAATGCTGCTCGTTCCGCCTCAGCCTCCCGTACCGGCAGCGGTCGTAGCAAGAGTCGACCTCGCAACACCGGTGCCCTCTCCCCGCCCCGCCGCAACTCGACCACCAACTGGACCTCGAAACTGCGCACCAAGATCCCCATCAAAGAGTTTCCTCTCCAAGGCGCCGGAAGGGAATCGGAGTTCAACCAGGAATGCCCCCTCTGGGCTCGTCAGCCGTACAAGTACATGTACTTTTCGTACTTTGGGCTCAGCGTGGGGTGTTACCATCTGCCGCGGTGGGCGGTGTCGTCCATCTTGCCCTCGCATCGTGGGCGGCCCGATTGGAGTTGGAAGAAGGCCACTATGGTAAAGCTCTTCCGGCACGGGACGAAGCTCACTTTTCGCACAAGAACAAGTCTGGGGAGGGACTTGCAGAAGGAGGTGCCGCATAGCAAGACGGTGCGGTGCAAGTTTACGTGGGTCCCGCCTGTGGGGGATGGAGATGTGAGGGGGGAACTCAGGAGGGCGATGATCATGCAGAAGGTGCATCCGCAGAGGACGTGCGGGTTCTGGTACGGAGATGTAGCGGAGCTAGCGAAACAAAAGGCAAGGAAGCAGCAGCAACGCGGGCGCATGTTGCGAGCGCTCAGCAATACCAGCCGCGACGAAGCAGCGCGACAGGCCTCGGTCACCTCAACGAGGCAAGGCACCCCGGCAAACGAAGACGGTCTTGCTCTGCAAGAGTCGGAGGCAACGCTGACCTCGCAGATCAGCGACGCTTCCTCCCGCGCCGAGGCCAATGGTGGCGTGGGCCGACCCGCGCAACCTGGCGAGAAGGTGCTCTACCATCTCCATGGTGGAGCCTACTGGATTGGCACTGCGCACGAAAAGGATGTCACCGCCGCCGTCAACACAGAAAGCCTGCGATACATGGCCGAGATCTACAAGGCGAAGGAGAAAGCCTCGGGTCCTACGACCGAATTCTCTGGCAAGCTGCTCCGCTCCTTCAGCCTCGACTACCGGCTGTGTGTTCCTGGTCGACCGCGCGCCGGCTCGTACCCCGCGGCGCTGCTCGATGCGCTCAGCGGCTACCTCTACCTCGTGCGCGATCTTGGCTTTGATCCGGAGAACATCATCGTCGCGGGCGACAGCGCGGGTGGCAACCTCGGCCTCGCGCTCTGCCGATACCTGCGCGACGAAGGCAAAGACATCGCCCCCCAACCAGGCGCCCTGCTGCTCATGTCGCCATGGGTCGACGTCTCGCGCTCGCACTCCGGTCCTACAGGCGCCCCTAACCTCGATTCAACGGTCTATCTCAACCGCGACTCGGACATCATCAGCTCGCTGATCGATTTCCGCAACACGGCCGTGTCGGCGTTCCTTGGCGACCTGCCGGCGCGGGAGACATACCGCAACCCGTACATCTCGCCCGTCTCGCTGCAATTGCCGCTGGAACGAGGTGGCAAGGCGCCGCATTACGGCTTCCACGGGTTCCCCAAGAAGATCTACATCACCACGGGATCAGCTGAAATCTCGTACGATCAGCATCTGACGCTTGCACATCGTCTGGCGTCGGGCACGCGGAAGGGTCGACCGGTGTATGCGGGCGATCGGCTGTCGGCGGGATGCAATGCGCGCGAGATGGCGGAACGACGCGATCGACCTCGACCGCGGAATTTGTTGGATGCGGAACAGGATTCGGTGGCTGTCACTCCGGCTGGCGAGATACCGGGCATGGACCTGACACCAGCCAAGCCGGCCGAAAAGCCTCAGCAGTACGCAACGCAGGTGGTCGACGGCGAACCTCGAACCAGACCCGAGTATACTTCGCACGACACCACCCTGCTAGGCGAGCGCGAGAGCTCGAGCTCGGACAACCGCCATCACCGCATGCACGCCTCGCCCCCACCCGAACCCCAGGAGAGGGAGGACAGAGAGGTGGTGCTGGACGAAGTCAAGGACGCCGTACACGACTATCTGCTCTTCAAATGGTTCGAACCGGAACGCTCGTCGACGTGGAGGCGGATCGCGCAGTGGATCGACGAGGTTTGAGTCGCCAAGGGTATCTGATTCGCTTTGCGTTCTATGCTGTTGTTGGAGTCTTGCGCCAATCGTCAAGTTCGTCGTCCCACTCTGCTGCGAGTGCACCGTAGTACGCTGTGAGACTGGAGAGTTTGGTGCCGTGATTGACGTACTGGTATTCGATCCTGACGGGGGGTTGTGGTGGGTCGAGGGAGGTGGTGAGGTCGGAGAGCTGTTGAAGGGAGGTGTTGCGGGGGAGGTAGTAGGCGATGTTGCTCGTGTTGAAGGCCTTATGTACTTGGTGGAAGAGGTCGGCGCCATGGATGGGCTGAACGGAGGACAGGTCGTACTCGCCCTCTCTTGCCTTGGAAGTGCCGAGATGTTCCCTTTGTGACGATTGAGCATAATCGACGCCTCCCCACGGTGGCGACAGGAAGACCGCCTCCACAGCCTTAAGCTCGGACGCCTTGAGTCCATTCCACACCTCCTCCTGCCCCTCCTCTTCCCCACCTTTCTCCCTCCACCTCCGCAGCGTCTTCATCAATTCCAAACTATCCCCGCGCACAAACGCGATCCTCTCCTCGACGCCATACACGCTCGCGTTCCACCTGGCCAGCTTCAACCGTGTCTCGTCCATCTCGACCGCGATGACCTTCCCACACGTCATGGCGAGCTGGATCGCATTTCCCCCTGCGCCCGCAAAGAGATCGACGACGGTGCCGTCGCACGCACACCGCTTTGCGATGCGGAAGGCGACACTTTCGGGGGTGACGCTGAACCACGACTCGGCGTCGAGCAGGCAGCCGGCGGCGTAGAGCGTGAAGAGCGTATACCGCTGATACCAGTACTTGAGCAGTTTGGGTGGGAAGCTGGACGGGTGGACGAGGCAGTGTGGGAGGAGAGAGGTGTAGAGGGCCAGGGAGGACGGGGAGAAAGTGGAGAAGTCGAGGTCCGGATGGTAGGCGGAGAGGTTGTGCTTGCGAGGAGAGGTGGGATCGAGCTGAGAGACGAAGGAGGCGACAGAGGTGCGCTTGCGCTTCTTGGTCATCGTTCGCTAGGCTCGAGATGTCGGACAGCGAGGACGGAGTGGTGGAAGGTGTCAAGGAGCGAAGTTGTCACTGCGCAGCATAAATCTTCTGGACCCTGAATTCAACTTTTTTGGCCTAGATTGACAAAGTGGATGATCGAGATCTCACATTTTAAAAATTTCCAGAGCCATCGGTGGACCCCTGTTTTGGCAGGCTAAGTGCTGACTGCGCAGCCTAGAATCAACAGCGATGCCAGCAGATACCACTAGCGCACCCTCGTTCTTCATCGTGCTCATTCGCCAGCTCACGAATTGAAGACAAGCTATACGAGCCTTTCCAGCCTATCCATCCCCTTGCCTGTCTGTGAATGAGAAAGGAGTGGAAAGCGAGTTGGTGCGAACATTTGCGCACCGGCTCGAGGGCGCAGTTTGGGTGTTGTTTATGAAAGGTCTACGCCTTCGCCTTTGCTCACCCCGTGCGCAGGCTGAGAGGCTCCTATCGTTTTTTTGAATTTCGTAGTTCCCCGCGCTGCGCCCCTGAGCGTGTACTTTGGGTGCTGCGAATTGACGCCCGTTTGCAGCTTTTGAGCCCCTCTTTCCTGTCAGTCAGTCCACAGCCGAAACCAACACTTTTGGGCCGGCTCAGCCAAAGTTGCTCTCGTCGACCATCGCATTCGTATCGCATCTCACGCTCACACCACTCACGATCACAGCTTAAACGACACTCGATTGCTCTTCATCGCTCTAAACCGCTCTAAACGAAACGATCCTACTTGCCTGCTTCCGCTGGCCATACCTGCACGAGCGTTTGGCGATTCGCATTCGATAGCATAGCATTCAACGATAACGATATCAACAACGAAAGCATCCCGTCGCGGCCTCTGACACACATCGTCTTCATCCACGCCGCACCCCTCACGAATCCACATCGAGTGTGCTGAATTGGCTGTCATCAGCACTTGCACCTTACTGGCACTACACCCCCCAGCAATTGCGCCCACTTCGTGTTCTGAGAGCACGGCATCTCGATGGCCCCCATGAACTTCATCTTCAAGTCCAAGTCGCGCACGCCGCAGGAGCTCGTCCGTCACTTGCGCGATACCATCCTTCGACTCGACACGTCCACGCCTCTCGGTGGCAGCAACTCGAACAACTCGCTCCACAGCAACTATGCGGGCTCCAACGGCGCAGCGTCCTCCTCCTCGGGCGGCTCTTCCTCCAACCTCACCTCCTCCAGCTCCACTGGCGGCACCTCAGCGGAATCTCGTCGCAAAGCAGTCGATGAAGTCTCCAAGACGCTCTGTCAGATCAAGGCGATCCTGTTCGGCGATGGCGAAGTGGATCCGCAGCCCGAGCTGGTCGCCCAGCTAGCGCAGGAAGTCTACGCGCACGATGTGCTCCAACTCCTCGTCGCGCACATCTCCAAGTTTGAATTCGAGGCCAAAAAGGACGTCTCCCAAATCTTCAACGTCCTCCTTCGGCGACAGATCGGCTCACGTTCTCCCACCGTCGAGTACCTTTCCACCCGACCCGAAGTGATCTTCCTCACCCTCCGCGGGTACGAGAATCCCGACGTAGCGCTCAACACGGGCATGATCCTTCGCGAGATGCTTCGTCACGAACCTCTAGCCAAAATCCTTCTCTACTCCCCCCAATTCTACACCTTCCCGGAATACATCGAGACGACCACCTTCGGTATCTCGTGCGATGCATTCTCCAACTTCAAAGAGACCCTCACGCGTCACAAGCCCACGGTGGCAACCTACCTCGATACCAACTACGACCGCTTCTTCGCCACCTACACCACCCTCCTCCAGTCCCCCAACTACGTCACCAAACGACAATCGCTCAAACTCCTCGGCGAAATCCTGCTCGACCGCACCAACTTTTCCGTCATGACCCGCTACATTTCCTCGGAAGACAACCTGAAGATGATGATGAACCTCCTCCGGGATAAGTCGAAGAATATTCAGTTTGAGGCGTTTCACGTGTTCAAAGTCTTTGTGGCCAATCCGAAGAAGCCACCTCAGATCGAGGGGATTTTGAGGAGGAATAGGGAGAGACTGGTTAGGTTTCTGGGCGAGTTTCATAACGATAAGGACGACGAACAGTTTGTGGACGAGAAGCAGTATGTATTGCAGATCATCGAGGCTACGGGCAAGACGGCGGGACCGGCAGCGGAGAAGGGTAGCTCCGGGGCCAGCGCGATAGGCGCAAAGTAGACGGGTTTCCCCACGATTGGTTTTGGTCTCCCCATGCACTTTCTCTTACGAATCCAGATCCTTCCCGCATCCCTCATCACCTTGGCCGGATCGCACGTCTGTAGGCATGTGAGCCATCGCCGACAACTTTCGACGCGAAGACAGCCACACACGCACACACTCGGAAAGATGCGGTCCAAACGTTCCATTGGTCGCTTCACCCGCTCGCAATGAGCGCAAACAGTTCGTCGCCCAGTACACCATCCAATTCGTTCGTACCCAAAATCTCCACCACACCCTCTTCGTCGCCCAACAGCAGTCCGATCTCCCTCTTGCCCGCGCTGGACTTGGCAGCCTGATCCTGAAAGCCGAACCCGAGCAGGGCAGGTGCACCGAACATATCCTGACCATCACTGATCAACCGTAACGCCTCGACCAGTCTGCGACAGAGCACGCTGAATGGGTTGCGGGAGAACTCGGCCGTGGCTCTTGCCAGCTTTTTCACGATCCGCAACACGATCCCTGCCAACCCCGGGATGCGTCGAAGCCTCAACTTGACAGCGGGTGGTGCGAGGAACGCAAGGTTGTAAAGACACATCGAAAGCCTCTCGCAGTAGCCGAGGCGATGTTCGGTGTTGAGAACCTTGAAATCGGCCTCGGTCATGGGGAGGAGTTTGAGGATCTCCCCGACGAGGCGCTCGATGTCTTCTCCCGCGATGAGCGACGAGAGCACCTCGCGGTTGTCATCGGGCAGCGCGAGCTTGCTCAGCGCGTCCAGGGCCAGGTCGGCATGATACGGAATTCGACGGATGACCGGTGGTGCAGGTGCGCCGGGTGGGAGCGACGCAGCCAGCTCGGCTAGCTCAGCCACGTGGTCCATCTCTTCCACTTCGCCTGCTTCCAGGATGAACGACGCAAGAAGATCAAAGATCCCACGAACCGTGTCTGCGTCCTGGTGACGAAGAACGAGGAGCTCGCCCGCAAGATTGGAGGCGATCACCAGCACCTCCTTGCGCACACGGAGCGCTTCGAGCGTCGTAAATACCGTCTCCCCCTCCAGGGAATCGCCATCGTGCGAGGCAGAACCCCGCTCCGCGTCGCTCGCGCACAACCGCGCCAGCACCGCCAACAACCGCGGCGTGTGGTTGAAAAAGTACATGTTCTCCGGCATGATGCTGAAGTTTTTCAGGATCGTGAGGATTGTCAGGGCGACAGCGGCGGCTTTCTCGGTGGATCGTTCGTGTTCCGACTCGACGCCGTGGGTTGAGATGCTGGCGTCGGGGATGGAGGTGGCGGAGGTGTGGGACGCGAGCGAGTCGGCTTCGGAGCCGCCGTTGAGGACGCTGCCTGCTGTTGAGCGGGAGCGTGTCGATTTGCGTCGCTTCCAGATGGACAGTTCGGCTTCCTCTTCCGTCACGGCGGCTATCCAATCGCGATACGTGGGAAGCGAGTTGATGCCCCCTTCGCGACGTGTGCGCTTGCCTGGTCGTCCTGAAGAGCTGGGCGCGCCATTTTGGAGGAGCAACGAGTCCAGACCTGACACACCGTCATCACCCTGACTGCGGAAGCTCGTCTCCTCGAGCAAGTCCAAAACCTCCTCGAGCAGCTCCTCGCAGTTCGCCAGGCTGAACTGGAAGTTGGACGCCGCACCCACACCTGCCGACAGAATCAGCAGCGTGTTGAGCGCATACGAAACCTCGAAATCGAGACGAGAGCGCAACGACATGATGAGACCCTGGATGTCAACGAGGCCGAGCTCGCGGAGAGTTCGTGGACGACCCCGGTTGAGCATCGCTGGCGCATATTGCGACTCGACGAGGGAGAGATCCCAGCCGCCATGCGTGTGGACCTCGCGCCGGATGGGAAGGTATTCGATTTGATGTTTCTGCGGCGGGGCGGGCGGGCCGACGGGTTGCGAGGTGCCAGGAATCACTTGCTTCTCTTGCTGAGGTGGCGGGGCGGTGGAGCCGGAGGATGGGCCGAGCGGTGGCTGGCTCACGCTAATGGGTCCATTCGCTTGATCGACCAGCTGCGGCATGGGCGGTTTCACGTCGGGACTGGTCCCTGTTGGCATCGGCGTTGAAAGACCGCTGTCAGTCTTCTTGCGCTTCTTCTTGAGCTGCTTCGCCTCCGCTTTCAACGCGGCCGCGTTTGCTTTGGAGAGATTGCCATTCGACGCCTGCGACTTGGTGGGAGAAGGCGGCAGACCTACAGGTGCTTGAGAGGGCCACTGCGGTACACCGTCGGCGCCGGGTAGTGCTTGCTGCTGTGCTTGCTGAGCGAGCATGGCGGCGGGGTCGTTGAAAAGCCCAGGCGCTGCTCCTGGCATGTTCTCTCCAAGGCCCTGGTTGGGTGCTGGCGATGCTTGGCCGGGTGTTGCGCGTTGACCCATGCCTGGCGAGGGTTGCGCCTGAGGCATAGGTGGCATCCCAGGAAAGCCCTGTGGACCGTTAGGCATACCAGTGGGGAGCTGTTGCTGCTGCTGGGGTGCTTGTTGGAATGGCATCTGCTGTTGCTGCGACTGCGCAGCATCGTTCGACGAGCCATCTTGCGCTTGTTGCTGCTGCTGCTGCTGCTTGACCATCATCTGGCGCGTGGCCTGCTGCATGGCAACAAAGCGCTCGCGTGCCTGCTGGGAGGTGATGCGCCCCGACGCCACCAGATGCTGAAGCTGGAGCATCTGCTGATGCAAGTTGGCAGGCAGGTTAGCCGGAGTGATCTGGCCAGGCGCGCCGGGACGGTTCGCCCCAGGTTGGCCAGGAATCTGAGACTGCTGCGCTGCGGGTTGCTGTGGCGGCTGTTGCTGCTGCTGCTGCGGCTGCTGTTGCTGTTGTGGTGTCGGCTGCTGTTGCTGCTGTTGTGGCGTTTGCGGTTGTGTCTGTTGAGGCTGAGGCTGCCCGTTGCTGACCATACCTGGCTGTTGTGACTGTACTGCTTGCGCGTTCGGATCCGTCGCGTTGGGCGTGGCGGCCGCCGGAGAACCGGCAGCACCACTCTGGCCACTAGCCTGACGTTGAGGCATGCGCGAGACCCAGAACTGCTCGAACGCCGACAGACGGTCTCGGTAGAAGGACGAAAGCCGGTCGGGCACCTCGCCAGGACTCGGAACCGCATCTGGCGCTGACTGAGAGCCGTCGGGTGGACCGACCTTGAGACCGAGACGGCTTGCGATGACAGCCCAGAAGCCGGGGATCTGGGAGGCACGCTGAGAGCCTCCAGAGTGAATGACTGCGGCAAACAGCGCTTGCAGCTCGATCGTCTTTGTGTCGCCTGGCAGATTGGATGATGCGGGGCCGACGAAGGTGAGCGAGAGCTGTGGAGGAGAGGGCGTGCCTCGCTGCTGCATGAAGTTGCGAACGGTGCCGACGAAGTCTCGCTTGGCGCCGGCCATTCCGGGACCACCAGCAGCCTGCGCCGATGTCGGTGGTTGAGCCTGTGGTGTTTGCATCTGCTGCGGCTGCATGCCTGGTTGACCGAAGGGATTCGGTTGCTGGGACTGCTGCTGCTGTGGTGGTTGTTGCTGCTGCTGAAGCTGGTTCATGTCGTTCTGCTGCGGTGGCGCACCAAAATTGGAATCCATTCCGAGACCGTTCATGCCCTGTTGTTGTTGCATTTGACTGAGCTGCGCTGGATTCAACCCTTGCAGCATGGGGTTTGGTTGCTGCTGCTGTTGTAGCTGTGATTGCTGCGGTGGCATGCCCATCTGACCCTGTTGCTGTGGCTGGTTGAGTTGCGCGCCTGGTGGAATGTGGCCGCCCATGGATTGGATCGCCGACTGCTCCATGACCTGCAGTTGTTTAAGTCGGCCCGCGAGGATTTGCTGCGCATTGGTCTTGGTCGGTCCGTCGGGTTGGCCCGAGACGACAGCCCATTGACGCTGCACGGCGGCGATGTTGCCACGTATTGACTGCAGCATGGTGATAGAAAAGTATCCGAATAGTGACGCAGGCGCGTGTAGGGCAAGGCGAAAGAAAGGGAGAGTGAAGGATCCGGAAAGGGTATCAGCGAGTGTTCAGCGCGTGATCGCGTCGAAAGCGAGAGTCGGGATCCAGGTCACGAATGAGCGCAATGGCCTCGGCATGCAGGCTGGCTGGCTGCGCGACAGCAGCGATCACCGCGACAGAGCGTCGCGGTGAGGTCGATACCGCGACAAGGAGCCAAGGAGGAAGGCGAGCAGCGAGAAGCGGCGTGATCGTGTGGACCAATCGACGGCGGCGTCACTGCAGACTACGCGTCGAGTATGGATGTGGGCGAGGGCAGGGGCGGCGGAAGGACTAGGGAAGGACGCCGGAGAATAGCGAAGTGAGGAGGCCCCGGCGGCTAGAAGACCGAAAGATGCGTGCGAGATGATGGAAGTGCCAAATTGGGCGACCGAAGTGACCGAGCCAAAGCCTCACGAGACTGACGCGCGACGGTCGTTGCCATTTTGGCCGAAAGCGATTCACGCCTCAGCTCGCCGCTCTCTGTGCCTTCTGTCGCCAATTTGGCCCAGAATTCCCTCCATCCAATGCGGCCTTTCCTGCCTGCCGAGATGGGACAGATCGGGAGTGGATCGGGTCACCTAAGCCTTGTCATGCCCCCCTCACACCATCCCTACCTGCTGCTGTGACTCCTGACGGCTTGTGGACGAACAAAGGAAAGCGAACTGGAGCGCTGAAACTTACCTGTATCATTTGCGCTGCGTTCTGCATGTTGGCGCCCATGCTGCTGGATTCGCCGGCGGTGGGCATGCCCATCTGACCTGGCGCAGCATTCTGTTGCATGCCCGGGTTGAAGTTCTGCTGCTGCCCTTGCTGAAACCCGAGCGGGAACTGAAGACCTTGCGGATTCATCGCGATAAGACGCGGTTGAGCGGCGTCCGCTTTTGTGAACAACGAAGCACGCTGATCCGGTGCTGGCAGCCGCCTGCGTCAGTGTGACTGCTCTCGTCTGTGATAAAGTGAACGGGTTACTGGCGTTAGCGATGAGGCTCTCGTGTGCAGCATGCGATCGGAATCCAAAGGAGACTCCAACATGATGATGCGATGTGCAGCTGATCGAGCATGCCGAGGGCGCTATCGCAAGCTGCGCAAAGACAGTCTGGCTCATGTCACCGGCGAACGATGCTGCATCGCAGCGTCGCGCTTAGCTGAAAAGAAGGGCGTGGTCGCGATGCTTCAGCAGCATTCGCCTGCCGGAGAGCTCTACCCCCGGCATCCTTCCATCTTGATGCGGACGAGCGACAATCAGACCCGCAGCTGCTCGGTCCGGATGGATGCCGAGGGGAGGAGGTCAGAACAACCGCGTTGCGAACAAGCGCCACCAACCACATCGTTGCGAAGGTCAGCAACGTGGGCTGGTACCTGCGCTATGACGCTCCGAGGTCTTCCAATGTAGGCAGACGTGAAAAGGGCAGACTCCGGAGGGAGGAGGAAGGGAACGCTACGAATCACAACGTCGAAAGCATGTGGGAGTGGTTGCAAGGGAAGCCATTGGACGGGCTGACCATGACGGCGGTCGAGATCGTGCATAGATGAGGGGGCGGGGAAAGGGAAGTGCGGCAACAGGGACTCAAACGGAAGAGCGGACAAAGCAGTGATGGGCGGCGGATGACGCCGGCGACTGCATGCACAGAACACGCAGAAGCATCGATATGAAGGGACCAGAGGCGAAGGGCAACCAGGCCTCTACATGCAAGCGAAGCTCGGTCTGGCGGGGAGTGACACGCGAGCATGGGCATGAGGACGACGGCGTCTGCAATGCGAGGACAGTCATCTCATCTAGGGGACTGCGGCGCATGTGGGTTGCATGAGCGGCAGAAGGTTTCCACGAGGAGGCACGGGGCTAACGACGGAGGGATGGGATGCAGACGCCCTCGGATGGAGGGAACGAACAACGAATGGACGGACAGACGGGCGGACGGGACTCAACGGCGGCGGGGCACGAACGGTTCCTGGAAAGGGAGGGGACAATGCAAGCGAGCCTAAACAAGCTTCGATGACGGGCTGATACGTACCGGAAAGGGGACGAGGAGGAGGGACGGTCAGCGCCAAACCACCAAGCACGTCGGATGCTGATGATCACCACCTTGCAGGTCGAGCGCGGACGGCAATCTAGACCCAGGATGCCGGGAGCTGCGGAGCGGTGTTCAAAGGTGCGCCTCTTGGAGCCAGCGAGCGAGGGGAGAGCGCAACGGCGGCGGCGAAGGGCGGATGTCGACGGACGATCCTCTTTGGCCGAATCAAGCTTTGCGAAGCGGCGATGACAAGTGCAGAGCAAAGCGAAAGGCAAAGAAAGGGCGACGAGATGAGATGAGTTTGCAAGAGATGAGATTTCGCTTCTGTCACAAGGCTCTCAGGTGGGCTGGCCGGCGAGTGTCGACCGGGTCAAAGCGCGCGCGCTTCAAAACTGGTTACGCGGCGGCGGAGCGGCGTCGTCGAATTAAGCCCAGTTTTTAATTTCAAAATTTAAAAAGAGCAGCTGTATCTAAAATGGGAGCGGGCGGGTGACGATCCAAATCGCTGTAGCCAAGCCAGAACGGTCAAGTTTTTAGCTCTGGAGCCGCCAACGCAATCGTGCTGGTGGGCGGACTTTGTCCGAACCTCCTGATGAGCATCTGCTGCCATCTTGGCTGGTAGAGACCACTAAAGGAGGCTTGCTGTTTGCACCTGTGGATAAGGGACCGAACGGTGCTCGGCTAAGCTGGGAGGGTGATTTGCGGCGAAGCGAGCAACGACTTGATTTTTGACGTGGGCTTTGAAACAGTACTTGCTCGCCTTTGGCGGGAGCCGAAACAAAGGTGGGAGAATGCAACGGCAACAATGAAATGGCGTCTATCCGACGCTCGTCTGTCCAGTGTCTGGCTGCTGTCATGACGGACAGATCCGAGGTGGACTGACTGCTCCGTGAGCACAGAGGGGGCAGTTTCGTCAAAGTGGCGTGCGAAATCGAGAGGATCACAATGAGCTGCCAAGCGTCACAAGGCCTTCCCAACGTTGACGCTTGTGCATACGAATGAGGGTCCATGTGCATCGTCAGCACGAATCATGCTTGCTGCTCGCTGTACCTTTTGTGTGAGCCACTTTTCATTCTCCGTTCAAGCATGCAAGCGACTCCGTTCCTCGGCTGGCGCGGCATCTGCTACTGCTGCTGCTGCTGCTGTGCCCTCGCCTCTTGCGAGTTGCTATCGGTGTAACCGCTTCCGTTCTTTCGGTAGGTCAGAGAGATAGCGGCTGTTCCGTCGTACGGACGTGTGAACTGCGAGCTCGCAGCCGCGGGCTGATATCGAAACAGAGTGGGGGCCTGCAACCTAGGGTGGAAAGGATCCGACTTGCTCCCTGCTGACTCGGGCTGAGAACGGAGCAATCCAATGTCCTTCGAGGCTCGCGGCTCGATGGAACACGGCTAACATTGGGTCGGAAGAACACCCACCGCCTGAACTTGATGCTACAACGACACACTCAGCAGGTTCTTCGTCTCTCGTCCTTCACAGACTTGTGATCGTTCGTCACCCTGGTACGACTGCAAGCACCGATGCCAAGAAGCTGGCTGACCGTCGTGATCAGCCTGCATGGTACATCGCCTTATGACGGTCAATTTGTGTGCCTCTATTTTTGCTCCCTTTGTTTGCAGCATCGAGAAGTCTTTAAGTTTCTTCCGTGGCTGCGGACATTTGTAGTCAGACCACCGCAGCTGTCCCGACGATGCACACACAGACAATACAGAGTTGACTCGGTGCGGGAGACGAGTGTGGCTCTTACTGTTCATCCGACTGTGACAAGAACCGAAGTCGAGGGCACCGTCGGGAGGGGACCCGATGAGCGAAGAGCGTGGGACCCTATCGGCTTGCCCGATGTGACAGCTGCGCAAGCGTGCAACGGTGATCTGAAGGCGTGGCTCTTCCGAAAGAGGCGCTCGATGGCTCCTTGCTGACCTGACTGACGGATTTTCCCAGACGGCTGAGCTCAGCTCCAGAAGAGACAGGCGACGCGCCACTCAGCCGAGCACGCCTTGCTTTTCTCCACCCAAAGAAGCAGCACCAGCAGCGCGAGCAAAATGCTCCGACGCTCAGTCGGTCGAAACAAGTGCGAGTGACTCAATCTTCGGACCTGCTCCGTCGACACACCTCGTCTTCTCACCATACACGTCGTAGCTTCACCGATCTACATCACACATTGTCGACCATGCTGCGCTCGATAACGTCGAGGTCAGCCGCAGGCCGTCTCGGTCTTGCAGCGTCTCGATCTACACAGCAGCTCGCGTCTTCCTCAGCAACCCGCCGCTCTTTCACCAACCTTTCAACATCAAGAACACAGCCGGCAACCTCATCCATCTTGACTTCTTCCAAGCTCGTTTCTCATCGACACGCGCTCAGTCCATACGTCCGTCACTATGCCACACCAGCCGAGGATAGCGACAAGAAGAACAAGAACTCCGCCAAGGAACAAGACGAGGATGACAAGAAGAAGAAGGACTTTGACGAGTCGGTAGAACGTGGCCTCAAGGAGGCTCGACAGGGCAAGGCTGCCGGTGGCCTCCCCGAGAGTCTCAAGCAGTTCTTCGAGAGCGACAACAAGAAGCCCGCTTCCACCAAGAGCAACAAGGAGTCCGAGGCCGACGAGGACGACGTCGCAGAGAAGACGAAGAAGAAGAAGTCCGAAAAGTCGTCCGGCGCTAACGGCTCGGGTGGGGGCCCCAACGGCCAATACACCGAGATCCGCATCAACGCCAACACCATCCTGGCCACCATCGTTTCCACTTACCTGCTTTACCGCCTCACATCGCCCGACCAGCCCAGCCGCGAGATCACCTGGCAGGAGTTCCGCACCGCCTTCCTCGACAAGGGTCTCGTTGACCGTCTCGTCGTTGTCAACCGAACCAAGGTCAAAGTCTACCTGCACTCGAATGCCACCGGCTCCATGTACCCCTCGCAGACCGGAGGCTCTAGCACACCCGCCGGCGGCAGCGGTCACGCCGCCTACTGGTTCAGCGTCGGCTCCGTGGAAGCCTTTGAGCGACGTCTCGACGAGGCGCAGCGCGAGCTCGAGATCCCTGCCAACGAGCGCATCCCCGTCGCCTACCACGAGGAGATCTCCACCGCTCAAACCCTTCTCCACTTTGCGCCCACCTTGCTCATTGCTGGTCTCCTCTTCTGGATGTCGCGCCGCGCAGCCGGTGGTGCCATGGGCGGCGGCGGCGGTGGTGGCCCCGGTGGCATCTTCGGCATCGGCAAGTCCCGCGCTAAGATGTTCAACCAGGAGACCGACGTCAAGACCAAGTTCAAGAACGTAGCCGGCATGGACGAGGCCAAAGAGGAAATTATGGAGTTCGTCAACTTCCTCAAGAAGCCCGAGAAATACGAGAAGCTGGGCGCCAAGATCCCTCGCGGTGCCATCCTCTCGGGTCCTCCAGGAACGGGTAAGACGCTGCTAGCCAAGGCGACGGCGGGTGAGGCGCAGGTTCCCTTCCTCTCGGTGTCCGGTTCCGAGTTCGTCGAGATGTTTGTCGGTGTCGGACCGAGTCGTGTGCGAGACATGTTTGCCAATGCCAAGAAGCACGCGCCTTGCATCATCTTCATCGACGAGATCGACGCCATTGGCAAGAGTCGTGGCAAGGGCGGCAACTTTGGTGGTAACGACGAGCGCGAGTCGACGCTCAACGAGCTGCTCGTGCAGATGGACGGATTCGGGACGGAGGAGCACGTCGTTGTTCTCGCGGGTACCAACCGACCGGATGTGCTCGATGCGGCGCTGATGCGACCTGGACGATTCGATCGACACATCGCCATTGATCGACCCGATATCTCGGGTCGTAAGGATATCTTCCTCGTCCACCTCAAGCCTCTTACCCTGCACACCGAGACCGATCGCGACTTGCTCGCGGAGAAGCTCTCCACGCTCACTCCCGGCTTCAGCGGCGCGGACGTGGCCAATGTGTGCAACGAAGCCGCCCTCATCGCCGCCCGTGGCGGCGCCGACTCGATCGAGGAGCACCACTTTGAGATGGCCATCGAGCGAGTCATTGCTGGTCTCGAGAAGAAGTCTCGTGTTCTCTCCCCCGAGGAAAAGAAGACGGTAGCGTACCACGAGGCGGGCCACGCCGTATGCGGATGGTTCCTCGAGCACGCCGATCCGTTGCTCAAGGTCTCGATCATCCCTCGTGGCGTAGGAGCGCTTGGATACGCGCAATACCTGCCCAAGGAACGCTACCTCTTCTCGACCGAGCAGCTGATCGACCGCATGTGCATGACGCTCGGCGGTCGTGTTTCCGAAGAGATCTTCTTCACCACCATCACCACGGGCGCGCAGGACGATTTGAGCAAGATCACGCGCATGGCGTTCGAGATTTGCGCTTCGTACGGTATGAACAAGGAGCTGGGGCCCATCTCGTACCGCACCGAGCAGGAGTCGATGCACAAGCCGTACTCGGAACGAACCGGCGAGATGCTCGATTTCGAGGTGCGCAAGATGGTCAGTGAGGCGCACAAGCGCACGACGCAGCTGCTGACGGACCACAAGGCGGATGTGGAGAAGGTGGCGCAGCTGCTGTTGGAGAAGGAGGTGATTACGAGGGAGGATATGAGGGATCTGTTGGGCAAGCGTCCGTTCAAGGGGGCCGACGAGGCGGATGAGTATCTCGACAAGAAGGGCAAGTTGAAGCGCAAGGGCGAGGTGAGTGCGCCGCCACCGCCGCCGGAGGAGATGGGCAGCCCTGGGTTGGCAGCGAGTAAGGTCGAGAGCAAGTTGTAAGGGCTCGACGTGGAGATGACATCACCATTCATTGACTTGTATGACTAGACGCTTTGCGGACGTAATCTTTTTCAGTGCATGACGAGGGCGAGTTATGAGTTCATAGAGGTGTAGCAGGCTGATGTGCGAGACCAGGTGGAATAAGCGGTCCGAAGAAGACGGAGCAGCACGAGACGCAAGACACCCATCAGAATTGCAGGCGTATGAGAAGAAGGGAGACGAAATGGGTTGCGATGCGTGAAAACAGGTAGTGCGAACGAAAGCAGGAAAATGGAGGGTATGAAGCGGTGCGGGAAGGCGAATGCGGGAAGGCAAAAGGTGAAGACTGAACATCTCTAGATGAGGGATGGAGAGCGAGGGAACGACGAACAGCTCGGAGCGGTCGACGAGGTAGTATCAGGGTGATGCGAGAACAAGGCTGAGGGAAGGGAGTAAACTTGCAAGGAGCGATGTGGCGGCGCGCACCGGATGCGGGTCGAAGTTTCATCGCTGACCCTTCTGCGGCGACCGCTGCGCAACGCTCCTGCTCTCCCACATCTGCACCGCCGAACCAACCACGTTGCCTCCTGCCTTCTGGACGAATCTGGCCGGCGTGAGATCCTGCGTGATCGCCTCGGTGAGGCCGAAGATGCGGCGCGAGGTGGACGAGGAGGGCATGCCTACCGCCGGATCTTCTTCGGTCAGGGAGAACTGGGAGTTGAGGCGGTCAAAGGGGACTGTTTCGACTCGTCGCGCGGTGTCGTCGGAGGTGGTGAAGTCCCAAGAGTCGGTGTCTGGCTTGCGGGATGACTTGTCGGGTGACCGCGAAGCCGTGCGCGGTGCGGCGGGGGGCGATCGGATGGCGGACCTAGGCGTGTTGGCGATCGGGCTGGTTGGCACGGCGGAGGACCCTCGTGCTGGAGTAGACGGCGTGATGAATGCGCCTGCGAGACCGTATCCCGCCGGCGCTCCCCCTGTGGGGATGGCGGATGGAGCTAGGGCTTGGCTCGTCGAAGGCGCGTGCAAGTGTGGCAGTTCCAGCGGCGGCAACAGCGGTGCAGGCTTGAGCTTGGGACTCTCTAGCCAGTCCGTCAGGTGATACGGCAACGCAAATCCTGCCTGCTGGGCTAGGCTCAGGTACCTTGCCAATTCGAGATGCGTCGTGGGGTAGTAGTGCTGGGAGGCCTTCCTGAGCGTCACCAGCACGCGTTCGAGGCCAGACGCAAACATACTGCTGTGGAACTCCGCCGCCGTCATGGCGGGTCGCGGAAGCTGGTGCGACTTAATCTGACCCAGCACGTTGGCCACCGCGTTGATGAGTCGTAGGTGCACGGTGAGGTAGGCCATCGCCTCGAACTCGACGCCACCCGTCATTCCGCCTGGGACTTTCGGGCCTTTGATGCTGTCGATCTTGTCCGACAACTCGTCGAAGCGCCAGTAGAAGTTCTGCGAATGGCAGAAGATCCAGAAGTAGTCGCGGCAAACGCACGAGATTTCGACGACGTAGGCCTTGAATGGACGCGGAGCATGGGTCTGCTTGATAAAGTCGACCACCGAGTCCTTGGCCGGATCGGACGGGTTTTGAAGGAGCTCAATGAGGTAGTTGAGCGAAGAGTGGGAATGAGAGTGCGAGGCAGGAAGCTGAAGGTCGAGAAGGATGGAGAGGAGCTCGATCATAAGCTTGCGCGTGCCGAGGTCGCCAGGTTTCTTCTCGGAGAAAAGCAGGTCGGCCAGTTGACGGAAGGGTCGAGGGGCCTGGGAGGCGAGTGCGTTGCGACCGACTTCGGTAGTGCTCAGCGCTACAAAGCAGCGGAGTAGCTCATGAAGGAGCATGTCGTCGTGCTGTTCCTCTCGCCATTCCATCGCCAGCAGCTCATCGAGCCGAGCAAGCATCGCATCGTAGCCGCCGCACTCGGCACCGATGAAGGTCGAGATCCAGATCGGGGATTCTGCCGCCAAGACGGCACGCATGCGTTTGACGCGGGCGACGTCGATCCTGCTCGCATCGGTGCACTTGAGCATGGTAGCAAAGCTCTCGGGAGTCTCCTTGCCGAAGGAAGCTGCGAACTCTTTGCCGAAGGACATGGATCGAGGTCGTGCGGTGGAAGTCACGCTGCTGGTACCGCCAGCGGTGGATGCAGCGAGAGAAATGAACGATCCTCCCTGGCCCAAGTTGGGATTCGACTTTTTGAACGCGTCACGGATGCCGATGCGCGAGCCGTTGGAAGGCTGCTTGGTGTGTCCAGAGCCTGATGAGCCGGAGTTGGCTGAGCCAGAAGAGGCCTGTCGAGGGGGCCCGGACCCGAACAGCTGGGCTGTGTTGGGGGCCGCCATCAGCTCGTCAGAGTCGCCAGAGTGGTTCAAAGTGGAGGGCTGATCCGGTCGTGGAGAGGAAGGCAAGAGAACCGATCCTGGACGACTCGCTGGTCGATTCTTGAGGAGGTCAGGAATGGGCATGCGGGTCGACTTTGCGGGTGAAGAGGACAAGGTGTCCAGACCAAAAGCAGCCAGGCTCAGAGTGGCTTGACCCTGGAGCATGGACGCTTTGACGGTAGGGTTGAGGCCAAGAAGCTTCTGACGCAGGTCTGGCTGCACCTGGAGCTCGTCGAGGAGGTCGACAAAGTCGGAGTCGATCTGCTCGGGCGTGCGTGTGTCTGCGTACGACTGAGCTGGAGCAGCTTCTCGGTTGAGCGTATCGGTCTTGTCTTTGCCAAAGAGCCTGCTTCGGCTTCGACTGCGGCTGCGCAGTTCCTTCTTTGGGCTGGAGGAAGAGCTGAGCTTGGAGCGAGACGCTCTGCTGTCGACGTCGTCAGAAGAGTTGCCGCGAAGACGATATTTAGAATCTATAGGCAAAGGCTGTGCTAAAGAGGGAGTGCCAGTCGACCTTCCCCGCTGGTGCTGCTGGTGTGCTCGAGGATCATTTTCTTTGCAGCTGTGAGGGTCGGATGAGGAAGAGAGGGCCGAGTGCTGACGAGAGTACTGTCCAGGTCGAATGCGACTGGAATCGGTGGCAGTAGCGGCGGCGGCCATGATGGCGAGGTGAGTCGCCCGTTCTGGCCGAGACGATGACGTACGGTGAGGAAGGAGGACGGAGTATATGAAAACAGGCCAGACTGCGATGGAGTGATGAGTGACAAGAAGAAGGAGTGGCTTGTCGTCCACTCGCAGCAGACGAGGAAAGGGCGCTTACTGTGCAGGGTTCAGCGGGAGCATCAACTTGTGTCTCACTTGGGCGTGACCAAGGCGCAGCGGGCTGCCCACTCTGCAACTGCAAATGAGGCAGCTCTCCGCTCTGTGACTTTCCGAAGTGGCCAAATTGGACAGCCAAAGATCTACACTCGATAAAGTCACACTTGAATAGGACGTGTCTGCGCGACACAGCATCACGTGCAGTTCCGCTCGTGCGCTCTAGCCCTCCTCGCTGCCGGTCTGAGAGTATCACAGCGCTGTGCGATCCACACACGTGGACGAGCAGCTCATATGCGGCCTTGCTGGACTCGGAAGGTGGTGTCGTCGACAGATGGCGAAGACAAGGTGGACGCAGAAAGTAGCTATGTTAGACCGACAACGCTTTGGTAGGACATAATTCGTACCACGTGAAGTGGCGCGCTGCGCTGCAACTCAAAAAGCGCACAAAGTGGACTTTGACTCAACATCAACACTCACTGCTCCACTGCCTCTCGACTCTGTCCAACACTTTGTTCGTCATGCATGCACCCTCCCCTCGTCCTTCCTGGTCTTGACCAAATCTTGCCGCTCTCAAGCATCCGGACAGGAGTGCAGGGATCTATGAACCAGCCCAAGCGAGCTGACCTGTCCCATCTGACAGTCCAGATTCGGAGTTGAGACACACTTCTACCACCGTACCTGTCCCCCCACCCACCAGAGCTTTATTGTATCAAAGCCACCCCATCCTATCTCATATTGCCGGTCTCCACAAAGGCCTTGTGATTGCGAGCAGCGTCAGCTGGTCTGGTGCTGCCTCGATATCGCTGTACCGTTGCGGTAACCGAATCTCGTCACGCGAGCTCATCTATGCATCATGGCTCCCTCCCCACCCTTGCCTTCATCTGTGACCTCATCTCCTTCAGCAACGCCGCTAGACGCTCGTCAGGGTCTGCCTTTGACCTCTTCGGCATCTTCGAATCTCTCTGCTACCGATTCGCTCGCTTCCGCTGCAAGTTCTCCTTTAGCAACATCGGTATTGTCCATTGCCACCTCCCTCGCCTCTTTACCTTCCGAGCCATCCATCGCTGCCGAAACCTATCCACCACCGAGTTCGCGTTCTGCCGACCAGGAGCAGACAAAGGCTCCTCTGCGACCATCACGCACCTCCATCTCTCCTCGCAAGCATCCTGTCCCTGCTGCCGCAGCTCCACGCAAGTCCACGCTCTTGACCGCAACACGCACGACCACCGCATCATCTCCACTCAAGGCGTCGGCTCGCCGCAGCACCATGACTCGACCCAACACAGAGCATCGCAGCTCCCTCGCAGCCATGAAGAAGCCCAAGGTGGGCTCTCCCACCAAGTCGTCACCTTTCACTCGCCTCGTCGATCTCGATGGCGACACGAGCATGTCCACAGTCGCCGAAGATGAGGCGTCCACTTCCGCCCTTCCGCTCGCCTCTTCCTCGTCGTCCGACAAGCAGAACGTCGTGGTCTGCGTCCGAATGCGCCCGACTCGCAGCCTTGACTCCTCACCACCCGTCTGGTCATGCGACGCATCCACACACCGCATCAGCCCCACCGAGCACCATCCAGCCATCTCCAAACGAACCACCTCCTCCGAACGCGCCGGCGCCACCCTCCCCGTTCCTACAACACACGAACCCGACGAAACATACAGCTTCACCTTTGATCATCTCCTCCTCTCCCCCGCTACAACCTCGGCGATGTTCACCTCGCACATCGCCCCCGTCATTCGAGCCGCAATGGAGGGATACAACGGTACCGTCTTTGCCTATGGCCAAACGGGCAGCGGCAAAACGCATACCATGTCCGGCAGTGCCTCGGAGCCAGGGGTGATCCCACGGGCGGTGGAGCAGGTGTTTGAGCTGATCGAGGATGATGTGGAGCGGGAGTATCTGTTGAGGGTGAGTTATTTGGAGATATATAATGAGACGTTGAAGGATTTGCTCGCACCACTGCCGGCGTTGAGGGGGAGTTTGCAGACGCACGAAGAGCGGCCAGCATCGCCGGTGAAAGGTGGGGCGGGGAGCACGTTGAGGATCATCGAGGATCGCTCTCGGGTGCTCATCACGGGGTTGAGGGAGGAGATCGTGACGAGTCCATCTGTGGTGTTGGACCTACTGCAGCGCGGACAGGAGGAGAGACACGTCGGTGCGACGGATTGGAACGAACGTTCCTCCCGCTCCCACTGCGTTTTCACTCTCACTATCGAGTCTCATCCCCGAACTTCCTCGCCAGACACCGGCAAGGAAGTCCGAATCAGCCAGCTCAACCTCATCGATCTCGCCGGCAGCGAACGCGCCGCATCCCAAGCAGAAAGACGCAAAGAAGGCGCCTTCATCAACAAGTCCCTCCTCACCCTCGGCACGGTGATCGGCAAACTTGCCGAATCACCCGAAGCATCCGACCACATCCCCTATCGAGATTCCAAACTCACGCGCATCCTTCAGACATCTCTGTCGGGAAATGCCAGGATCGCGGTGATCTGCACGCTGTCTCCGGACGCAGAGCATGCTGGGGAGACGCTGTCTACGTTGAAGTTCGGGCGGAGGTGCAAGATGGTGGTGACCACAGCGAGGAAGGGGACGAGTATGGATGATAAGGCGTTGTTGCAGCGGTATCGGCGCGAACTCGATGCGCTACGGGCCAAATTGGAGGGTACGACGTCCACCGATAGCCTGCCCAGCAGCAACGTGGATCTGTCGCACTCGCACCGCGAACTGGATCAGCTCAACGCCCAACGTCAGTCGGCGCAACACGAACTCGAATCTATGCAGCAACAACGCGCGGACCTGCGCGGACAGATCGAACACCTCACCCGACTCATACTCACCAGTCAGAGCGTGGCTGACAGTCCCGCAGGACCAAGCACACCAATTCGAGCACGCAACGCACACGCATCGGCGCTCACCCGCCGCGGTCCGAGGATGAGCGATTGGGCAGGATACAGCAGTCCCGTCCCCCAACCTGGTGGGGAGAAGCCGTTTGAGCTCGAGACGCAGCTCGCGGGTCTACGAAGGCAGGTGCAACAGCTAATGGAGGCGCGGGAGACGCTCGTGCGGGAACACGCAGCGGAGATGGCCCAGAGGGACAGGCGCGAGGCCGAGCTCGAGGCTGCCATGCAAAGGAACAAGCAGGAGCTGCAGGAGGCCGGAGCTGCGTGCGAAAAGCTGAAGGGGGAGCGCGACGAGGCGAGAGAGGCCGCGCTAGAAGAGACAGAGACGGTCAAGGAGGTCAGAAGGTTCTTGGACGAGCAGCTGGAGGCGAACCGACTGTCGAGAGCTGAGATGGAGACCAGAGCGCAAGAGGAGGAGCAAAGGATGCAGGCGGAACTGCAGGCGCTGAAGGAACAGCTTGTCGCCAAGGAGGCTGAGCTGGCGGAAGCGAAGGAGCGATTCGACTCAGAGCTGGCGGAAGCGAAGAAGGAGACCGAGCAGCAGAAGGCTGCGATCGAGACGGTGGAGTCGCAGCTTGCAGAGGCACGCAAAGCGGCGGATGAGGAGAAGACGGCCAGGTCCAAGGCCGAGGTAGAACGGGCGGAGGCGGATCAGGCTCAGCAGGCGCTGCAAGTGCAGCTGGTGGAGGCGAGGGAGCAGTTCAACGCAGAACTCGCGGAAGTGAGCTTATTGGCGGAAGAACAGAAGGCAGTGAGGACGAGAGCCGAGGAGGAGCGAGAAGAAGTTAACAAGGTGCGCCAAGCGCTACAGGCACAGCTGGCCGAGGCGGAGGCTTCAGCGGCAGAGCTGAAGCAGAACCTCGCCTCGAAGGACGATGCCCATGCCGAGCTCCAGGAAGATGTTCGCAAGCAAGACGAGCAGGCGCAGGCACAGCTCCACCAACGGCAAACTGAGCTGGAAGAGCGCAAAGCCGAGATCGGGCGCCTCCGAGCTGAGCTCGAAGCGAACCAAACCCGGCAAGCCGAGTCGGAGGATCTCATTCGTCAGCAAGACGCACAAGCTCAGGAAACGGTCCACAAACGCGAAGCAGAGCTGGCCGAACGAGAGGAACAGATTGCGCATCTTCAGGCCGAGCTCGGGAGGGCTCAACAACGTCGAACGGAGTCTGAGCAGCTCGCTGGCAAGCAAAACGAAGAGGCTCAAGCGCAGCTGCAGCAACGTCAAGCCCAGCTGGATGAACGCGAGGCTCAAATCGAAGTCCTTCGTGCTGAGCTCGAGCAGACACAACAACGTCAAATCGTGTTCGAAGACCTTGCACGCAAGCAGGACGAGACATTACAGGCGCAGCTGCAGCAACGTCAAGGCGAGTTGGTCGAAAGAGAGACTCAGTACGAGCAGCTTCGTGTCGAGCTCGAACAATCCCAGCAAGCCCAAATCGAGTCCCAGGCTCTCGCACGCAAGCAAGGCGAGGAGGCGAAAGCGCAGCTGCAGCAACGTCAAGCAGAGTTGCGGGAACGCGAGGCCGAGAACGAGCGTCTTCGCGCCGAGCTCGAGCAGAGTCGACTTCATCAATGCGAGGCAGAGCAAAAAGACGCTCAGATCAAACGCCTCTGTGGCGAGCTCAATGAGAGCCGACAACGTCAAACCGAGTCAGAGGATCTCGTTCGCAAGCAGGATGAGGAGGCGCAAGCACAGCTGCAACGACGTCAAGCCGAGTCGGCCGAGCACGAGGTTGAGATGGCATCGATTCGGGCAGAGCTCGAGCAGACACGCCGCGAGCTGGGTGCTCGACCAGCGCCAGAAACTCTGCGGGAGCTTGCTTCGCTCCAAACCACCCTCTCTCACAGCGAGGCAGAGCGCCGGTCGCTGCAGGCCGAGCTCGCAGAGGTCCGAGCTGCGGCGTCAGCCCGCAAGGCGGATGCGTCAACGATCGCGTCGCTCCACGAAGCGCTTGAGCGAGCCAACACCAAGCTAGCGGCGCTGGAGGCGGACAACACACTGCCTCTGGCGAAGCAAATGGATGTAGGCGGCTCAACCTTGCGTCCCGCCTCCAGTCCGGGTCTTTCCCGCACTGGCTCTGTCAAAGAGTATCGGCGCTACCAATCCGCCTCCCCTGGCCCACCCTCAGCGTCGCCTCCGGCATCCACACGGAGTGTCATACTCACCCACCAGGCGTCGCCGAGCCGCACAGCCGAAAGGGACGAGATCGACCGCTTGAACGCAGTTATCAGCAGTCAACGCGCGCTGATGTCGGACCTCGAGCACTCGGTCGCATCCTGGAAAGACCGATTGCACGCCCAGACGGAGCTCATCCATCGCCTCATGGCCCAACCTTCCTCTTCACCTCCAGTGTCGGACACCGAAAACGCCTGTGTGACGCCAACCAAGCGCGAGGAGTCCTTCCACACCTTGCCGCGGACCACACACCTCGCACTCACCGGTAAGGGTACACCGACAAAAAGTGTGTTGGGCAGCTGGAATCGCAACTCGCCCTCCCCGTTGCCCGTGTCGGACAAGATGCAGGAGACAACCGGAAAGAGGAAGCCGAGAAAGACCATAGAGTTGGACATGAAGCTACTCAATTCGAGTCCGAGGGTCGAAGGTGGTAGGACAAGGTTCGGCGCCGGCGCGGGAGGTGGGGAGGATACCCCGACAAAGAGGAGGGGCACGACTGCGAGTCAGTTCTATGTGTGAGGGCGTTGAGCAAAAACGCTCCGCTGCAATGCATGCTTTTCGTTCAGAGCTGGAGTGTGACTGGATGTATGAGGTTCAGAGCGTGAGACTCGTTAGAGATGTCACACCAGGCAGCGGATGTCACGAGTGAGAATGACAGAGTCAACGGAAGTATGAAATACATGAAGCTGGCTGCAAACGCAGCCAACGGGCAAATCCGAGTATGTGTACAAGAGCAACGTAGAGAGTACACGTGGAGAAAGCTGATCATAGTGTACAAGGTATGTGTCGAGTTCAGCGGTGGCAGTGGGTCTACTCCTCGGCCACCCCATGCGCCACCGCAGCCTGCGCAGCGGCTCGAATGGCATCAGCCGTGAGCGCGCTGCTGAGATCCAACCCGCCATCGTCGCTCTTAACCGCATCGGCGGGCGGCGTTTCGGGCAGGGACGAGTGGACGAGCTGCTTGTACAGCGCTTCCGAGACGACGCTCTCGATGGTCTGCAGGGCTGCGGCGCTGACGGCTGGGTCCAGCTCGTCGGTCTCGCCGATCGCAGTCGGGAGCGCTTGGCTCTCGGGGTTGGCGTCGGTGCTGCCGATGGTGGCGGCGATGGCGCGGCTGATCGCGTTCGAGACGGGGAGCGAGAGTGAGTCGCTATCGATCAGTGGGGCGGTGGAGGATGCCTGGGCGATAGCGTCGAGTGCAATCGAGACGGCGAGTGAATGCGCAGGGTCCGTGGACTCGGTCGGTTCAGCATCGGCGTCTGCTTGCTTGCTATCGGCACCGGCAGCAGCCGTGGAGCTCACGTCGGCTACAGTCGGCGCGCTAGCGCTTTCGACCTTGACAGCATCGGGCGCCTCCGCTTTGACTGGCGATACCGACTTTGCTGCTGGCGTCGCGGTCGCAGCAGGGTTCTGCGTCGATGATGCAGAGGATGAGCTGGACGTCGACATCGCTCGTACGGCTACAGGCGCTAAAGCTCCATTCGTCGCCGCCCCGCCTGCACTAGCGGCAGCTTTGATAGCCTCTTCCTCCTTCCTCTTCTTGCTGTTCTTGCGGTGCACGCCTGGCAGACTTCCACCGCCACCGCCTCGGCTCTTCGGCACAATACTCGGATCGCCCGTCGGCTCGATGAACTCGACCTCGCCGTCCTTGCCCTTTTTCTTCTTCTTGCGCGAGAGCGAGCGGGCGTATCGAAGACCGCAGGCGTTGCACAGCGTCTTGTGCCCCGATGGCCCACGACGCCATTCGGGACTGTTGATCTTACCGCAGCCCGTGCAGGCTTTATTGGGCGAATCGGGCGAGTCACCGGCAGCGGCCAGAGCGGCTGCGGTGGCAGGCGATGGCGAAGCATTGTGGTGCGAGCGCCCGTTGGCTGCCTTCGACGCCGGCGTGCTGGTCTTGCGGTCCGCGGGTCGATTGGCGACAGGAGTTGCGGGCGGTTTTGCAGGCGCATTCGTGTACATCAGGCTTCCAAGCGCGGAAATGCCACCGGACTCTGACTTGATCGCTGGTTTGTGGTACTTCGAGATGGACGGCTTGTGTGCGTGCCCATTTGCAGGCTTGACGGTGTGGCCATTCGATGGCGCGACACGCTCCTGAGTTTGAGGCGTCGAAGCCGGGGCAGCCGCATTGGCAGCTGGCAGCGTCGATACGGCAATGGAAGCCGCCGTCTGAGGCTTGATGCCGTTTGTGACATATGCTGTTAATTCATTCGACTGGATGTCAAGCTCCGTCCGCTGACGCTTGTTGGGAGACTCTGTCGATGCGTCGTCCTCGGCCTTGCGTCTTTCCGGCTGATTCTGCGGCGAAGTCTGCGCTTGCAGAACATGCTTTGCGTCAGGCGTCGGTAGCGGTTGCTGGGAGGTCGTCTGGAAGCAAGCCAGGATGACGCCGCCATAAGGTATGAGGACGCTTTCGATGTTGCGAATCTTGCCCTCGGTAGTGAGAGTGTGCTTGGCACGGAAGCGCCGTGTGCAGCTTGTATTTGCGTCTGACAGGGACGACGAGGCAGGTGCGATAGAAACGCCCTGTGCGAGACGAGCAAAGTCGTCGGCAAAGTAGGAGCCGTCTTTGAACGCCGTCGTTTCCGACTGCGAAACCAAGCTGGGCTCGACATCGCGCAAGAACAGTCGCGGTGGCGGCCAGCTCAGCAACACGCGGTTGTCACCACCTGCCTCGAGCACCTGAAAGACGTGATCCGGTCCAGCGTCGGGAATCGTCTCTCTCGGCGTGGCCTTGACCTGCTTCCAAAGCGAGTCGCACTGCCGCAATGTGAAAGTGCCTCCGGGAATGCCGCACCAATTCGTCCACTCCGACTTGTGATGCTCGTCATTGTCCTCCGCCGCCTTGTCGATGATGGCGTGGAAGAAGCACAGGAGCATGCCATCGCCGATCCAGTTGATGATGATGTCGATGGCCACAAAGCTGTCGTCCTCGACGTAACGATCTGCCTCCGGGTCGCGGGGAGGATCGACAGCGCCGAGCAGCTCGCGAATGTGAGGCACGCGCGAGTAGCGACATCGTGTGACACTGCCGAAGAGGGTCCGACTCTCGACGATCTTTTGCATGTCGTCGCAGACGCGGTCTCGCTCCTCGGGGTGGACATAGTCGTAGAAGTCGGAGCCGACCATCAGACTGGACTGTTCAGCCATGTGTTGCTGCAAGACGGGATCGAGGTAAACGAACTGAAGCCTCTCGCCTGTTGGACCCTTGCCTTGAGAATGGTCTGCCGAGAGAAGGGCCCAGTAACATCGGGTCTTGCCGAGCTCAACAGTTGCCTCGGTGAAGGGTAATTGGCTGAAATCTTGTGGCGCAGTCCGAGTGCCGTCAGGACCTGCGCAGTGCTGGGCAGAGCCGCCTGGCGTGCGCTTGCCGATGGGGAGAGGGAAGGGCGAGAGGTGGTCGATGTACTTGTGACATTGGTCCTGAATGGCAGTGCGAGTATCGTCTGTGTCAGAGCCGTTGACAGAAGTGCCGTTGGTGCCGACACTGTTGGGATTGGGCGTTGCGCTGGAGTCGAAGCTGTCCTCGGAATGCGCTTTCTGTTGATCGTCGCCAGCGTGCTGCTGCTGTGCATGGACCGAGGCTGCAGCAGCGGCGAGCAGATACGAGTCGAGGTCACCGGGAGCGTTCGGATTGTCGTCCATCGCCTGGCCTTCATCAATGCTCTCTGTTTGGCCTTGAGCGACTGCAGCCATGGCTGCTGCTGCAGCGGCCAGAGCAGCCTCGTCAGGCACATGTATCGACGCTAGTTCCACGTCATGGTCTGTGCCGGGGAGTGGGGGCGTTGCCGGCGCCGGTTCGGCGTCTGCAGTCATGGAATCGTCGAGCATCGATGGGTTCGGGACCGGCGGCGCTGCTGCTGATTGAGTGTCGACGAGCATGTCGTCTGCTGAGTCGATCGTCATGACAGAGCGACGCACTGTAACGGTGTTGTTCCGGGTCCGTCAACCCGCGATTGTGAAGTGTTTGTCGATGGAGAAATGAGCCGACCGAGTGTCAATTCGAGCTGTGATCGTGCGCACATTCGATGCTGCTGAGCTCGATGGACTTGTGTTTGAGGTTCGAGGTGAGATTGGATCCACTGGCTCTGGAGTATCGCAGCCTGTTGTTCCCACCTTTGTTCCGCGTGAGTCGTGACTTCAGCAAAGTCGATGAAATACCGAGTTGAGAAGGAGACAGATATGCCGGCGATGTACGTGGCAACCAGATACTGAGCGCCAAGATGAAGGCTGACGAGGACGCGGGGGTTTGAAGCCGGTCGAGGGCGTGAGAGGGAGACAAGGAGCAACGAGAGGCGTGCTTTGGCTCGACGGATGGACCTTTCCTTTTCGAGCAGCGTAGGCTTCCGTTCCGATTCTCGAGACGTCGACTGCGGTAGGCTCAGCTAGTGCATGCGAACTTGTCCGGAAGAGAGGAGAAAGATCGTGACGAGCGATGGAAAGACTAGCGAAGGTATAGGCTCGGCATTAAGTCTTGTAGAAAGCTGCAAGCTCGACCTTACGTCTGCATATTCCAGGTCTTCTTCTTCTTAATTCAGGGTCACGTTTGTGGGATGCAGACCCCAGACGGACGGTGACGACTCTCAATGAATTTTCTTTAGAGTGAAGCGCTTCATCTGCCAAGGCTGGCGCGGCCTCTGCGAAGGCCAGCCGCTTCGAAGCGAAAAGAAAGAGTCTTGTTCGGATGCCTTTGACCGGCGGACAGTCTATCGGGCTAGTCGAAGCTGAGATCGCCGATAGGACAGAACTTCGGATTTCGCGCTCTGGCTTCAGAAAAAGTGTCAAGAAGAGCTTGAACTTTTTTGCCTTGCTTCGGCATGAGGATGCGGCCAAGGTGATGTCGACTAGGCGACTAGGCTCCTTGTCCATCACGCTGTCACACTCGCATACTGCAACGCTGCAACTCATCGGCTGTCTCCGTAGAGGCTATCTTGGTCACCGGCACTAGATCTGGAAGAGCTGACGAGGCTTCCGAGCAAGGACCATCACCATGGCCTCGACCTCCACTTCTGCGCCGATCCCATCGGATCCCCCAACGTCGAGCGTGGCATCCAGCTCACGGAGCGCAAACGTCGACGATGCCTACATCAAAGCCGGTGATCTCGTGATTGTATTTGCGTCCCGAGACAAGACACCAATGCCGCTGACGGTCACGCCAGGCGAGCACGTCTCCAACATGTTTGGCCATTTCCCGCACGACGACATGATCGGCATGCCCTACGGCAGCAAGATGGTCTCCAAGAAAGGACGCGGATACGTCTACCTACTTCGACCGACACCCGAACTGTGGACACTGGCGCTGCCACACCGCACGCAGATTCTGTATGCACCCGACATGTCGTTCATCTCGATGAAGCTCAACATGGGTCCCGGGAGTCGCGTTATTGAGGCCGGCACGGGGTCGGGCAGTTTCAGCCACGTCATTGCTCGCACTGTCGGTCGTGCTGATGCTGGTCCGCGATCGAATGGCGTCGCGAATGGAGAGGATCGGAGCAAGGCGGAGGGGATGCAAGTGCCAAGGAACTGGAAGGGCTTGCCCAACCACTTGCAGCAGAACCTATCGCGAGGGAGAGGACAGCCACGCGATCTGGAGGATGCTGCCGAGACGGTCGAGAACGGAACAGTCGAAGCTGGAGACGCCTCCAAAGCTGACGCAGCATCAGTCGAAGCAACCGCGCAGCGACCCGACACGGATGCGCACGTCCCCGAAGAGCACGGCCGCCTGTGGAGCTTTGAGTTCCACGAACCGCGTGCTGACAAGGCCAGAGCCGAGTTTGCAGCACACGGCATGGACAGGGTGATCGTTCTCAACCATCGAAATGTCTGCAAGGACGGCTTCGGACTTACCGACGCTGCTGACTCTGTCTTCCTCGATCTTCCCGCACCGTGGGAAGCGGTCGGACATGCCGCCCAGGCATTGCGGCGCGATACGGTGACGCGCATCTGCTGCTTCTCCCCCTGCATCGAGCAGGTGCTCAAGACAGTCACCGCGCTCAACGAGAACGGCTTTACCGATGTGGAGACGTTCGAGTCGCTGGTGCGCACGCACGAGAGTCACTCCGCTGCCGGTCCCGAGGTCAGCATCGACGAGGCCATCACGCGCATTCAGATGGTGGAGAAGCGCAAAGAGGCGAGACGAATCATTCAGATCGAAAAGGCACGCGGCAACAGAGGTCAATCGAAGGGCGCCAACCGAGCAATGGCCGAGGCGGATGCCGATGACGATGCGGAGGGTGATGCGAGCATGGGCGAGCCCTCGACCACGACAGGCAGCTCGGCTGATGCCGATCTCAAGCGCAAGCACGACGACGAAGAGGACGGTGCAGACGACGGAACAGCTGCTCCCTCGTCAGACAAGGCTGCCAACGACACGTACCAGCGAGGCGTGCAAGAGGGGGTCGCCGTCACCAAGAAAAAGGCTCGAATGATGCAGCAGCAGACCCACCAGAGTCAGCCGATCCAAGCCGCCACCGTCTACTCAAAGCCCTACTACGAGGTAAGTTGGTCTCGTCTCACAACAGGGCGAGAGCAGCACGAACACTGACCATGTTCGATCTTGTTCTTCTCATATGCAGATGCGTGGCCACACGAGCTATCTCACCTTTGCGACGCTATTGCCTCGCGACATGACGGGCGGTCTGTGATGACATCGCAATCGAGACAATCCCATTCCAGCATTGCTGTGGTAGAACCGAGTAGAGTCGTGCTGATTGATGTCTGTGTGCAAGACAAGCTTCTGCTTGAGGCCCAAGATGTGAGATCTGCCGATGAGGTTTGTTGCAAGCTAATCTCGTCAGACTCGCCCCGATTGGGTCTTGTGGCAGAGTAGCCAGGCCCGCTCATGGCTCTCTCCCCTCGTGACCGAGAAGGAATTCTCTTCACACGCATGATGGTTTTGCCGCTGCATAGCTTAGCATCCTCAAGTCGAAGCGAAAGGGATCTGACCGTGTCCAGGTCGGGTACAGGTGCTCGGAGGTGGTACGCGAAGCGGCGTCTCAACCCAAGGGTTCGGGGTACTCAACGTGTCGCCATGTGCGGCTGCATAACCGCCGTTGTAGAATGCATTGCATGTGTCAGCATTCTTGACACATTCTCGCCATCGATTGCGATTGCTTATACGTGTCTGCACTGACTGGATGACGGTCGCGGCTTCTTCAGGCCCCATGCGCGGCGCATTCCTGCATTCTAGAGTGTGAAAAGTGAAGCGGGCCCAAATACCAGGCGAGCCCTGCTCCGACAAACAGATGCACGTCGTTGGTGCGCAGCAGCCGTCCATCACGGCGGTGCGGAATCCACGTCGCAAGTCAGGCCAGGGCACATCGCGCCATCCGGGAAGCAAGTGAGGCGCTGCGATCCCGATCCGCGACCAACGTGCCAGCATTTTGGCTCGTCGCTGAGTCGCACGGCCACAAAGCAGGCACCAACTCCGAAAAGCGGTGATGCTCCCCGAAGCGTCAGGTGGTCAAGCGCGGTGTCGCTCTTCAAGAAAGATGGCATGGACAAGAGTACGCACGCACAGAATTCAGTCGTGCAGGCGGACTCCGGTAATCGACTAGGTATGCAGTGCCTTATCTTTTGGGTCCAAGTGCGAGACGTCTTGACCGAACTCTCGGTGAGTCGCCTACTCTGGCCTCGATTCGAATTCCGCTCTAACTGCGCTCGCTTCCCCGTTCCGATGTCTCGTCCCAATCAGGATGACCTATGACCTGCCCTGAGACACGTTCGACGCAGAGACGGTGCCGAGTCGCGGAGAAAAACGGACTCCGAGGCACCTCGGTGTTCAGAGCTTTTGCCCATCCATCGGTGCTGAATCGACCGAACCACCTCCCTGAACAAGGCGGCGGCTCTACGGTTTGTTTTCCATTGTCGCGACTGCCCGAGCGGGTGCACTTCGTAATTCACGTTAACAATGGCAAAGTCACAGGCGCAACAGGAACAAAAGTGCCACTGACCAAAGCGATGCACACAACGGACGCCGATCTCGCGACGGACGTTCGAGGGGTAAGCACGTTCCAGACCGACTCACCCGATTCGCGGGTCTTGGCTCGCGGGGAAAAAGGGTCTCCTGCCAACAGGCGTGACCGAGAAGGACGCGATGTTCCAGTTGCGACTTCCAGGCAAAACAGAAAGGGTAGCAATCACATGGAACAGAGGCAGGCTCGCTAGAGTACGGATGTCGGAAACGGAACGGGGGACGACATCTTGAGTCAACTAAAGCAGTCAGTCACGAGGCTGTCCATCGACCTGCTCGGCTATCTATTTCGATACTCACACGGTGCCAAAACAGAGAGTCGTTAATGCACCTTCCTTCTTCGCTTCCGTGCCGGTCGTACTGGCAGAAGCCCGACGCCAAGGATGCGCTCGCTTGTAAGCGGGGCGGATCCGCCTCGCTTTCGTCGACCTGTTCCGCTGCAGGTGGTGGTAGGGTTCAGATGAGCGTGAGACTTGGCACATCGCAAGCTGACGCGCGTCGTCCGTCGAGAGGAATCGCATCTGTTGGCGGATGCAGCGGTTATGCATAACGAGCGTGAGCGATCGAGACGAGGCGTCTTTGCATCTCAGATTCGGTTGTCCTTGAGACGCCCTCAAGCTCGCCCGCATTGTTGTACGAAGCTGACCCGTTCACGTCGTTGCTGATGCTGACACCACCCTTGCGGAGAGCAAGCATGTCGTCGGCCTCTGAAAATTGAGACGCTCTCGTCGGACATTGTTTGCGGGTTGTTCCTGAGCCGCAAGCCACGAATTTGGGCAGCATATGCCGGAGTTGGTTTGTTGTTACGAACCCGAATCTAGTCGCGGTCGCGCATACCCTTTCGCCCTGAAGAGCCTTTCAAATGGTGAAAGGAGGATGGGATGAATGAAGATGCAAGATGCCCGTCTTTGCGGCTCCCAACGTTGAGCCTTGATTGCCGAGCTCGGCTTGGTCTTGGATTTGCGGAAGGATCGGACCGGCTCTGTCGTCGGCCGCCTCGGGTGCACTAGTAGTCAGTAGCGCGCGCGAGACGGCTCGGTGAAAGGTACCACCGAGACAAGCGAACCGAGAGCGGAAATCCCCCTCGTCCAGCCGAGCTGCCATGGAAATTCCGTCGGGCTCGTTGGCTACGACGATCCGATACGTCGGTTACTTACCCACTCACGTCACCGGACCCTAAAAGCGTCTGTTTGCCAGTTGAAAAGACCCGGAGCCCTGCCCGGGAATGAGCTTGAATTTCAATTTGATTCAATCAATAAAGCGGGTGACGACCGACCGCGTGGAAGCCGCATCTCGTCGGTCAACCCAAAGAGGCATAGGGGGGTCACGTTCCAGGTCGAAGCCCTCCCCCCAGATCCATGCAAACACAAGCTCGGTTCCTGCTGGCTGTCGACGCTGTTCTCAGGGTGAGAAATGCATTGCCTGTGGAAGGAATCATCGCATCGCAAGAGCGCCATCCGAACCAGCCTTGCCATGGTGGACGTCCAGTCTCCATGGTCGAGACCTCTGACTGCCAAGATGAACTTGCCAGCAAAGATCTGGTTCGGTGGGTAATGACGCGAGAGCCCTTTCATGCAAAGAGCGTCGACTTGAAAGCAAACCTGATGCGATGTGGAGTCCGTCTGTCGGACTTTTTTCTTTTGGAGTGGCCCAATCGCGCTCCTCCAACGCGAGCCAAAGCCACGACGACGACGCCAGGGAATCGAAAAAGCGAACGGAGAATGGCGGCGCAAAGAGACAGACTGCCGATTCGCAGGCCAACCCGAATTCTTCGTTATTATAAATGGGTCTTCTCAGCTTGTTCTTCTTCTTGGGCCATGTCGAATGTGCATTTGTTTCGAAAAAGGGTGCGCAAATGAACCTCACGCGTCTCTCCCCATTCCGCTGGCTCGGCCGTGCTATTGTTCTCCATTGTTATTATTGTGCTTTCCGTCCCGTGCTTGGCTGTGCTTGAATCACCATCGCTTTGGGACCTGTCTGCGGTTCTCAGCCCGACCTCATTCAATAAACAATTCCAAAAGGGTCCGTCGCTGCCCGCCTCTGCATTTATTATTATGATAGATTGGAGTCGGTCTTCTAAATTTGGCCGGTTGTCGGTGGTGGCCATCTGAAGCAGATGCGATCGCAGGAGGAGTTTTGAAGCACGAAAGACGATGTCACGCTCAAGAGATCGTGTCAAGAACGATCACGACCAAATGCATGCTCGCGCGAGCGATGGAGTAGCAACAGTAGGAACAGAGAGGAGCATCAACATTCGGAAGGTACCTCGGTCAGCTGCATCAGTCCGGGATGAACAATCAGTCAGTCTCCTTACCCTGGCTCCCGTCCCGTGCTACATGCTTGGGGTCCACCGCTTGCGAGTGTCTGGGTTTCTTTCTATGCGCTTCAATGTTTGTTTGCCATCATCGGCTGCTTCCCGCTCTCCTCATATGCAGTCCCACTCAGGACTGACCGACGACGCCGAAGCGCCCTGCTACTTGCCCGTTGAAAAGCATGAAAGCGACCCTTTTTTTTGGGGGAAAAACTGCTTTCTGTCTGTTCGCATGTGAGGCTCGCCTGCAGATCCGAACCAAGCGAGACCTTCTCGACGCCTTTGCGGCTTTTGGTCAGGCTAAATTCGCCCTCACTGGCTCAAACCTTTGCTGCAGCTCGCTGCATCACATCATTACACGGAGCTCTTTCTGCTTTCGATCGGGTTAGGTTCCAGAACCGTGGAATTCGGAATCGCTCCTTCTAGCCTGATTCATGTCGAGACACACACGCCCTTACGCCCGCTCACCCGCTCCCCTCAGCCTCAAACCCGACAATAACCCAAAGGTGGGGCCAACTGTGGCTTGGCTCGCGTCTTGATGCACATGCATCTATCTCTTCCTGCCTGTCAACTCACTATCTCCCTCTTTCCTTTCCCTCATCTCGGGTGTATCACACGCCCATCCGTCTTCTTGGGCTCATCAGTCTCACACAACACGCACACGCACCCACTCACTCAAGTCACACGAGCCTCTTTTCTGCGACGTGGGGCCCTTTCTGCATTCTTCCCTTTTCTCTCCGTCAGCAAAGCCATCGACGTGTGCCCACTTGCTGCCTTTCCCACCGTCCATTCTTGCCCACTCATCCTTCCCGTCCTTCTTCATCATCATCGTCACCATCGCCTTCGTGTCCTGGCCGCTTTCAGCATCACCGTCCTTCGTGCCGCTCGACCGACGTTCTTCCCCTGCCCATCCATCTTGGATGAACAGTCCGCTCTTGCGTCAAGGCATCATCCACAAGCCACTGACGGTCGGCGTGCACTCTTTCCAGCGGCCTCTTCTTCAAGGCACGCATCTCGCATTGAGCTCGCGACCCGACGCGCCGACATCCTAGATCGTCGACACAAGTCGCAGAAGAAGCTCTTGTACATTCTTTCTGCCTCTCCTCGGCCCCTTGCTGCCCCTCATCATCATCATCATCATCATCACCACCACCACCATCACACCCTCCGGTTCCCTCTTTCGTCAATTTGGACCAAAGCTTATATCACACATTCCTGCTCAATCCTGCCCTTGGCTCAGACAAGTGCAGCAGACGACAACCTCCCTCAGCTTTGTCAGCTTCCTTTCTCGTAAAAGCATTCATCAGCACGTGATCGCCAGTCGCCCCCTCATCAGCATCGAATGACGCAGCTCAAACGGGCATGAACACATAGCAGCCCATCACAGCGCTGGCACAATCGTGTCCTTCCCTTCCCTTAACCTCTCTGCCGTTGCTCGGCCTGAGGTTCTCTCTTCGAGCAACAGGATGAGCTCATCCGAAAGTCGCAATGCGTCGTCCAACCCACCCGCGCCAGCTCGCAGCTCAGCCATGTCCAAGACCGACGACAGCAGCTCCAGCCAGACGCCCGTCGGCGCCTCGGAGGGCAGCGTAGCGTATCAGTATGTCGCCGTCAAGCAGATGACGTCGGCTCGCGATCACATCGAGTACCAATTGACGGTGCGCGAACAACCAAAGCAGTCGAGGATGTGCGGTGTAGGCGAAAAGGCCGATCGAAGACCTATCGACCCAGCTCCCATCGTGCAGCTCCGCGTCATCACCCACGACCGACCTATCCAACAGTGTAACACAGTCGAAAGCGGGCCTGTAGCCCCACCCGTCGAGAGGAGGCCAGGTCACGGTCCCAAGGCACCAAAGGCGGCAGGCGTGCGACCCGGTCTGCCGGTTGCTACGGCGCTCGGCGATGGATGGGAGGATAAGGCGTGGTATCTGGAAAACCCGTACCTCTTCATGTATGCCATGCTCTGCAACGCAGACACGGACGAGGAGCTGCATCTGCTCAACGATGGAAAGACGAGGTATACGAGCGGATCATGCGTCTCTTGCCTCTATCACCTCAAGGACATCGACGGCTCGCATCAAGGCTTCTTTGTCTTTCCCGACTTGAGCATCCGTGTTGAAGGACGCTACCGGCTCAAGCTCTGCCTTTTCGAGACGATCGGACATTCGGTTCACCATTGCAAGTCGATCTATTCGGATCCCTTCCACGTCTACACAGCCAAGCGTTTCCCTGGAATGGAAGAGTCGACACGGCTGTCCAAGTCGTTTGCTGAGCAGGGTCTCAAGGTGCGCGTCCGCAAGCATCCACGCTCGCGTCGCCGAGGATCCAAGAGGACCAAGGAGGACAGCGACGCTTCGGAAGATACTCCGCTCGCGCGAGACCGCAGCCCCAAGCGTGCCAGAGCTTCCGACATTCTTCCCGTTTCGGGCCTTCCAGTACCGCAGCCCATTGCATTCTCAAGATTGCCCCACTCGTACGATGCGCGCTTTGAACGCGCTGACTACGACCGAGAGGCGCTGATGCGGCCCATGCCATACGATCCACATGCTCCTCTACCACGCAGTCGTGCTGCTTGGGAGCAAGAGCAGGCGATGCGCGCCCGCGATCCTCGCAGCTGGGATCCCAGATATGACCAGGAGGTCTACGCTCGGCCTGGCCGAGAGGTGGACGAGCGCCAGCAGCTGCCACATCGGGAATTTGCTGACGCAAGATATATGGACGAATACTCGGCACGCAGCCGCGCCCCCGCTGTCCACCCGGGCATGTCGGATACCATTCCATCGGACTACCCCGACCAGGATAGATCGGCCTATCCGCGCAACGATGACTCAGCTCGAGCGCTGCATCGGCCCCCTCCTGCGTCGACGCAGGGCCCACCATCGTCAGCATATCCACCCTTTCCAGGCCGTGGCGGCCATCTCGAGGCCGCTTCGCAAGGTCGGAACTATCCGTCGGCCCCTGCGCCTATGCCTCTGCCCCCCGCTCGCGTCCACTCTCGAGGCTACGGCCCACCCGACCACGCCGCTCACGACCCTGCCAGGGCCTACGACGACCACGGCGCTCCTCCACCACCTCGCCGTGACCCTCGCTACAGCGCACCCTACGACGCTCGCAACCGACCTCCTGGCCGCTTTTCACCATCGCCCCCGCCTCCAGGTAGCATCGACTACAACGGCCGTGGTCATTATCCGCCTCCCACACAATGGCGATCCGGACCGTCGAGCCCGCGTCTCGCCGACTACCACAGCGCACCGCAACGCTCACCCGTCCCCACTTCTGCTCGCGGGATCGCCGCTCCCCTGCCGGCCTTTGTCGGCGAACCTGCCGGTCGAGGCTACCCACCCGCCGCGTACGAGTCTGGTCCCCCTCCAGGACGCAGCAGCCGATCGCCCAACCCATACACGCGCGAAGGCGACTCGGACCGCTTTGGTGCAGGCATGCGACCCGTCCTTCCACCGCTCGATCGTGAGCGGGATCCAGCCTATGGTGCCCAAGGAGAGCGGTACTTGCCCTCTCCCTCCGGCTACGCGGGCAGAGGCGAGGTCGAAGCGGATTGGGAACGAGAGCGCGCCATGCGCGCGGGTAGGCCAGTGCGGGAGGACGAGTATAGAAACAGGGAATGGGAGCCAAGAGCGCCGGCTAGGCCGCCATCGGGAGGTCCACCTAGAGGCTATTGAACCCAGCTCACGCACGAAGCTGTCTTACAATCGCACACTTGACAAAAGACAATGCCAATACACGCATTGACTCTCACCCCCCGCGTTTGTGTGGTTTTCTCAGAGGCACAGGACAGAAGTGGAACGAGTCTTGGGGGCCAAGACGATTATGTGCACCTGGGCTGAATGGGACGGGTTACACATCCGCTTGAGAGAGAGCACGAAGTTTCTCCTTCGATCAGCCGTGTTAATGACGGGAAAGAGGCGGATCAATGGAGGAGGATGCGGACCGCATCAATTCCGTTCCCAGCCTGTTGCCAGATCGAGCGACGAGGATCAGAAGAAACCACGGTCGCTCGTCGCTATGCCGGGTCCGCATACGAGATCTGCAGGGGGTGGGCGAAGCGGGGTGGCGCGAGGGATGCATGCAGTGGACAAGCGGGAGGGAGGAGTGGCGAGCGCGCCGGACGGGAGCGCGGCGCGTAAAGTAGCAGGCTGTGCACCTGTTGAAATGCTCGGGTATACGCTGCTATTCCTACTTTTCTAGCGCAGTGATGTACATGACTGCATCGAGTCGGAGTGAGACAGGAGGTTCGGAGGGGGCGAGTCGGTTTCAGATGGCGGTGCGCAGCGTGCATCAGGGGTTGGCCAGCGTGGCCGGGCGAGCAGGAGTGTGATCGATCGAGCGGAGGGGACCAGGCGCGAGGCGAGGCAAAAAGAGGATCCAGAAAAGTTCATCAGCATACAAAACGTTTGTAATCAGTCCTCGCGCGATCAGCAGGACTCACCATTGTTACCGCGAATGAAAGCGTCGCCGTACGAGTTCTTCTTGACACCATCGACGTACTCGACTGTCTGCTCAAGTGCGATGTTCATGTAGCCATCCAGACAGGAGAGCGTTCCACGGTAGTCAATGCCGGAGTTGAGGCGGACGTTGACGCTCTTTCCAATGACGCTCTTGAGGAAGTCGTTCGGACTGCCTGCTTTTGGCGGCTGTGCTGACGACATGGTATGCGCTGCCGAAGTGCCCGAGGGATCGACTGGGGTAGCTTGTATGTGATTTACGTTTGTATTCGATCGAGCAGCCAGACCTGGGTGGGCACGATTGCACGAGCGAGCGAGAGAGTATGCTGTTCGTCGAGTATGTGCTTCGTTTGAACGATTCGAGGGCTCCTTGAAGTGACGACGATGTTGTGGTGGTAAGGATGTATGCTGTTGGCTTGGCGATGGAATTCAAAAGCTGTCAAGAAAGTTGAAGTTGCTTCGACCTGCAAGGTTCAGCGCACGGGACCTAAGCGCACTCCACTTTACGCGATACCCATTTTTGATTTTCTGAATTTCCTCTGGCGCGTACTGCCTGTTTGCTGCCTCGTTCAGAAAAATCGCGCGAAAAACCTCGAATGCGATTCGCATACCGCCATCTGCAGCCAGGTCTAATACTCGATTTTCCAGAAAATGGGAAATACTTTTTCTCGAAAAGTGTGCCTTTGGTAATACCGACTTCCGAAATCTTTACTTGACTTTCTTCCTCCGTCACTACAACCACACCCAACTTCGTCTCGTCTCGTCTATCTTCGCTTATCCCCTCCTTGTCATCGTATGCACCTTGCAGGTAATCTTATCTATCCATCTTGCTCCAATCTCCGACGCTGCGCTGCACAGGATCTTCACACGGTCGACGCCTGAGACACTGCTGCACGGGTCGCCTTGCATCTCCTCCTCCCCGTCGTCCGCACGTCAAGCTCCAAGCCACCTCGCCTCCTCAAGCCGCTCGCATTTCGCTCCCACGGCCGCTCTCATCTTTGGACCTTCAAAAACCGCGATCACGGATCAGATTGGTCTTGGACGCCACCGCTCCGCTGGGCAAACCTCGAACTCGTTTGATCTCATCCCCCTGTCGCAGACTGGTTGCGAGCTGCTCGCCGTTGCGCCAACTGCATATCGTCTGAGCACGGAGTTTTTCCTCTTCGAGCGATCGCATCATCTGCAAGCCCCATGTCTCGACCCGCCAAGCTCACGCTCGCCGCCTCGGTCCTCGTCTCTGGACTGACGGTGTGGGGAGTTCATTTCATGCAGGAGAGGGAACGTGAAGTCATGTATCGCGGCGTGGAGCGCGACGAGGCACGGCAGGAGGAGAAGAAGCGCAAACGTCTGCTCGACCTGCAGATCAACCAGGAGAAGGAGGCAGCGTACCAGAAGATGCAACCGACAGCAGGGGCAGGCAGCTCCTCGTCCTCCTCACCGCCCTCATGACAGGGTATGCTGTAGCATCAGGGAATGAATGCCATTCGCAGGCTCGTACAGCGGAATTATGCTGTAGCGCTCGTGTGTGTCTATGCAGTCTACATATAATCGGACAGTCCATCATCATCCTCCCCCATTCGAAGCAGCATCCCAGTTCGCAGTTCTATCCCCGATCCCCCAACCCCCCCACATCTTAACAATCTCGACAACATGTCCCCCTCCTCGCAGAAGCAGCAGCAGCAGCAGCAGCAGCAGCAGCAGCAGCCGACCGACTCGGCCGACGAGATCATCCCGATCGACCTCGTTGTCCCCGCCAACTCCTCCCCCGCTCCCCCTCCTCCTCCTCCGACGCCCGTTGCGCCCAGTCGCAACTCGATCCCGATCTACGCCGCCCTGCGTAGCCTCCCCTCGCAGTCGGCCATCAGTCACGCTCTCGCCTGCGCGCGCTTCTACAAGCTGCGCTGCAACCTCAAGCTCAAGCTCTCCGGTCGCGCCAACGCGTCCGACGACACGGTCGACATGTGGGCGTCGTGCGACTCGCTCCTTGCCCTGCTCGAGGGTCTTCCGGGTACTCGGCCGCAGTGGTGGGTCTACTCGAGCGACACGCTCGAGAGTCTGTGGCCTTGGTTGCCCGAATCGGAGGTGGGCGATGCAGTCGACGAGCCGACGCGTCTGCGTCGCATTCGGCAGTTCTTGGCGCGTCTGTTGCTTGCGTTGTTGCGCTTCCGCCTGCTCAGACGCCGCCAGGTGGCGCCTGTGGAGCCCGAATCGTCGCACATCTCGTTTGACGAGATCTTTGCCACTGCTGCTCGTCGGATCGCCGATGAAGCTGCGGCGGTTGCTGCTGCTGAGCAGTCGACTGTGCGGGCTGACACGCCTCGTCCATCGATGGCTTTGCCCCGACCGAATTTCGAGACCGAGCAGACTCGTGCCGAAGAGATGTTGCGACGCGAGTCTCGGGCGTACCACAATCGTCCTGCTCCCGCTGGTCCTCCCGACTTTCGCCGTTTTGAGGCTCGGCCTGCCGACTGCCCCTGTGGGAGTGTCTGCGTGTGCTACCGAACCCCGGATGGGCCTCTCGAGCCGATGATCGTCGATCGCAGGCGTCGCGTGACGCATCTCAACCTGCCCGTCCGTTTTGCAACGGGCGATGTTCACAACGCACGCCCCACCGTCCGACGCAACCTCAATCGCCTCGACGAGCACATTGCAGTGCCCCAGGCCGAACTCGACAACTCGCGCCGCGGATTCGAGTGCATGCAGGGATTCTACATCCCCGATACGCACTCCGATGACGAGGACGACGGTAAGGCCGAAGACGAGTGGCTCGAGGTGATGCGTGGTGACAAACGCCGCAAGGGCAAGCGTCGCGCTTAGGGGTTTGTTGTTTTCTGTCTCGTCTTGCTCTGTGTCTCGCCCACTTCGTCTGTTCACTTCGCACCTGTCCATATCACCCGCTCTCAGTTTTGCCACTGTATCTATTGTCTCTCGAGCACAATTCTCGATCGCTGCCGCAGATGCTGCACACCAGTTCTCGTCGTCGTTCAATCTAGTCACCTGTTCTTCATAATTCATCTGCAATCTCTGCTCGCCTTCCTCAAAAGGTCTTTGTGAAATCGTACAGCTCGCTCGAGGCGCTTCCCACCGCCATCCCACCTCCTGCCACAGCAGCCGGATCCACGCCGTCCGCCTTGGCCTTCTTGGCCAAATGCTGCTGTCTCGCCCTCCTGATGTGCCCCAGCCTGCTGACCCAATTGCTCGAGTACGGCTGCATCGCCTCGCCCGTATCCAAATAGATCTGGCTGGCGACGTTACTATGCAAAGCCAAAATTCTCACAAAGTTGGGCAGCGCTTCGGCGCTCAACAGCTGCCCATCGCCCACCGGGCTGAAGTCCGGCATGCCTGGCCTGCGCTGCAGGGTGACCTGGTAGAACACCGCATCCTCCGGATTGGCAGCTCCGAGATTGACACCGCCGCGCGTCATGGGCGAGATGCACACATTGACGTAGTTGAACTGCCCCGCGATCGTGTTGAATCGATAGTCGCGGCCCGACTCGTTGAAGACAATGTGCACAAAGTCGTTGCCGATGAGTGCCTTTTTGGAGCGTCGGATGGGATCGCGCTCGTCGTTGGGCATGAGGGTGGCTGTGTGGTAGACGATCTGACAGATCTCGTCCGTCCACACATAGGCGTGCTTGCCGTGCTCGTCGTTGTTCCGATCGAGGCCTCCGGTGTAGACGTCCTCCTGGCCTTTGAGCGTGACGAGATGGCCGAGACCTTGCAGGAAGCGCGTATACGCTCGGGAGCCATGGCGGTTGCTGAGGATGTCCACTTCCTCCTCCTGACCAGGGCCGACGTAGAGGACGCCGATCTTGTGGAAGTCAACCACCGGCGTCAGGTCTACGGCTTTGATCAACCTGTCGGTGGCTGGCTCATCGGGGAGAAGAATTGGCGCAGTGTCGTGCAGCATGTCCGGGTAGGTCGACAGCTGCAGAGCAAAGAAGCTCGGATCGACCTCTGGCTCCTTGGCAGTGGCTTTGACCTTGGCCACTGCGCTTTGTACACCGCCGGCACCAGTCGTGTCGGCAGCCGTGTCCGAGCCCAAAAGGTCATGCATGACCTGACGCATGGCGAGCGAGCTGCCAGCATGCTCCTCGCTGAGAGCGCCGCTGAGCAGCGTTGTTGGCTTCGACCTTCGCGCCGAGTCGGAGGAGGAGCGCGGCCGAGGGCTCAAGCCGAACTGAGCAGGACCGAGCGGTCGGCGAGCACGCAAGCGATCGCTAATCTCTAGCCTTTCCTCCACACGACGACGAAGGTTGCTGCCGGCCTTCTTGGCCTGGCCGCCATCCGTGTTGGCTTCGCAGTCTGTCAGCTCTTCGGCTTCGTCTTCCGGCGCCGTCAGCATGGGTGATGCCATCACGTCAGGATCCCGATTCATCATGAGCAGAGCGGGAAGTTGATCCTTCTCGCCATTTTCGTCCGGCAAAATCCCCATCGGCACATTCTCGAGCTTGCAAAGCATCGTCGCAGTGCCCGACGGGCGACGGATGACGATCTCGACCCAACCCGCCTTCTTAGCTGTCGAGACGGTGAGCAAGCCGTTGCCCATCAGCCATGTCTTTGAGTGACGAGCGGAGTCCTTGCCCTTGCCCATGCCGGCCGACGGCGCACCCATGATGAGCTGATTGACGAAGGACTTCTTGGGCTTCGAATCGGCGTTGGAATGCGTGAATCTGGCCAAGAAATCGAAGCACACCTGAGTCTGGTCTGACAACGCCTCCATCCCCTCGTTTGCTTTGAGCAGACCACGCGAGATGTAGGGCAGATACTTGGGTCGATCACCAATCTTGAGGATGACGAACCAGAGCGAGATGTTGTAGAAGGCCATCAGCATGACATACTGCGAGAGGGAGAAAGATGCCGGGCTCGCACGGTAGTCGTCACGCGTTGCTGCCTCGGGACTCTGATGATACTCGATGTACTGCAGCACGATACTGAAGACACGTCGGTAGTCGGTCTCGGTGAAGTTGGCGTAGCAGGCGGGATGCTGGGCGACCGTGGCGATGAGCTCGAGGATGTGCACACTCATCGTCATGTGTGAGCGGACAGCCGTGAGAGTGAGGAGCATGTTGGAGAAGAAGCGCGTGAAGCTCTTCTGCATCTCGTAGCAGGCAATCGATAATGCTTTGATGCAGGATCGTGCCGTCGTGTGCGACTTTTTGAGTCCACGGATGAAGACATCCACCATCTCATCCTGCTCTGCTCGCGAGAAGAGCGCGCGATAGCCGATCAGCGTGACGAGTGTGTCGTAGACCACGGCGGTGACATCGGTCTTCTTGAGATCGTCCGGCAAGATGACTTTGGGCAGCAGCGCATCATCGAGGATCCCTTGGCAGATCTCCTTACGCAAGAGCAAGACTTGCAGTTGAGCTTTCGGTCCGCAGAAGAGATGCTTGTTGCTGAGCTGGTGCGGCAGGTGGCACAGCAGGTACGAGACCACCTCCCAATCCTGCTCGGAGCGAAGCATCTCGATCGCGACAGCAAGGAACTCCGAGACCGGGACAGGTGCCGGCGTGTTGTCCTTGTCACTGTGCAGATGCGTGTTGCCTGCACAGCACTCCATGTCGTTCCGCTGATGGATGTAGGTGTAGATGATGTCGCTTCGGAGAGAGATGCTGGGCATCTCGAACGAGATGGTCTGCGGCAAGCGCCAAAGATGGTCGTATGCTGCCGGACGCGGTGCCCTCGACTGGCTGGTGCTGCGGTCTCGATCCGCCGCGGAACGCTTGGTGGGCTCAGCACTGCGTTCGGGTCGTCCTCGGTCTCGCGATAGCTCACGGAGACGAGATTGAGACCTGGTGGTGGGATCAGGGTTGCGCTGGACATTGCGGCCCTCACGTTCATTGCGCACCATGGCAGGGGCGACCTTCGAAACGGCTCGTGACCTTCCTTCAATGTTGTGCGACATCGCACTCGCTTGTCGTCCAAGCGCGATGCTCTCGTCAGACTCTGCTGGGCCCTTTCCAAGGATGATGGCGCTGGCACGAATCAGGTCGTCAATGTCGCCGGTGAGATACACGCGATGCTGGCGATCTGTTCGAAGACGCAGCATCCATTCGAGGATGACCAGCCTAGTCTGAGTGCAGGCAGGGCCTGGTGATGCTGATGTGGTCGTGGTGGACGAAGTCTTGACTCGCAGCAGGTCGAGAAGATCACGGAAGATGGCGATGCATCCGGCGCGCGTCTTCTTCTCCCATTGCTGACGGATCGACAGGTCCACGTCTCGGTCGACCGAGTTGGCGATCCATGGCGTACTGAACGCCATTCGGTTGAAAATGGCAATGAGATCGAGAGCCGCGTTGCGTGCTTTCACCTCGCTGGAAGAGGCGACGTGGGAAGCGTCATGAGCTGAGCGGGATGCCTCGTGCTCGGCCTCGCCTTCTGGAACGTCGAATGCGACAGCCTTGTGCATAGGCGCGGAGCGTGCGAGCCGGCACAGCATCTTTCGAACTTCGACAAACACCTCCTCGAAGTCGGTGTCTGCTTCCGCCTTGCCGGTGCTCTTGACAGCTTCGGCATCCGGATCGACAGGTCCAGGAATTTGAGAGCCACTCAGCACCGCTGCGTGGACCAGCACGGATCGCAGTAGTGCCTCCGTCCTAGGATCGGTCTCTGAAGAGAGGGTCGAGTTTGCCAGCGGCAAGACAATGTCGGTCATGAATAGGTCGCGCTCTGCGGTGAGATCCTGCACGGCATTGTACACGTGGTCGAAGACGAGCGAGACCAGGTCGGACCTGGCTTTCTGCTCGGATGCGTCAGGCTTGGACTGAGACTCGTGGCGATAGAAAAAGGCTTGCAGAAGAGCACGAATGTTGAGCAGCCAGTCCGGATTGCTCGGCAGGCAAAGGTGCTGCGTCCAGTAGTATTGTACCAGTTTGGAGACGGTGGCATCGGGCAAGATGGGCGAGAGCGTGAGCAGGAACGACGCCAGCTTGGGCGTCCAGGGTGGCGAGTGAGCTGCCGCTGGTTCATCAGCGCCTGTCCCACGCTTGTGATCTAGATCCCTAGCCTCCGACGAGGCCTTGGGCGGTTGGGAAATGCTGAGCTTGTCGAGGACCTTGAGGATCGCGAGAACTGGTGACGTGTGGCTAGGTCTGCTCGACTGCGGCCCAGAGACTGCGCCAGACACAGCGATACTGCCGGCTGCCGATAGAGAGGTGGAGAGGGCACCGGTCAACTTGAGGCCTTCCAGATGCCTTTTGGCCTCGATGGTCAGGTCAAGCAGGGCATCCCAGTCGGAGCGCGTGAAGAGCTTGTCGCGAGTGGCTCGGCTGGCTTGCGCGTTGACACGATCCGGCGTAGCCTGTTTGTCCGCTGTTGTGCGCTTGGCATCCGTTGTCGTCGGAGCTTCAGCTGCGACTGAGGTGGAAGGAAGCAGATCCTTGATCAAGAGAAGGACCTCGAAATCTAGCACGTCGCATTGCCGCTTCAACGCAGCTCGTAATGCTGGCGTGATGAGGGCAAGCGACAAGGAGGGGGCAAGCGCGTCCTCCTTCTGTACCTTGTTCGATGTCGAAGGCGCGGCTCCGTGACTCTTCTGCTGTTCTTGTTCTGCAACGTGTGCGAAGGCCAGGCGGAAGAAATGGACAGCACCCACCAAGACGGCCGGGTCTTCCAGCTGCGCAGCTTTGTTGGGATGAGTGCTCCCTGTAAGGATGATGCGCGCTGATCGAATAGCAGCATTGGCGCAGTGGCTGCGCAGGATGTTGGAAAGGATGGGTAACACCTCCTGTTGCCAATTGGGATCGTGCTCGTCTGTTTTTGACTTGATGAAGCCGGGAGAGCGAGGATCGATCTGCGAATAGCCGAGCAGTCGACAGAGCATCTTGATGACCACATCGATGCATCCACTCGGCAGATGACCGTATCGAAGCGTTGCGTCGAGCAATTTCAGACAGCTGCGGACCTCGTCTGAGTGAAGCTTGGGCCCGACCCAATAGCTAGGAGAGGCAGAATCCGTTGCAGCTCCGGACAACGCAGCGGCAGCGGCAGCTCCGCGACTTGGTACAAGGGTTGCCAGGGTCATCGGAGCAGCGTCCGCCACCTTTGCTTTGGAGGCGGTGGCAGAAGCGTGGAGCTGTGACGTAACGGCATCAATCGAGACAGGTTGGCTCGAAGTGCGTGGTGTCGCGGACGGTGATGTCTCGTGACTGCCTGGAGATGGGGTGATGGTCTCCAGCCCGTAGTACGAGTAGCCGTCCGCCAAAGGACGGGCATCACGTGAGCGAGAACGGCGTGAGGCTGGTGTCGGCACAGCCGAAGTGCGCAGCGGACCGACCAATGTGGTGCTCTTCAAGGGCGGCGAGGCGACGACGGAGCATGGCAGCGTGAGCGTGTTGGCGGCGGATTCGCCAATGATGAGCTCTGCAGCACTACGAATCACCATCTCGGCATGAGAGAGGGGGATTCTCGCAAAGCTGTACTTGAGAATGCCGGTCAGAAGCTGCAAGCAGACTTGGACGTCTCGCTCGACGGAAGAGAGTTGTGATACCATTTGGGTCTGCTGGACTGTCGTCTCGTCGGTAGTGCCCTTAACTTCCGTACGCCCAATCCTGCCGTTGTCGTCATTGAGAGACTCGAGGTGAGATCGAAGACGCTGGACTTCGACCCAGGCTATGTCGAGCCAACGTGTCAGCGTGAGGATGAGACCTGGGAAGCCCACGACGTCTCGACCGTCCTTAGTGAGCACCTCGAGAGCACGGAGCTGTACTGGTAACCCTGCGAGTATGGCTTGCGTATTGTCGTCATCTTCGTGATCGTCGATTTCGCTGGCAGACACACTGAGCACGAGGCGGTAGAAGAGAGCCCGATCGATGGCTGCAAGCGGCTGATCGCTGTCTGGGATCTTGGACGATAGGGAGCCGGGAGCACCGTTTCGAAGCTCTGTGAGGGCAGGAGAAGCGTTGGCAGCGCGCTTGTCGGCTAGCTTGACTGAGAGGGTTAGGAGATTGCATGTCTCGATCCGAAGCTTTTGAGGCTGCTCAGCTGTCAGTAACGCTGTGCAAAGACGGAAGACTTCGGCGAGGGGAACATCGTCTGCGAAGATGGGTTTGGGACCACTTTGACGCTCCACCGCCGCTGCAAGAGCACGAAGTTTGGGTATACGTTGTCGGACCGCCTCGTCCCTTGCTTTCGAGGTGGCCGGTAGCGGCCGGCGCAAGCCTTTGAAGAGCGCATCGTATGTGCCGCCTTCAGGAGTTTCGACCTTGTTGAGGTCGTAAGGGGACATGGGCTCGGTTGACGCTGAAGTTGCAGGATCGAATGAATTGCGAGAGGTGGGTAATGCTGTCGTGATGGGCGTCAAGGGTGTGCTGGGTAAAATGCCATTCCCTGAAGCCAAGGATGTGGCAGACGATGAGGAGGAGCGCCCACTGCGGAAGCTGCGAAGGATCTGGTTGAAGCTGCTGCTCGCCTTGGTGCTGCTCGCTTTGGAGGAGGCGGACGAGGAAGCCGCCGTGGTTGCCATGTGGGTCGGCACCGTCTGCGGCGTGGCCAACGGGGACCGAAATCTGCTCGGGTCCATCCTGTCGCTCGTGTCAAGTCAGAAATGACGCTGCAGTTGACTGTGAAGGTGGGCTTCAAAGCTCTCTGACTTGTAGTGGCTGGGAACGCCTGGTGCGATTTGGAGAAGACTGTTCAGCGCATGTTGGAGAAGCAGCCAGACTCCTGTCGTCCTTGGTGGTACTCTGAAGGGCTAGTGGGAACTTTCTGCGAATCTAGGTCGAAAGAGATGCGGCTATATGCTATCTTGCGCTACGAGAAGCAGATCGAAGGCGTGATGAATGCTTCACTGTCAGGCGTCCGAGCGTGTGTGGGTCGGAAAGAATCGCCGCGATGTTCGGTGCCCAAAGGTGGAGGAAGAAGTCAAGGCTTTGTGACGACCGTGCAGAAGTGATAGTCGCGAGTGAACAATGGCGAGGTGGGTTGCAAGCAGACGGATCGCGGATGGCAGGAAGGGACCCTGCTGCTCGGCTGGATGGTGCTGAATGCTGTTGCGCAATTCGACCGAACTTTTTGCCAAAAGATAGCGCTTAAAGGGCGGGCGGATGTGACGGCTTCATGACCGATGCATGCTCTGGCTGCCCTCACATGTCCTTGTGACTTTTCCGAAGTCTCGCCTGCCGCCTGCATCGACCGACACAGTCATCCGCGGTCTTCTGGCCTCGACTCCGACTCTGCTTGTGATCCGCCTTTGTGGGTCGCTTCAACTTTAAGGAAAAAAAAGAGGATCGAGACCCTCGCTCGCTTGACCATGACTCACAGTGTGGAGGGGAAATCGGGCTCGCCGATTCAGACTCAAACTGACTGTTACATCTTAGAGACAAATCTCTCGTGCGAAATTCAAGATCGTGAATGGCTCGTCCAGGTTGAGGGCAGCAATTGGTAATCGCCTTGGTGTGTGCAGAGCAATTTCGAGAATTACAGGTCAAAGGAGAGAGTCGGGTTGGGTTGGAGAGAGAGGCGACTTCTTCTTGCAAGTTGTCGGCACTCACTCCGGGCTGGCTTGTTGGTTGTTACTAGCGAGCAGATTTGAGATCTTGAATCGTCGACTGCCCACCTTTCTTCCCACGCAGCATCTCATCCATCATCGCCTTTGTTCCATTGGCATTCACAACACACACACGCACATCCGCCATGCCATCTTCATCCGTCACAGTAGCGCTCCCCGCTTCGGCCGACGAGTCGGTCTTCAGCTCGGTTTCGAGTTTCTTCTCGTCGCTTCTGCCCGTTGCGCACGCCGAAGAGGTAAGTTGGCACTCAACAGCATAGCCCATATCGATGCGACGTTCGACCTCGCTAGTACCGCCGCCACGGCACCTCTGCACCGACGCAACGCTCGCACTCCAGCGCCCGCAGGAATTCGAGCCTGCCGATTAGACCGCAAAGGAAACGCGATCCGACTCGGTTCATCCGACATGATCTCACGCCCGAAGACAAGCAGGAGACAGACTTCAAATCAGTGAGAGCCATCAGGGAGATCGTCGCGCTTCGAATCACACTGGATGAGCCGATACATGATGACTCCTGCTGGGTCTCGGTTAGCAGTCTCGCAAAGCTATTCGACTCAGAAACAAAGGCGGCACCTCCGACACAAACACGCACTCAGTTCCGATCGATCGATGTGGCGCTTTCCCACGGCATCCTCATGGAATCCAGCCGAATGCTGACCTTATCATCCCATTCACTTTTTGCATTCACAGGAGTCTTCCGACGACAGCGAGGAGTCTGAGGACAAAGAGGAGGGCGGCGAGGACGAGGAAGAAGAAGAGGAGGAGGAAGAGGAGGAGGACGAGCCCGAGGACCCGGCGCCTGCCATCTACGAGGAGTGCGAAAAGTCCAAAGCCTGCGCTCCGCTCAAGCACCACTTTGACGAGTGCACCAAGCGCGTCGAGGAGGGCAAGGGCTTCGAGGGCGAAAACTGCATCGAGGAGTTCTTCCACCTCTCGCACTGCGCACAAGAGTGCACCGCTCCGAAGCTCTTCCGCAAGCTGGTGTAGGCCTCATTTGTCTCAACTGCTGTCGACTAGGCGCCCCGCCGTTGGGTAGGCCGTTATCGCACGCAAGTGAACGCTGACGTCGTAGCGTCGCCTTCCTCATGCCTGGGTGCTCTTAGAATCGCATCTTGTGAATTGCATACTTCTACTGGTCTCGTCTGCTCGTCTGATTGTTCGTGTGCCTGATCTCAAGGGGGAGCAAGTCCAATTCGATTTGCCAACTCAGTTTCACCAGACCTGGAATACCAACGCTTTGCTAGCTGGAGAGTCGGAGGCTCCCTTTCGTCATGCACCGTCTCACGCCACCCTACACTTCATTGCACTTCATCTGCTTACCTTTCCTTCCTTCAAAAAGATCAGGGCCACTCGTAGTCGGTCAGAGAAGACGTGAGAATGCTACATTGCAAACAAACTGTACGTAAACAAGAAAGGCGATTGAAGTGCGAAACATCTCCGGAGAAAAGATCTAGTTGATAGGATCATCGCCGTTCCAGTGGACCAGATCCAGGCATCTTTCAATGACCTTCTCGACGCCCCATCTGCCACCGGGACCACCGGAACCGTACTTGAGATGGAGCAAGGATCCCACCTCGTCGCACGCGCGGAGAACGTCGTCGATGTCCTTCTTGGTGTGACTGGCGCTGACGCAGAACCTGACGCGCGAGCTGATCAGGGGCGTTGCGGGATAGGCCACCACGACGACCACGATGGGCGGTCGGGCGGGGCGATCGATGTTCGCCGGCGACGCAGGGTCCTCGATCTGCTTGCGCTCTTCCGCCGACATGTCCGACTCCTCCACCGCGAACCGTTGTGAAGGCGGCAACACAGCAGAGCGGTCCAGCATCATGCGCGAGAAGAGCGACATCTTTGCCGGGTGGAAGATGAGAAGAGGAACAATGGGCGAGTCGCGGTGGCCGTAGACGATGAAGCCGAGCTTGCGAAGACCACTGCTGAGGTAGCGCGCGTTGAAGGCGAGTCGTCGCAATCGCTCGCGACCTTCAGAACCATCGAGGAGGTTGCGAGGAAGCTGGACCCAGCTCGGCAGGAGGGCGAGCTCTTCCGGATCCCGTCCGACGCCCATGATCGATGCCATGGAGGCGACAATCTGCGTGAGGACGGGAGGCGAGAGGGTCTCACCGTACACGTTGGCGTGGTTGGTCAATCGAATGCGGTCGGTGATGGTACGGTCGGCGGCAATGTAGCCACCAGCTGCACCGAACGACTTGGTAAAGGTACCCATGAGAATCTCGACCTTGGCAGGGTCAACGCCAAAGTAGTCGCAAACACCTCGACCGTGAGGGCCGATTGCACCAATCGAGTGAGCCTCGTCGATGTACAGGTGGAACTTGTACTTCTCCTTGAGACGCATCACTTCCGGCAAGTTGACCAAGGTGCCCTCCATCGAATAGAGACCCTCGACGATGAGGAGGATCTTCTTCCATGGGCGGTGCGTGCGGGGCATGCCCTGGCTGATGCACTCGCGGAGCAGCGACTCGAGCTTCTTCATGTTGTTGTGCTTGTACTGACGGATGTGCGCGCCACTGAGACGCGCACCGAATCGGATCGAGCTGTGATTGTATTCGTCCGAGATGATGAGGGTTCCGGGACCGGCGATGGCGGGGATGGTAGTACTGTTGGTAGCAAAGCCCATGCTGATAACAACAGCGTCTTCCTTGCCGACAAATTTGGCAACGAGCTTCTCGGTCTGGGTCTGCAGATCGAGGTGGCCGGCACCAAGACGACTGCCGTAACTGCTGACACCGTACTTGCGCAGACACGTCTCGACTGCATCGGCGCATCCACCGTGAGACTGAGCAAAGCCGAGGTAGTTGTAGGCGCTGATGTTGAGAGCACGTGTCTTTTCGCCCGTCAGACGGAAAGTCTGGTAGTAATCGAGAGCCACACGGTCCAGGCAAACCACGGTCCTGCCGCAGACGCCGGTGACGGGTCGGCTGAAGCAGTCGTCCATTCGTGCCTTGAGACGACGAGTGTAGAAGCTGTCGAAGTCCGAATTGAGAGCCGCGTAGCCGTCGCGTTCTACCAGGTGGTGATAGCTCTTGGGGAAGAGGCGCTTTCCGGTGAAATCCCGCATGTGACCGATGAGGATAAGGATGATGTAGCTGATGTACGTGGTGAGCACGGTGAAATAGCTGGGTTCCTCCTCAACAGGATTCGGGAGCGAGTCTCCGCGGCGGTGTTCCGAAGTGTAGCGGTAGTCCGGGTTGGCACAGTAGCCAAATTCGGAGTGGATGAGCTTGGCGCCATCCTGGCTGCTGTCGAAGCTGGTGGGAGGCTGCATGGAAGCTGCATTGTACGTCAATCCGTTCAGGGCGCCATAAGGAGCCTCACCCTTTCCCGCGTTAAATCGAGCAGTGAGACTGCGCTGGTGCGCATCCTGTACTGACTCGAGACTTTCTACGGATGCAGAGGTGGAGCCAGTGGTGAGGCTTGGCGCTGCCGACTCGACGTCTGGCGAGCTGTCAGGGCTGGACGAATATCCGGACCAGTCACGACGGTGCGCGTTGAGGTCGGTGGCGGCAGTGGACATGTCGTGGGTGGACGGAGCAGGTGGAGAGATGGCAACGATAGGGGAGCCCTTCTTGAGGAAAGAGGAGAGGGACGAGGGGGAGGAGCTAAGCTGTGACTTGGACCTCTTGCTGGAGCTGATGGGTGCAGTGTGTGCGTCAAAGTGAGTAGCGTCGAGAGTTGTTGGGACGGACGTCATGTTCCGTGGCCACGAGGGTCGACTTGAGTCTGGAATTGAGTGATGGTCGA